CGGTATTGATACTTCACTGTCAAGCCTGCAACTGTTCTTCGTCAACGCTGGCACCGTTCTCCACGGCAATGCCAACGTTTGTCGTATATGATCCCGCTCCCGCTGCGTTGGAGAAAACACGCGTCGCCGCCTGTGCTTGTGTCAAAACCCGGAAGTGCTTACGAGAGCTGCCTACGCTCTCTCACTTCAACATGTTGAGACATGTTGAGACGAACTGGCAGAGAGGGGGTGCAGGGCCAAAGCTAGGACTACTTGTATAGGTTACTGTGATCTAGTCCTGGAGCTCTCGCTCGAGGGGTCAGTGCAACGGCCTGTCTGAGAGAGATGTCGAGCTCCTCTGCCTGCCAAATTTTCGAAGCTGCGAGACCACACATCTGCGGCCTCCTAGGGCACTCTGCTGGGGGGCGCTGCACGACTCTCTTCTTCCAAATGGCTTGTACATGCTTGTACTTTTCCCGGCTGCAGCCTGCTCCATAGCATGCTTGCGGACGAAGTTCTGCTCTGGAGGCTTATCCGCCTCCGCTGCGGCCTCTTCGGCAACAGACTCCACACGACTCCACTCCTCTTTTGATTCGAGGCTTCAAGAGGGGCTCGGCAAACTAAGCCATACTAAGCCGACTATGGCTTCATATCGCAAGCATATGCATAGAGGAGCACATGGAGCACACAGCTGCACAAGTTTGCATTCTGTTCCCGCCTTCGTTGGAATGGAGTTGGGATCGAGGGCATGCATGTTCTTGCCGGTCGGCAGCACCTTGCAGGGACGGGTGCCTGAAGCTCGCCGGCCCTCATTCAGGTTCGGGTTCATGGGTATGAATGTTAAGTCTCAAGCAATCTAACCAATGCAACCTAGATCTATCCAAACTCCAACTACATGAACTTCCAAGTAGAGGTTTGAACTGTAGAGGTCCTCATTTTGGACCTGGGTACGGCTGTGCCCGCATAAGACAAAGCTGCTGTAGAAAGTTTAAAGCAGTGAGGACTTTCACAACAAGCTTGTGAATCTGCAGCATGGACTCGAGATCATGCTTACATCCATGTGTTGCGTGGAACATTCGAGTACAGTACTTGCATTGTCGGGGACATGCACTTTGAGTCTTTGATGTGAAGGCTTGAACCAGAAGCCGACAGCAAGAGCCGAGCGACATCCGGATTGCGGTTGGGGTCGCCGCCAGGGCCTGTGGTTTCTTCGTCTCTGTAGCGTATCAATGCATCAACTGCTGGAGTGTGATTGCTGGATATTGCTGGCATGGCTGTAGAGTCCCAGGTCAAATAACGAGCCCACCTGGCTCGATGAACTTGCCGTCCAGAGCATCAATCAGGCTGCCAACCTTGAGCAACAAAGGCGCACAGAAGCAAAGCAGCGCCACAAGTTCTGACAAGAATAAAGCTCCAAGATTCACCACCACCCTAACAACATGCGGTGCGAACATTTGGCAGCGACAAAAAACTCTTCCCTCTCGGGTCTGATTGGGCGAAACCGCCCCAATGTCCCCTCAAACCCAACGCCAAGTTTCTCAACTCCAAACCTCAACCCGAAGGCCCTTAGGCCCTATAAGGCCCTAAGCCCCTAAACCGTTTACAACCCTCTTTCGTAACCCTCATCAAGGCCGTGATCTCCACCTCGTTGTTTCGCACAACCTCGCCGGGGCAAGTCTGCAAGTACCTCCAGGGCTTGGAACCCTGGCCTTTACAGGCAGATGGCTTGAGGGTTTGAGGGCTTTGAAGGCTTCCGGTGTTTGAGAGCGTTCGAGTTCAAGGCCTTTTCAGGCTGTAGGGGGGCCTTAGGTGTTAAGGGATTTGGGCATCAGTTTTAGTGCTCAGGATTTCAAGGATTTTCAGGGCTTGATTGGGCTACAAGTACTAGTGAGATCTAGTGAGAAGTGTAGGGAGCTTGTTCGAAGAGCGACGATCTGCAGCAGGGGAGCTTCGAGCTCTGGCGGCGCACTCGACGAGGGGCTTCAGATCGTCATCGCTGACGCCGTCGAAGCCGACCTGTCTGAAGCATCTGAAGCTCTCAGTTAGCGTGCGAGGACTGTAGAGTCTGCCCTATAGGCCCTAGGGTCTCATTTTGTCTTTGGGAGAGAAGCGTCACAAACATGAAACCTGAATCACGAACTTCCTGGCAGCATCACGAGTGCAGTGGGAAGGCCTCTTCCAGGGCCTTCTTGTCCTCAGAGCCGCCGGAGAAGAAGTTAAAAACATCCTGCCGACGGGCACAGATGGTCGCAGCATTCGAGGTTGGATTTAGCAGTTGGCGACACCCAAAAAAGTCAATCAACGAGCTTTTGATTGCGTTAACTTATGCCAAAACTTTTGCTCCTAGATTAGCCACAAGACAACTGCTGAGGGCTTGCCGCCGGGGAATAGAAGCGACCCACAAATCAGCTTAGGGAGAATGACAAACTAGGCATGCCTCATTTGACCAATCACCTGTGACAGCTTCTTGCACCACAAAGATCCTGTATGAAGGGGTTCACGTCCTCCACGCGCCCCTCCTCTGTCAAGACATGCGCAAGCTATGCAGCTTGGGAGGCGATGGGCCACGAAACCCCAACTGCACCTCAAAATATGCCAGTCACCCAGTCCCAAAGCTGCGGAGTACACCCAACGATGGCAAAAGCTGCTGCGCAGTCGTTCGGAGACAAGGGCCGAGGGTGAGGCATGGAGTTGACCTACATGTCAAAACATGCCAATCCAAAGCTCTGAATTTCTTCGGGGTCCGTCTGAGGCTTCTCAGACAGCACGCAAGCACAACACCGAGCCTGACCGCCAAACCTGACAATCCTTCGCCCCAAACCGCCTTGAAAGCCAAACCCTGAGCAACTCAGCACTCATCCGCCCATACGTGGTGCTGGGCTCCGAGTTCGTGGACTGCTGCACGAGGGCCCCGACGGCCGCACGGCTCGCCAGGGTGATCTGCACAGAAAAACCCCAGAAACCCTTGCACCCACTTTGGAGTGACGGTTGGGGTTGGGAGCCGACGGCGACGCGTCTCCAGGTTATGTCCAGGTATTCTCGCGCATGACAGTACATGACCGAATAAGAGTCTACACAAGCAATGTGTGGGTAGGAAGCGCGAACATCAAGTTCCAAGCATCTAAACTGGATGCAAGGCCTGCTGTTGTTATGTATAGGGGCCTCATCCGCTCCTGCTACTGGTACATGAGCAGGTACTCGGCAAGAGTGCGGAAGTCGGGTCTCGCACACTCTGTCTGTGCAAAGCAACTCGCCAACGCAAGCCCCCGCAGAGTTTGTTCAGACACACCTGATCTCCTATACCGCATCTCAAAGTTGCTCTAAGACCTCAATCCCAAACTCCAAAAGTGCACTTCGCCCAAACAACGCTTGCTGCAAACACCCGGCCTCCTGCACCAGGGCCACATCCTGCAGACCCAAGGAGCTTCAGGAGTCAGATGAGTCAGGATTTGGAGTTGAGGTTTAGGATGTTTTAAGGGGCGTGCCCACACAGACCTCGCATAACATCACTCATTACTAGTCTTTAGTTGCGCTGTTGCTCGATGCTGCGGCTCCTCCAGGACTCCGTCGTTGCCCTTGTAGGCCTGTGTGCGCGTCTCATGGCGAGATTTCAGCTGTGCACTAGATGCAGAGCAGAGCCGCGGCAAAGGCACCTCGATGTCCTTCCCCCTGCACTCTGCGAGGAGGCGTGGCAAGCTCTTGATGCCCACCTTGAAGTCAGCGGCAAAGCAACCATGGGACCATGATGATCCATGACGTGTCTACAGCATTCGCTTTTTAAGGCCAACAGCTTTGGGAACCTATGGAACCTCCGCTTGTGAGGCCCCGAGCAGGGCGGTCCAGCTGGGCAATGTTGACCAGCCTCAGTGCCGCAGATATGTGACCATACTGCGAACTCAGGAAAGGAGTGATTTGTGATAAGGCATGCATGCTGTGCACCCAGTAACGTGGCCACGCTCTCCTCTGCCGTCGGTGGCGCGCCCACCTGCTGAGGCATGTTTGCTTGCCAGCGCCATGAGCACGCGTTCAACCCCAACTAAAGAAAGTCAACCACAGGGCCATTCTGTTCCAGCGTCATTAAGCCAACATACGCTATTTACTGCCCCTGCTGGTATCTGCCCCTGTTCAGAAGTGTCGCCTGATGCAGGCCCATGAGCAATGCTCGGGACTCGATCTCCATGAGTAGCCGGTACACCTTTCCGACCACCTCAGTATAGTCGTTCATCCGAGGGAATTGCCATCTTAGAAGTAATGTGAATAGTCAAGCTCCTGTAAACGCTAGAACCGTACCTGAATGTGAATTTTGTCACTCAACAAAACCCAAAGCAAACCTTCGTACAAGGAGACCCTGAAGCTCGATCATGGGCCATGGAGGTGGGCGGATTCCACTGCAGCCATAGGACCGCATCGCGCTCGTCAAGGGACGCGCCAGCCATATCTTCCTCCTCAGACGGAAGCCTCGATTCGAGAGAAACAGCGGCAACCGCCACAATGTCAGGTCGATCGATTTATACAGGCGTCTCCCATTCTGAAAAGTTAGTATCGCTATAGTATGGATCCTGATCAAGAATCTGAAGACTGAGCACGCATACACACACGCATTGCTGCACGCCTTAAAAACAGAATCTCAACGGCAGCCTAGTCTTAGTCTTAGAATATGTGGCAGGCCAAAGTTCCTCGAGTTTCCGATGCGACCAGCATTATATATGTTTCACTCTCTCCGCCCCGGTGTGTCAAGCATTAGAAGGCATCAGGATTTTGAAGGCGGCATTCTGATGCGGAGTGAGAGACTCATCAATGTCCTTGTCCAGGTTGCACTGCCGAGCTGTTGCCACGATGCTGTTGACAATCGAGGCACCTTCGGCTGCTGAGATCTGTTCAGCTTAAGGGGCGATCCCTTTGACATGTCTTCTGCTCTCGGCCCGACATGGCCCAACAGCCCTGTCGCCCGTATTGGTCCATACTGCATAAGAGTCACTCGACCTTGTGGCTCAAGGCCTGCTTAGAAGTCCCTAGATTCTTTAATTAGGGAATAAGGGTGTGCCCGTCGCTGGGCCTCGCTGCTCGTTCTCACGGAGGCCCTGGTAGGACTTGACCAGCCCACTGAGCTCCTTGAGGCCCTGTGCGTGTGCGTGCTGCAGTGGCTCAGGCTCGTCTGGAGCATTTCTGGAGACAGGGGGGTTTGCAACCCAGTCTACACTTACGCACGAGGTCGAGCGACCCAGTCCCTCCTTCATTTACAATTTAGGTAACTGGCCAATTTTCTGACAACTCAGGCACCATCCGCCCTTCTGTCCCCGTGATTCGGCTCCTGCCTCGAAATAGCACACCTGAGAGGCTGGCGCGGAAGAGCGGCGCTTGGCAATGGTGGCCTCTGACGGGTTGTTAGCCTTGCGGTGGGCAAAAGGTGGCTGCCAGATGAGGCGTAGCGGCGTAGCAACAGAATGACATTCTCCACAGGGGGCCGAGTTGCAGCATAGTAGTACAGGTTGGGTAGCACGGAGATCAGGCGATCAGGATAGCAGCTGCCTTCAGGGACGATCAACACGGCTGGAGATGCCGGAGATTCTGGTCCAGCCAGGAAGTATTTTTGTTGTACTTGGTCCTGCCTGACATGCCGACCTGCTTGCCAGGCACAAACTCCAGGGATCCGTGCGTTCCGAAGTGGAGCAAGGCATCTGCCTGCCATATCTATTTACCGTTTCGAAATAGGACAGAGCTCGTCAGAGCTCGTCCTTTGCAATGTCATTAACCTGAAGAATCATAGAAAAGGATGATGACGGGTGTAACAGGAACCGACGCACCACGTAACAGGCTGTAACAGGAACCACGTTTTCATAGAAAGAGAACCTAAAGCCGCACCTTGAAGATGAACTCCGGGTAAGTGTAGAAGGCAGCGAACCCATGGTGAGGAGACGCCGACTTGGCGAAGAGCAGCCTGCGACATCAAGCCACCATGGTTCACCTGCATGATTCGTGCGGCAGAGTCACGGGTATTCGAGCCTCATCGGGTCACCCTCGTAGCCGAAAGTAGGCTGCACGCCAAGGAAAATGTTTCCGAAGTGCTTGCCTCACATCGGTATTCACACATGCGAATTGACTGAGGCTGGCTAAATTCTTTGACCTGCCTGGATGCCCAATTAATCTGAAGACAGGATGCCATAAATCAGCATGTCACGGCCATCTGTGTTCAATTCTCCGGGCGGAGGGCCCCAGTTCCTTGGAGCTGAGGCACGATGCGAGAAGAATAATAGAGAGCTATAGCAATACAGTTCTGATGAAAAGATATCGTCCACGTCATTGTCATCCGTCATCAGATAAGAGAACCATCCAGCATGCAGCATCCACCGTCCTCGTCCTTCCCCTACTCATCAAAGTACGAATATAAGCATAGAATATTAAAACTCATAACTGTAACAGCAATGCATCAACAGCATCTTTGCGATCATCACTGTCGTCATCATATTCATCGTCACCTACTCTTCTTGGCGTCCCCAGCAAATTGAAAGGAACCCCTTTGAGATTCTGCTCTAGGGGTCCTTCTCCAGTAGTTTGTGTGCTAGATGGTGGACTTTGCAAGGTCTTAAAATGTCTTCAGGATCACGGCTTGACAGCCGCGGACAAATTCCTGTTCTAGCGCTTGTCTGCACATGGGGGGCAGGGTCTAGGGGAGTCGATGGCTCGTCTGTTCCAGCTGTCTTCTGGGGGAAGGGCTCGCTCAGGTCGGTGGCGAAAGGGCAAAGCTCCTTGTGGCCGGACCAATACAGCCAACCGTCATATATGCTGCCTTACCTTCCCCCTGGTACTTGTAATTCCTGCAATGGCCCCAGCCACAGTCGCTGCGAGGATCTCGAAAGAGCAGGCTTGCGACATTGTGAAAACTTTCAACTGCATCTCGTTTGCGCTGCTGATTGTCAGACTACTCGAGGGCTTCTCGCGAGCCACTCTGACCGCGGCTACTGGCAGACAGGAATGTCGAGTCCTCGTACTCGTCCACGCTCATGCGGTAGGCGACGTTCAAGTCCGACATGGATGGACATCGCAGCCTCAGGCGATCGACAATGGACAAGGTACAACGGAAAAAACAAACAACAAACCGTGAAGTCCCTTCTCCACCGGCACCACAAACCTGAATACCGTGCCTGCATGGGGATGGAGCGGCCACTGGTGCCATCACGCCCTGAGAAGATCAACGGCTCAATAGCACCGTCAATCTCGGGCAGAGAGACCTCACCATGACTTCAATATCTTCGACGACAGGGGTTTTAAGTCAGTTCGGGTTGGTCTTGGAAGTTGGACAATCTGCCCCGGACCCCGCGTAATGTCTCTTGCTGTCTCTGCAACCTTGTGTGATGTGCGGCACTGATAGTTCAAATCCCAGATCACTGCCCCCACAAACCGTAGTGGAGGTGTGAATCACCATTGGACCTTGTTGCAATCCTCGCCGAAGAGGAGGTTATGTCTGCAGACAAGACCACTGAAACCCCCAATTAACTCATCTGAGAATGCAGCCTGGCAAGTGCTTCCTGTATCTGTTGGTTTCACTACTTCAGGCCTAAAGCCCGCAAACTTCAGGGAGAGGGCAGCCTGCAAGGCATGCACTGGGTGAAGACCAAGCTGGCTGTTCTGCCACTCCTTGGACCATCGCAGTGGGCTCCCATAGTATGAGCAGTGTGCGATACCGACAGCATAGGATGAACGACATTATCTCTGCCATCAACAAGGGGATTGTGAGTTCAAAGCTGCAGAAGTGGATGCTTGGACTTATCCCTTCCAGATATAAACCCCCCAACCCCTCCCCCCTTCCCCCAAGTACAAGAACCCGAAGATAATGGTGTAAACCTGGGTGAAACTATTCCACCATTTACAGCGCGGCTGCGGGTCCAGGATTTCAGGCTCTTGCCTCGAAGCCTTCAGCCCAGAATCTTAAACCAAAATCGAACCCTAATTTCAATAGCCCTAGGGCGTGGAGATCCGCTCACATCCACGCCGGAAGGGAGGGGGAAGGAAGTGGGGTCTAACAATATCTAAGAAGCTAGGAAGGATTATGATTGAGGCATCAGCAGGCTACAGGCTTCAGAACAAGCTTGAGATACATGCTGGCAGGAACGTCATGTTCGCACACCGGGGTTTGAAGTGCCCGAAGTTGATGCGAGTTGCCAGATAAAAGAGCCAAGACAGTGCTCAGCTATGGTCAGATGCGGTCCGGGGGTCTCAGCTCAAGGCTGTTTTGTGAGTCTTTTTTGTGGGTTTTGCTGGGGTAGCTTCTGCCCTCCTGCTTCCCAAGCATCCGTGAAGGACTGGAAGACCAACGGCACACTAACCAGATAGGGTCGGTTGAGCTTCATGAGGACCTGCAACAGAACCGCGAGTCTGATAAATACTTACTTATCTACATCAGTTACAACTAGGTCGGATGCAAGCATCAGAAACCGAAGAAGTACTAAGGCTTGCTGAGGATTCATTGCTGCCAAACTCTTCAACCTGCGAAAAGCAAGGCTGGACATGTTTGTCACCAGCAAGCTTCGGGTCATGCAGCAATACTCATCCCCAGCAACGTCTGAACTTGTTCCCCTTTTCTTCGCTGGAAGCCTCAGACCTTACCCCCCACGCCCGCGGCCCCTCAACCCCCCACCGCCCCCCCCCCCCCCCCCCCCCCCCCCCGTGAAAGAAAAAAACAGCCGCGGCACCTCCTTTGCCTTCTTGGCATCTTGAGATGTGGGGCCGCCAACCAATGAGAATCCTGTCCTGATGAAAGTTCGAGGAGTGTTTACAAGTTGCAATGTTTGGGGTGTGGTTTCAGGGCTTCAGGGATCATGAAGAAAATGCTGGACGCACACGTGGGCCTGAGGAGATACTGGCATCCACAGGAAGACAATGCAGTCTGGGTTTGGGATGTAGGCTTAGGGCTTCTGCGCGGCACCCTCTCCAACTTCCCCAAACCTTCAATACCCTGGATGCCAAATAAGAGAGGTCCCCACAAGCTGAGTCAGCCCCACCTGTTCTTGACCAGCTCTATGACTGTAAGTGCTAAGCATGGTTTGGTGAAGTGTCAATCCTGAACTGCAAGGTTGGGCTTCAGGAAACCCTGAGAAATCTATTGCCCGTTTAAACCTCAGAAACAGCCCAGGAGCAGGTTCACAAGGGCGTCCACCATTCCTTCAGCAGTGGGTCCAGACAAGTACTCCTGGCAAGTCTTGCCGTGATGTGGCTAGTAAGGCTAGTATCGAAATTAGTTTCCCTGTTCTTGCAAAGGTCCGTGTGCTTGCCGGGATCTCACAAGGGACCAAAATGTCAAATAACTGGCCATACTGGCCTTTGATAGCAGCAATCCTTGCCGATACAGTGCATGCACCAAAGTGGACCCCTTGCTCAGCCGCTCAGCCTCCTTGTTATGACACTATCCCACACAAGCACGCCCATCTCATTACAGCATCATGCAGCACATGCACCTGCACCGGCACCGAGAAGTCCAACCCGCCAGTGAAGGTGCACGCGACACGCGCGGGTTGGTGCTCCAATTCCTGCACGACGCCAACCTGGGACAAGTGCAGCTTACAGAATACTTGCAGTTTCGATAAAAAAATCTCGCTTCGAGCCATCCATACCCGATTAGCTTTCGCAGGCGATCTAATTATTGGAGACTTTTAGCACTCGGGTTTAGGGTTTGCTAGTTCTGGGTGCAGCAATTCTAGAGCAGCAGCCCTCAGAATGTTCACAGAGGCAGGGAAAAATCGAAAACTAGGTTTGCCGTTGATCTTCTTTGCTTGCATGAAACTCCAATTGCTACTGCTCGTAGGACTAGCGACGACTACTTTGCATACATTCATACATGTTTTTGAGTTTGGAGGTTGCTCACGCGGATCATTCGTCCCTGCTTTGTTCAATCTTGGCTTTGAACACGTTGTCACGCCAAGAGAACTAAAAAAACACGTAGGGATTCACGCTGATCGTCTTTGCTCGATTGAAACTCGTCCTGCAAATCGTGCATTCTCCATGTCTTGGGCATGTCTGCTTGTTAGTCTTAAATCTTACAGTTTTAGACGGTGTTTCAGGCTCATCATTTGTCCCTGCTCGAAAACTCGTATTTTCTTCGGTAGCGCAACTCAGGAACGATTGCGGTGTGTCTTCAAAATCGTCATGCATCATACCATGTAAAGCGTGTCACGATTGTCACACGTAGCGTGAACGGGCTGGCGGATTTCTGGGCCTACCTCCCCTAAAGACACCGAAATGGGAACCCTAATTTTCGGAAACCCTCGTAGCCAGTCTTGCAACAAAGTAGTGAATGGCTTTGCGTCCGCCTCGTGCCCGACTAGAGCCCAACAACCAGAGCTTAGGTTTAGGGTGTATGGAATATGGCTAAGATTTTCAAGTTTAGTACCACCCCCCCCCCCCCCCCCATCCCCACCTGAAAAACAAACAGGCCCAAATAATCAAGAAGTTTGCGGTTGTTTCAAGAGGCTTTGCGCTGCTCCTTGCGCTTCTTCTCCGCCTCAGTTTTGCATTTTCGGCTCCGTAGGGTTTAGGAGTTTAGGACTTTAGGGGTCTAGTCAATTTGAAGGTTCATGTATGTTGGTTGGACTTACACTTTTGCGCTTGAGGTTGTAACCCTAAACCGGGAGGGCACCCTCACGTACTTGCGATGGCCCTGTTCACCGTTGGTCCAGGGAGAAGGCATGGGCGGTCAAGGAGCGGTGCCAGACCCAGTTAGGCTTCTTTTTGGGACTCGGGATCAACGTTTGGGGTTCAGGGGTTTCAGGAGAAACTAGCTTGCAGCGAGACTGCATGTGTGGCAGTGTGATTTGTGTATTGGCGGAGGGCTTGTCCAAGAGGATATTGTGCGCGCGGCGCAAGGGATACTACCGCACCTTCAACCCTGAACCCTAAACCCAACACCAGACCTCGTCACCGCAAGGCTTTACATCCCTGACGAGACCGTCAGAAACATCCACACACCCCAAACCCTCAATCACTGCTACCCGAAAAGCGCACAAACAAAAAGCCCTTTCAATTTCACTTCTCCACCCCCAGGAGGCAAACTTGACATCCAGTACACTCGTGCACCATCATCAGCACGATGCACCACAAAGAACACTGATTCAGCCCCTTCCAGTCCGACGAGCTTCAACAAAAGCAACACCTGAAATATCCTTAAAACCATCTATACCCCTAAACCTAAAACCCTACAGAACCAAAATACCCACACCCCAACACCCTAAGTTCGGCACCCTGAACTCTAAGCCCTGGAATGAGCCCGAAACCCGAGACCCTAAAACAACACAAAGCCACTGCCAGCTCCGACCGCAAGGTCGCAACGTCTGCGGCCATGGAGCCAGCCTCTGCGGCACGCTCGCGGCTGAAGGTTTTAGGGTTTACGGCTTGTCATGTATGGAACCGTGCACGCATGCAGAGTTTGGCATCTGTGGCGGGAGCTATTTTTTATGCTGCGTCTTGTTGCCGAAGCGCTCTTGCAGAGGTCCAAAAAGAATTTCCGTGTGTATAGGGGTTCGGCGAAGTAGCCACCTGAAGCCCCAAGGAAGGCACCGAGGTCCTACAGGCCAGGAGCATCTACATTAAACTTTTGTTTGGTACCTTCTGTTTGGGATAGGCGTCTATCTACCGAAGAACGGGGCGCGGTTTTAGAATTTTAGGCTGTGGGTAGACAGTCCTGTCGGTGTACCCGATGTCAATCTGCTTCGGCGTGCGGTACCCTAGCTCCTGTATGGCAGCCTAAAAACCCTCCCTTGAGAACAATCTCCCTAAATCCCCAAGTCTGAAACCTAAAGTATTTAGTGACCCCTGCAAGCCCTAGCGACCAAACCCTAGACCTACAGCCTACAAACTCTAAAACCTGCTCTGGATGGATCGGCCTCGTTTCTGCTGCCACCGCCCGCGGCACGGAACTCCTGGAAGACCCAAAGATGTGGGGTTTAGGGATTGAGGGCTTAGGGAGTTTCGGGGTTCGGGGCTTGGGATTTAGCAGGGGTAGGGTTGAGAGTTTTTACGGTGTTTGGTGTGGGGTTTACGGTTGATCGGGTCTTGGGATGTTTTGGGAACGGTGTTTGGCAACCACGACTCCGCAGACATTTGCAGGGGCTGTCCAAAATCAGGGCCCGCATGTTTGGATAACTGGAATCCTCTTCTAAAGAGTCTCTAAAAGGGACCCTAACTGAGCACAAAACCCAGTTAGGATGTCAGTTTAGGCTCATCCTTCGCAGCCACCCGGCAGCCAATAGTTTGATTAATCAGAATGGAGGCCGGTCCGCGAGGGCCGCCGTCGCCGCCGCGACGTCGCGCTGCGCGATGGCGACGCGCACTTTGGCCTGCGGGGGTGGGGGTGGGGGCGGGGGCGCCGTAGTATGCTTCAGTACACGCCAGTATACCATTGCAGACGACAGATGCTAGAATACACAAACGTACACCACAACATACACCAATATGCCGTCATATACTACAGCATACCATACCCTATGGTATCGTAGACATGCACACATGCACATATATATATATATATACTATATACGACAACGTACGAAAAGACACAGATGCACAATGAGACAACGAGCCCAACGTGGCAGCACAGAGGCTCCGGCCGCAAGGGCACGCAGCAGAGGATTGTTCGGGTCGTTCGCATCCTGGCCACCAAAAAGAGGGTTTCGGGTTTAGGGTTTAGGGTTTAGAAAGTTGTGGGTCTCTGGCTCTGGCTGCTGGATCTGCTAGAGTTATACTGACACTGTTCCTGCAGTGGCCTCCGAAACTCTCAGCTTCAGTGTGGCAACCCTGAAGCCCCAAAGAACACACGACCTTCCTGGGTTTTTCATGAGAGGGTGCAGGGTGTGCGGTCCGTGCGGAAAGCATTGATGGCGAGGATGGCCAAGTCGGGCTGCGCCTGCTCAATCTGCGCATAACAGTGACGGCCACCCCACATGTTGCCGGCCTTGGCGTAGTTGATCACGTACAGGTACACCAGCTTCCTTACCACCCTAAACCCTAAACCCTAAACCCTAAAAAAGAAAAACACAGACGCTCCGGGTTGTCGAAGTCACGGGACAGGACTCGAAGCTTGGATCTTGGGTTCGCTGGATGCCACCCAGGTGCTTCAGGTCTAAGCTGTTCGTCTGCATGCATTTCACGACGTCGGGAAAAAGCGAAGACACATCGTTGCCCAAGGTCATGGCCTGAATGACCTGGAGCACGCTTCAACTGGGACAGCCAAGTCCAGGGAAGGCGACATGATTGCAAGCACACATCGAAACTTCTTCCGAATCAACCCACGACTGCCTTCTTCAGAGCCTCTTTCTTTCGATCCTTGTTGCTGTGGTTCAGCTCCTCGAGTTCACACCATGTCCCGGATCAACGCTGAGACGCTGCCGGCAGCAGCCGGAGCGCTCCTCTTTGTACTCGCCTATCTCACCTCTGCGATTGCCCCCATCCTCAGCCAGGCACGTTGCAAGGACGAGTCTGCACGATGGTATCTCTGGCGTTCTGAGCCATCAGCAAAGAAGTTGCGCACAGCCTTCGGCGTTCCCAACTTCTTCATGGCTTCTGCAGCCGAATCAAACCTTACACACTAACAGCTGGACAACTGAGCATGGATCGAGATTGCAGTCTCTAAGTACACCCTCTCACAGATGCAGCTTCGCAGCTCTCATCCCGAGCGTTCTCGCATGGCCATCACAACGAGGCACTCCCACATGTTTCAGGAACCCACCCGTAACAGCTTAAACCCAACATGGGTACGGGACTCTTTTAGAGTATGATATGTGCAACAATCCGTTGAACAACACCATCCAGCATTCAACAGTTTAGAAGCCCTACTACAGCCTCTCTGGAACATTCACATGACTTTGACCAAGATGTTCTTTGCAGCTGGACCTGACTCCTTGAAGAAAAGCAAGCAGCTGCCGAGTCAACACTCAACATGTCGATTCAGCTACACACCCCAGCACTCAGCTCATCAAAACTGACGCGGGCCACCAAAGCGCCTGTGGAAAGGCCTCAGCTGGTCACAGTGCAACAACAAAGCCCATTCTACGCACGCTGAAACTGACAAGTTCATGAAGTCGTGTCAGCTGACACTGCCCAAAGATAAACGCGAGCATACAACCACTCTCTGCGGCCAGGTCGCGATCTGCCAGCTGCTCAGACTTCAAATCTTGGCCCTTCCGCACCAAGATACCTCCTTTATCAGCGCCTCCCACCACCTGAAAAAAACAAAGAGTCGGCATGAAACGCACGTCATTCAAACACATGACACGGGCCTCCCATTTCGACATTCTGATTCGGGCACCTTGGCAAACATGCCAGCATGCTCCTACGTGCCACAAATGGCAGAGGTTGCCAATGGCAGCCACGACGCTGACTTGTGATGGCTGGGGTGCCGACCTCAAACGGTCTAAGAGTCTAACGTACTATCTGTACCGGATACGGCTTCGGAGCGTTACAGAAGCGCGTAGTGCTGCATGCGAAAATGGCAATCAGTGCGCCAACATTTGAAAACTAAAATGTGGGTACTTCGGACGCGCACCGATTGATGTGAAGGGGGAGCTAGCCACCGGCACAGTGTCCATCACGCAGCTGCCTAGCCTTTGAGTTCCCGAAAACCCGGTGATCTTTGCGATCTTTTGACATCTGTATTGTGAAAGGTTTGCGTGGGAGCGTCACACTCCCAGGGCATTTCGGAGTTCCGTGCCAGGCGTGAACTTGCACAACGCAAACGATATGCCAGTCTGTCGAACCAGCACACAACAACACATTCTCCGAGCATCTTTTTATCCTCGGCGCCCAGGAGGCTGCGGCACGGCCGCCGCAACGGCACGGCACTCTGCCTGAAGTCGGTCTGTAGGTGCGCGGAGTCGAGGCCGAGGCTGTTAGCACTTCAGAAAACAAGTAACGAAAGATTGCTTTGGGTCTTTGCAGTCTTTGGGCATCAGGTCTCCACGTGAACCGTTTTCAAGGCCTCTATCTATCTACATGGGATTTTACGGGGCGATTCCTGAATGGCCGGTGAGTTAAAACCTTGAAAACAGTTTTGGCTTTCGTATGTCCTTATTTTACGAAAGCGATTTTCCCTCCCTTAGTTTCCATGTGCAGTTTTGGCGACATGTGGGACTCATGTTTTAACAAAGGGGAGTGATTGTTTGAATTTGTGGAGAGAAGTTTGATGGGCATGCGCATGAACCCGTCCTTGTAACGAGTGGGCTTGGGCACTCGAGGTGACAAGAGTAAAATTTTGGAACCCACCTACCCGCAAAGCGTCCGCAAAGCGCCCGCAAAGCGTTCACTCCCCCTCCTACCCCTCCTACCCTGGTCGCGAAACGCAGAACTGTTGCGATTTTTCGTTTCGGCTTTGGTCCTCGCGTCTCAACGTGTCAACAATCACAGGGATCGGGGGGTCCTGGTCGCGGAGCGCAGAACTGTCGTCACTTTTGGACTCGCTCTGGTCGGCACGTCTGAAAAAGTGCCAACGGTTACAGGGATCGGCGGGTCCTGGAAGCGCAGAACTGTCGTCGCTTTTTGGACGAAGGCTCTGGTCCTCACGTCTCAAAGTGACGACTGAATCTCATATGCATTTGCTGAAAAAAAGGTAACTGCCATGCGCAAACCCCCATCAAGTTGAACTCGAGGCGATCTGCACGAGATCGCTAAAGCCCTATGTACCCAAAGCCCCATATCTAGGACTCGATTAACCGAGCCTAGGGCGACCTCGGCAATAAACAGAATCGAGGAATTGGGGTGCAAATTGACATTGCATTTGTGGGCCCAGAGAGCCAATATTCCTCAATGCAAGGATTGCTGCTGCTGAGGCTCGCGCATTCCGAGAGCACAAAGAGCCATGCCATCGGATGCGTCAATGATCCCAGACTCTCGCCTAGAAGTCCGATTCCGCCAATTGACCGCACACCGGCTCTGATCTTTGGCAAGGGTATTGGGATTTCATGAAAACACGCGGCAAAAAACTGCCGATGTGGCTGGAACTCTCATGAGGTGCAACCAAGACCAAGCAAAACGAAACGAATGGCGGTGAAAGCGTTTTGCACTTCTACTGGCTCAGGTGTAGTTTCGCGCAAACGTCTTCGGCGACTGCAATCCTGTTGTTTGAGGACTTGTCGTTTTGGGGCTGAATCTGAATATGGCCACGAAACTGAGCACATGCAAAGACAACCCGAACTTCAGGGTTGTGGCCAGGTCTGGGCTTGGGGCTGGGGTTCAGAACTCCAGGTCCATACTGACCCGCACGTAGCCTCTGGAATGCGACGCGGAAACCCCCTGGCAGGGTGCACTGCTCAGCTTTTTGGCACTGTCGACAGCCGATGCGTCCGGAAGCAACACATCCTCCAAGTCGCCGGCCTGGTCAAAGTGGTGAGAAGTTTTTTTGTCAGGCGTTGCTGCGACTTCCCACTGGCTTGGGTCCTGTTAAAACCATAAAAGCCACCGCTCCATGGTCCCGGTAACCCCGGTATCCGCCTAGAGGGTTTAGGGACTCTAGGGGGTTTAGGGACTCTTCTGATGCGGAGTGGGCGGTGCCAGCCTTTGTAACCTTCGAAGTGTGTTTCTCCGAAGGTACGATGTTTGCCCATTTGAGAGTGTGGGGGTTTGGGGAATACATCTGTCCGTCCCTCCTCCGAACTGTTGAACTCAGCCTGTGGCCCTTCCTGCAAACTTTGCACGCGTGTTCAATAAGATCACATTGCTTTTGAAAGGATGGGATTTACATCGAATCAAATTGTTGCTTCTTGGAACGCGGGGGACGACATGGATCTGTGCCGAGCATTTGGGTTGAGAAGAACGACATTTTGAATCTTTTGTCAGTGATTGAGCCCTAAACTACGCGTGGCCGTAGGTGCTCGCACACCCCCCCCCCGGGTCAGCTATGCGCAGCTTCTTCAAAAGAATGTCGCCTCTACTTCTCGCAACCAGGAGCTCTTGGAAGACTGAGCTCAAAGGGTTTAGGGTTCAAGTAGGGCTTGCAAGGCTTCGAGCCTAGGGCTTCGGATCTGTGGTTTTTGAGCAGGGCAACCCAAACAGACAGCAGGATTCTAGCGTTGTAGGCTTAAGGTATAGGGAATTCAAACGGCCCCCTGAGTGCAGTTTAAAGCGTGGTGCCCTTTTAAGGCGGCTAAAGAGATTTGAATGTCATATGTAGGACTTTTAGAGTCAGGGTGCGAGGCAGACCTACAAGTTTGCGTATGAACAATACTGTATATGCATACATCTACATCATGCTACCACGAGTACTAAGCATCACACTAGCAGTCATGCTTTGGGGGGTAGAGTCACGGGCTGTGAATTGGCTTTCATAACTATTGCACACCTGCAGCACCCATGGTCTTCAGTTCCCCCCGCGTAGCCTAGACATAACCCATGCACCTCTGTTTTGCATAAGCCTGACTCGACGTTCTGGTCTGCGAGCTTCGTACCGGCCTACATATCCCTACATCTTTGTGGCGATTTCCTAGGTTGCCTGAGAACAAAGGGTACCCCCCTGTTTAGATACCAGCCCTAATCATTTGCATGAAAAACTCCAATCATGGTAGCGCTGGGCGTCGTACTTTAAGGGTCTAGGATTCTACACATGTCCCCAATCTCAAGTCCATGTGAACTCCACTGCACAGATGCCCACCAAGCTGCCGACGCATCGCCCCCAGCGAAATCCTCCATCTCCACACCCTCAACTCCAAACCCCAACCCTCAGGAATCGCGGTCCCGACTGCCGTGCGGCCCGCATGCGTGCCAACATCGCCTGCTGAGTGGAGTGCAACCCCAACTTGCTGCAAACCATTGCTACCCCTCCCCCGAACCTGAACCCTGAACCCCAAACCCAGAAACACCCGACATGCCTAAACATTAAGAGCAGCGCAAAAACATCCGCGCCTCCACGTCCGGGTCGGCTGGCCGCGTTGCGGCAGCCTCGTAGGGTTTAGGAATTTATGGCTTGAGGGTGCCCGTTTCGGAATCCCTTTCAGCGATTTCAAACTATTTGGGAATATTTGGGCGTGAACGGGAACCTGTCTTGGAAAATGCCCACGTCCAACAAAAGAGGAGCAACACTAAACCATACTAAACCCCTAAACCCTGTGATGCAAAAGCCAACGAAAAGCAGTCTCTGCGAACCCAAAACCAGCGCGAATCACCCAGTGCGAATCGGAAACATCGAAAAAGAGACCAGCCATCAGCAGCATGCCTGTTCGTGATCGACCACCGTCGTCGTCGTCGTCATGTTAACTTTCTTCCGTTCCCGCTTTGGTGTGTGTGTGTGTGTGTGTGTGCGTCAGCTAAAGTATCGGCTCCTGCTGTAATCAGGTACATGTCTCATGACATTAGCTGAGGAAAGACTCACGTCGTGCCTCACACGAGTTTTACTAAGGTTCTTCCCGTGTTCGCTGGGCTCACTACGTTCACTGTGCTCACACCTTAAGAACGTAGTGCGTGAGTGAAACGAGCAAACGAAGTGAAAGAATGTAGTGTGTGCGCTCTCTTTTTCTCGCGTGTGCACTAGGTTCATGACGATTGTTTCGTTCGCTCTTCGCATTCGTTCACTTATTATTCGCTTACTCACTTCGTAATAGTATTAATATCATGAGCCTGCGAACGCCCGCTAGCGGGCGGGTTTAGGTATCAGAACGTGGGGATCCGCCTCCAAGCTGGCCAGGAGCTCCTGCCGCTGCTTGGCCCTTTCAGCGGCACAGTCCACCACGAAGCGCTTCGCAGCCACGTACCTGGGTTTGGGGTTCTTGCTAGGAAAACCACCATTCCCTCCGTGTTTTCAAAGGATTCATACTACTCTTCCTCGGATTACGGGCTCATTTTGTCGTATTTTCTTTTTTTCTTGTATTTCCAGAGAGAACAAACCACCATTCCCTCTGCATTTTCCTAGGAATCATACTACTTGTCAGAGAAACTTGGGATTTATTTTATTGGAATTCTTCGCATTTTCTAGTTCATTTTGTTGGATTTCCATAGAGAAAACCACCATTCCCTCTGTGTTTTCTCAGGATTCATACTACTTTGCATGGGACTTCGGATTCATTTCGTTTTCTGGTTTTCGACAAGTACGCGTATGCTTTGAAGCAAATTACCTCAAGGTTATGGTTGCGATCATGACTTGGGGTTACATGTGCCTACATTATCGGCCTTATCACCTATACGCACCCATGAACCATCAAGTAGCACCTAGACCCGCAAACCCTTAAACCCCCAGAACCCTAAACACTGCAGCCATACATTCTAAACCCTAAGCCCTCAAACCAGCCCAGGTGGCTTTGGCTCGCTTTGGAGCTTCTGGATGAGCTTCTGCATCTCGGCCGACAGCTTCTTGCTCATCTTTTTTGATCGAGCCACCAGCCTCCTTGAACCAGCAGCTATCTTATATAGGGCTCAAGGGAGTTGAAGGGTGTTGCAGTTTAGGGATGATTTCAGGGAGGCAGAGTTTAGAGTTTTGGGGTTTGGGCTTAAATTTAGAGTACGGTTTACGAGCTTCAGGTGATCAGGGTTTAGGACCCCCGAAGTACCAAGCATCGTGGCAAATACGCTCCACACCAACCCTAAACCCCAAACCCGAAACCCCTATACCTAAACCAGGTCCGTGCTGATAGGTTGGCGCCCCGACCAACAAAAGTTTTCGGGCCTAACTCCTGATGTACACCAGCAGAAGCCTAAACCCGAAGCCCTGAAAGCCCTAAACCCCCTCTACACACCCGCCCCAGTTGCAGCCAGCCCGCGTGATCTCCTGCTCGGTGGCCGTGACAATTTTCTTCGCCTTCTTGAGGCCCTTGTTCGTGCGAGCTTAGGCTCACAGGAGTTCAGCGTTCAGCGCTGACAGGGGTTCAGTGTTTAGGGTTTACGAACCGAGGGTTTGGGGTTTGCGGTTTACTGTAGGCTTATATAGGGTTAAACGGGCTGAATACGGCCATGCAGAAACCCTGATCGTTGAACGACACAATGCCACACAACCTGTTGGCCTCCCCCTTCCCCCTTCCCAACCCTTGCCCCCCCCCCCCCCCCCCCCCCCCCCCCCCCCCCCCCCCCCTTCCCTCCCTGGGAGGGCCGACAATTCTTTCCGTTTTTCTTTTACACCGACAACGGCTGGACCCGTCCTGCTGTTGGGAATCCCTGGAAACCCTCCGAGACCCCTTGGAATTCTCCTGCCTGACCCCAAAAGACTTCCTTTAACCCATGGATCCCCAAAACAGGAGCACTGGTGGCCAAAGGAAAGCCTTTCCTTGTTGGGCCAGCGAACCCGGCTCCGCAACGCAGCCAGAGGCTTCAGAGCATTCTGCATGCCATTTCACCCCATTTCTCTAAGTGGTGAAGGGGTGCTGGGTACCCAGATGCCCCAGGCCGGGAACAAACACAGTGTCGCTTGTGACAAGTTGCCCCCATGCCCTCAAACTACACATTCACATGCTCAACAAATGACCCATGGGGCTAAAGAGGCACGTCTCCAAAAGCAGGTTGACATCCTAGAACTTGTGACGACGGACATCCCCGAAAACATGTTGCATGAGAAGCCTTGAACCAGGAACTGATGATGCTTTTGTAAGGTTTCTCGGTACCTGCCTGCCGCCACTCATCATTTGGATCCGGCACGTGCTCGGCGCCCTGGGCCGAAGAAGGATGTCGGGGTAGTTTCTAGTTCCCCACCTCGGTGTGGGGTTGCTAGATTTTCAGTCAGCCATTCTCCTCACCCGTACTCCTCGCCCGGTCTCTAGGCCCGGGTCTTCCAGCCCCGAGTGTCACAAAAAACCGTAGAGAAACCTGCCGAGTATCCTGTTGAGTAAATTTGTGCCTGGGTAGATACCACAAGAATGAAAAATTCCCGGAGCGTATTCAGTATTGGGACTTGTTGGAAGCGTAAAAGTTTTTCGGGCTCGGGCTTTCTTAAAGCTTTGGATTGGAGTTTCAACTAGGGATGAACTTCTCAATACTGCGGACTGAGACTCTTTGCTGCAAGCTTTGCAGCTTGAGGCCTAAAGGCTTCAGGCCAGGCCCTGAGACTTCAGAATCCAGGAAGCTAAGAAGACAGGAAAGTTTCAGGCCTTGAGGTCCTGAAGGCTTGAGGCTCTGAGGGCCTTGGGGCTCCAGGAATCTTAAAGAGCCAGAGCCCGGAGATTCCAGGAAGCTAAACATTTCATTGCGAAACGAGGCCCCAAATTTAAAAAAATCGTGATAGATCGTCCACGGGCCAGCCCGACTCACTTTCATAAATTTGTTTGCGTCACCCTCTATAATATACAGGCCCGGCTCGGGGGGCTCTGGTGGCCAAAGGAAAGCCTTTCCTTCGGAGCAACAATGCAGAATTAGTGAGCACAGTCGCAAAGGCTCGCAGAGGTGCATTTCGTGGCATGGGCATCGCAGCATTGCTTCATATTGCTTCAGCCCTTCAAAGAGCCCTTCAGTCTGGCCTTCCCGAAGCGGTCAAAGTCCGCTCTTTGCTTGGGATCGCTGAGGACTTGGTAAGCTGCTGACATCAGCTTGAATCGCTCCTCGGTAGTGACGTAGTGCCACTAGCGCAATATTGTGCAATCAGTTCAAGCCTGGTCCATCAACTGTTTTTCGCTTCGGTTGCAGTCCTCGGCATAGGTGTGGTTGGCGGTGTCGTGCTTGTCTGGATGCCACTTCAGTGCCTGCCTTCTGTAGGCTTTCCTGGTAGCTTTGCAAGACTGCCCTGGGCTTCGGAAGCAACATTCGAAAGCGTAGCTTCTGAAGAAATGTCCCTTCATGGCGCGGGGCTAAGCCAGGCTAAGCCACAGGGATCCACGGGGGTCGTGTAGTTGTTGTTGAGGCAATTCCACATCTGATTTGGTCGCAGTGCACAGGCGACACTCATTCTTGACGAAAGCAACCTGGCCTGCATCGCCAAGCCCGAAGCGATTGTTGGGGGGGCGGGTGGGGGGGGGTTCGTTGAAGGAGATAGGTATCTTTGTTGTTCTTACAAGGCTAGTTTTTGCGGTCCATAAGCTGAAGCAGCTGATGTTTGAAGGTACAGGGATGTTTGGTCAAACGGTGCTGCTGTAGGGTTCAGCGGTGTTGCGGTAATGAGCTGGCTGATGCATTCAGGACCCACAATGGCCTGCTACAGTCTGGGCTTCAGGGTGTAAAGTCGTACTGTATGCAGCCTGCGACTTCGTCATGTTTTTTGGTGAGGGAGTACATGCGCTTAAGCTTCAGCGTCTGCTCCTGCTGCCTCATAAACCCAAGCCGAGCCGGCTGCGAGCCGCTGCAAATATCCTGCCCCGGCTTCCCAAGCCACCACAACTGCTCAAACACCGTCCACTCTGACGCAGAACAGCTGAACCAGGATACCCCAGGTTTTGGGTCGCTCCTCAAGCCTGAGCACAAAACCATATCGATATAAACAAGATCTTCCAGGCAATTGCAGTTCGTGGCTAGATACAACTATATAGACATTATTATGAGCTGAATTGTTGCCGAATGCAGAGCCCCGTGCTACTGGCTTTTCACGCTTCTACGTTTCAATATTTGCTTGCATAAAATTTGATGTTACACCAACTGAGATGCGGAGCTGAGCAAGAACATTGAAGAAAGTCACATCTTGCACGCCCTGCTCGCACAGCTTTTTGCTGGAAAGGGCATCGCTCCCAGGTGTTCTCCTCCAGTTCGATGAGACCTGTCTGCGGGCTACTGGTGGCTTTGGATTCATACTAACAACCTCAGCAGCTCCAAACAATCTTCAGTCGCCCCCCACTTGCTTCAACACGGTTTCTGTTTCCTTTTTGCAACCGAAACCGGAAGGTTTGAAATTACTTGTCAGCAATGATTGTTGGTTTCAGAACTGCGCACCTTGCCTAAATTTTTCATAGGAGTGTGATGAGGAACGTTCGTGATAGGTGGGCCTTGAAAAGGCGTTAATCATTATGTATTAACCATACCAAAAACAATCCTTGTTCTTCGTTCGCTTCCATCAATGTCCGATTAATGACACGCTTTCAAATCTAGAATCTCGTCCAATATTTACAGTCGGCTCACATCCACACCGCTTTTCACGCACCACATCACCAGCAACAATGCAGAAGTAGTCGATGTTGATGATGATGATGATGATGATGATGATGATGATGAGGATTGTGAGTTAGCCTCCGGGTGAAGTGTTCGGAAGTTGAGGGTGGGGATGACGATGTAGCATGTTTCACGGATCCTGAGTCATGGGACTGGTCGAAAGTGCTTCCCAAATCGAGGAAGAAGCTGCAGAACTGGATTTGTGGAGGCACTGCCGAAGGCCCCAGAAAGCTCAACGCCAAGGACATTCAGGATGGTGTCATCTCTGTCGACTTGTCAGGACCTGACCGGAAGTCGTATGCTGGTAACAAGTATGCGCTCGTGGCTTGCGTGAATAAGAACCAAGATCGCTGCAAGGTGTGCAAGAATCCAACGACAGGAGAGACGGTGTGGGCGGGTGCACCATACGAAACCGAGATCTTGAAGAAGTTGATGCAACTACCAGAGCAAAAGCGGAGCCCTGCGAGCGCGAGAGAAATCCCTGTAGCGTGTCCACATGCGATGGGACACAAGGCTAGTGGGAAGCCAGAGCCTGTGAAAGCTTTGAAGGAAGTACAAAGCAATTTGCAAGGAAATGGATAGCATGGCTACGAAGGAGGTATGGGAAGAAACAACCTTGGAAGAGCTCAATGCGAAGTTGGGATACATACCGGAAGTATTGCCAGCTAAACTTGTGAACACCATGAAGCCACCGGAGATTGAATCTGAAAAGGAATTAGGATTCAAAGCACGCTCGAGAGTGGTGGGTTGTGGTAACTTCCAGAATACCAGCGATGCTACCAAGGAGGAATTTGCTTCTTGTAACGTGGATCCGGAGGTCGTGCGATTCATGCTTGCCATGTTGGCCAGCAACCCAACGTGGACGGCTTTATCTTGGGACGTCGTCTGTGCTTTTTTTTGAATGCCATTCTGTCAGAGAAGCATAGGGCAGCGGTTCGACCTCCTAAAGTGTTGGAGCGACTGGGGTTAACGAGTCCTGGTACAGTGTGGTATCTGAAACCGTGTGTCTCCAGTTGAGTGGGAGCGAGCAAGGGATGATGAGAGGGTCACAAGCGGGGCAAACTAACTCTGAGAGAGGTATCAACGTGCAAGGGACTGTGGGCCATCATCGATGAGGCTGGCAACACTGTTGGCGTGGGAACATTTTATGTCGATGATGGACTAGCAGTTGGCGACGTTGAAGCTGTAACAAGGGTATGCCAAGCAATATCAAAGATTTGGGACATCAAAGCACAAGGAATCTTGAGCAGGGCTAACCTTGTCGAAGGCGAGAGGTTTTTGCGCGAATGGTGTAGATTGCGCAGTTGTATCCGAAATCACGTTTCTTGGAACACAGATACAGGTGCATCAAGAAGGCATTTTTCCGTGCCAACGGCATTGGCTGCTACAAGAGTTGGCCAATCGTGGCTGGGCTATGGCCCAAGGAAGTCACAGCCTGCCTGAGCCGCTGGAAGGGAAGCTGGAACCGGAAACAAAAGGGGACGCTGCCAACCTGAAGCGCCTACAATCTGAGTTGGGAAGTTTGCAATGGTTATGCTTGAGATCCCGCCCGGTTATCAGCGCCCTGGTAGGAGTGACAGCTTCGCAGCGTTTACAGTCGCATGCTGGTTGCGCTGCTTCGGCAGCATCGTGCTTGCTGGATGTGGTTTCCCAGCTTGTGCAGCTCCTCCTCGTCTTCACTGGTTTAGTGGTGGCGGGCTTGGAGTTCTTTCGTGGTTCTCTTTTCAGTTGCTGCTGGACTTTAACTCAGCTTTATACAGTCTGCTGCCCGTCCCGGCGGTCCTGTGACTGGATGGAGTGGTCCCCGTGGATTCCGTGGTGATGTCCGCTTCCAGTTGCTACGGCTTTCCTCCTCATCTTCACGCTTTGTGGCGATGAGTTTGGATTCACCTTACTTGGCTTTCCTTCGCTACGTGCTTGAGGGATATGCCGCAACCGAAACGCCTGGACTACCTCTTCGTAGTCCTCATTCCATACACTTGCGGCGCTCGCGCCTTTCATACTCTTGGGCCTGAACCCTCTTTGGCATCGCTAAATGCTTTGCTGACTTGCCAGGTTGGTCCATTTGCAATATGATGATGATGTAGGAGTGACAGCGTGCATGGCAAGTACAAATCCATCTGAGGGACTGAGAATAACCCGAGGGATCTGGAAGTACTCAAGAGGAACAGCTGATTGTGGTCTGATTTACAAGGGAGTTGAGTTCTTCGACATGCACATCCACTGCGATGCTTCTTTCAGCTCTGGAGGATCACGATCTCGCACAGCAATCACGATAGAAGACAACTTGATAGCGTGGAGGAGCAATAGGCAATCGCTAGTTGCATACTCGGCAACAGAGAGCGAGTTGGAGGCCACGGTCACTGGCATTGAACAATCCACGCAAGACCGTTTTGTACGGCGACAACACAGGAGCCTTAATTCTATCCACGCGGGATATTTTCTCGTGGGTGCAGATGAGGACAAGACACTTCGCGCTGCGGACTAGTTGGCTGCGTGATCAACCAGCAACAATCGGATGCGAGGTTGAACACGCTCGAACAACAGAACTGAAGGCCGATGGCCTCACGAAGGTGCTCAGCAAGGCCAAGTTGAGTACAGCTCGTCAGCAGTTGGGCTTGATCAAGAGAACAAAAGGGATGCGCTTGAAACGTGGACATCTTGCAATAAGTGTCAGGGAGTTTCGAGCTCGACGCCTGGATATAGTGTTTGAACTTTTGATATCCCACCGAAGGAATAGTCCAGTGGGTACCTACTTTTCTGTAAGACCTCCGGAGAAGGCATGCGTAGGGTGTTTCAAGTGAGTGGGGCATGCACCGAGACGTGTGACAGAGTCTCGGAGACACTCTGTCAAGGAGGAGTGTTTGTGATAGGTGCATCGCCCCTGCTGCAAGGATGACACGCACAAATCAGGTGCGACCATAAACTATGCCAACTCGACGTTGGCTCAAGATGAGGCACAAATCGAGAGTGTCCCGACTGGGGTGGTTTACTTCAGGGCACACATCAGGGTTTTCCCCTGGGTGTAGCCCGGTACCCGAGTCTCCGCCTGAACCCCATCTCTGGTTCCCTAGTCCTGAACCCAGGTTGTTCAGGGTGTTGGGGGGCTTGAGGGTTCTTTCCTAGGGGTGGTGATGAGATGGATGTGCAGAGGTATAATTCCTTAGATGACTTACCCATAAGCATACGAAACAACCTCAGCCCAGCACCATCACATTTCAGCCACATCCCCGACACCTCTCATAACCAACAAGGAAATTTGATTTTGGATGTGGCCCGGATGCCAGTATGAATGTCCACTTGTGGTTCGGATGGTGCTTCGGACTCGGTCTTAGCCAAACACCGCAGCCGGAAAACCAGAAAAACGTTTGTGCGTCCAGACTAAACCCCAACAGCTGCCAACGATCCCTGATTTGTGGAGTTCAGGTCATCGCTCTTGCCAAGATGCATCTGCTCATGTCATCTTCTGTGTTTTGCATCCTGCGCAGGAGCCCGCAAGAACACGCCAAAAAGCCAACACATCATGTATGCAAGAAGAAGAAGAATAAGAAGAAGAAGACGAAGAAGAAGAAGAAGTTGCAACGCAGTAAACATTCTTTACCTCAAAGGAACCTCAAGGCGCAGTGCAATTACGTCACGCAAATTCAGTGGTTTCATGTTCAAGCTCCACTTTAACAAGGAAAAAACAAAAAACACGTGCGTGACATATCGTGACATCCAGCCCTTCTCCTGCTCCAAAGGCCGTGAAACGAACTAGGAAACCTCATTACTCGGAACATCACAAGGCCCTCACACCCCGCTGTTCCAACACTGCCCAAAAACCGCTTCCAACGCTGGTCCAACACTGGTCCAATGCTGTATGGCGCCTCGGATCCTCGCCTGCTTCTCTCCTGCCAGCACGACATTTGTCATACAGAAGGACGATTGGGAAGGGGGCCCTGAAAGAGAGCGCGCGCGCTACCGCAGAGCCCCATACAAGTACTGCATTTGTACTACAGAAGGACGATTCTAAACAGGAATGGGGAGGGGAGAAAGGGGGGGGCCGCAAAAACGCCCGCGTAGCTGAATTCCGTGCCGCGCGCGTACAACCGCAGAGTCCCAGTGTCCCATATCAGTACTACATTTGTGCTGAAAAGAGGAGGCCTAAAGGCACGCGCATGCAACCGTGCAACCGCAGAGCGTTCTGTCAGCTGAATTCCGCACCCACGAGTGTTGCGAGGTTCTCAGGTTCTCAGTGCGCACGCGCATAGGGGGGGGGGCCTAAAGGCACGTGCGTGCGTACAACCGCAGCCCATAGCAGTCTACTTTTTGCAGATTTTAAGGGCGAGGGGGGGGGGGGTGGGCGAAAAGTGCGCGTACAACCGCAGCGCCATAGCAGTACTGCATTTGTAATACAGAAGGACGGCTTTAAAACGGACGGGGTGGGGGGGGCTAAAATCGCTCGCGTGCCAGAGGTGACAAGAAAGACATTCGGCGACGTGGAGAAATTGCGATTTCAAGGGTGCATGCACGTGCGGTGTTATGGAGTTTGTTGCAAGGGCTTGCCACGCGCCTCGGGTATGGGGTCCAGAGTTGCTGGCTTTCCCGGACTGTGGACAGTGTGGCGGCGCTTCAAACGCTTACCGCACAGGCCTCTTACGCATGAAGGCCACTCTTGCGCCAAGCACGGCAGGGGCTGCAAATATGACAGCCAGCGCCCGGTACGACGGTCTTGCAAAACAAAAAGGGCGTGTTGGCTCAGGGGAATTGCAAACACAATGCTCGCATGACGGGTTTCAAAAGGATGCAAGTCCTCTTCATGAACAGCTGCCATTAAGAAACAAACATAAACAGTACCGGAGCCACGGCCGTGAGGAGCCACAGCCTCGAAGAAGGTTGAGGTCACCTAGAGACCACAAGCGGCACAGCAGGAATGCTTGGAAAACGCGAGAGCCAAGGTCGAGACCCGGCTTCAAGTCTGATCAAAGTGGGGAAGCTTACATGGAGCAGTCTGGAAAGGGCCGAGGTGGTTTGCCGTAAAAAGCCATGCTTCAAGTACATGATGGCTTTGACCCGAAAGGTGATTCCCGGCGCAGAGTCTGCCAAGCAGCGGTGACCCAAGGTGTTCGGGGACACGTAGGGGAAAGAGGTGGCGCGACCACTGGGCAGAGTGGACAAGGGTGATCTGGTCGAATTGGTGGTGGCAGTCTTCGGCCGGAATGATCCGCCAAGCACAGTGGGCCGAGACGGTGCGAGATTCTTGTGCCACTATCACTATCTTGGGTTTCCTACCTGGAACCTGGCCTCTACAACAACTACACGAAGCTACTGACCGAGCGTCCGGACGCCGTGGTCCTGGTGGAGGAGGGTGAGGCCAGAGCAACAGGACGAGCTGTTGACACAGCTGAGGGCACGCTGACTCCAATGGCCGCAGGATCCACACGCCGTGCGGATGAACAGGAAAAGTACGTTATGGAGAAGACCAAGGCCTTGGAGATAAGCTGTGTGAAAGAGCCCAGGAAGGATGCCAGCCTGCCAGGAGAAATGGAAACCCCGAGGCAGCAGGGATGACGAGCCTTCTGAGCTCGAGGATGCTCGGTGAAGCTGCCCCGCTTCGAGCCAGAGGCCATGTGCTTCCTCAGCGGTGACGCGGGACGACTACGCGGGACGAGCGGGACAGAAGATCCTTTCATTTCAGGGCGACAATGATCACGAACGAGTTTTTGTGTTGAGGGTGACCTCAACACCGGTCACCCTCAGCACTGGCATCGGACACGCGACATGTGGGCCGCTTGAATGTCTCTGGAGCAGCAGGGCCTCTCCGCAGTCGAGCCACCCGTTCCCTCAAGAGACGAGAGGACGCGGATGAGTCAATGGAGTTTATCACTTTTCTGTTTGAGGCAAGCCGGGATCCGCTGAAACTGGAAACAGTTTCAAGATCTCTTGATCCGGCACCGGTTGTCTCAAAGGGACTTGCCCTGTTGTGCCCACTCAAGAAGGAAACCAACCAAAAACCCACGCTTACGACATCTGTGCAACAAGATCTCTCTGTCTATGTCTGAAAGCCCCGAAAGCCCAAAAGCCAGAAGACCAGACCTTGTCTCTTCTGTCCCGGCTCCGCTCCCGATCCTGAGAAGTCAAGGGTCTTTGCAAATGAGAGTTTGTGATAGTTTGTACAAATCTCCAGTCTCCTCAAGGTTTTTTGCAGCTTGAAGGTTGGATCAAATCCGAGGCGGTTCGGAAGTGTTTTTCAGACTCACATGGCGTGAAGGATTGGCTCGGGCTGTTCGTGCTCGGACAGGAAAAGGTCCAAACCCTACCTGGATGCAAACCCTGAAGGACTGTTCTTCCTTATGTGCAGCTGCCGGAGACCATGACTGTCTGCACATGTTGAGCGCAACCTTGTCTCAAACATGTGGGCTCTCCCTAGTATGGCTCGGGCATTGTCAGAGAATGAACGCTTTCGAACGCTTTGCCAACGCAAATCGCACGGATCCCGGAACCTCCCCAACCCCCCCAACTCTTCAAACGGGAACCCGGCTGCTCAGGAGAAAACTGGAAGCTCCGAGTGCCAGGCCCGAGTCTCGCGACCTGGGCGCTGAGGGTGCGGTTTCCGAGGTAACCAAGCAAGGGGTGTGTGCGAGGTTCTTTGGCTTTGGTAGGCACGGTAGGTGGGCGGAATTTGCTTGGGTCCTCCAGAGTACTCTCCAGCCTCGATCCCAAACATTGGGCCAAAAGCACTTCTTCGGTTACGAAGAGTGGTAAGGGAATGTGGTTACGACGTTTGTTACATGCATTAGTGATCATTGCGCGACAGGAGGTTCACAGCAGGGTAAGCCAATGCAACACCAAACAACGGATGATTTTGCTCATGGCGCGGCTGCTCTCTAAGCCTTTTTAGTCAATGTCAAACTACACTGCGCTCCAGCGCTGCTTGTGGGCTCCAGGACGGCTCTGTAGGGTTTGAAGCAGTTTGGACCCTTCGGGACCTGGAGTCTGCCAGTCAGACAGACTCCAATGCTTGACCCGAACAGAGGCACCGGTGGCTGCAGAGTTGTCTTGCAGTCCAGTCGCTGGGCTAAACATGAAATTATGGCTATGTGCCCTAGCACATAGCCTTTTTTTGTCTTGCAATGTTGTCTGTGCCTTTTTTTGACCGCACAGGCTTGCAAGGCAGAGCGAAATCTTCATATCTTCTGGAGATCAATCCAAATCTGCGGCACGAAAGCATCCTCCAGGGCTCTTTTTCTGCTTCATCTACTTCAAATTCTCGCATTCGAAGACATTCTCTTGTTGCAAGACTCGATCTCGTTCAAAAACTCACTAAACTTACGTACGTTTTGAAGCAGCCTCTCCTCCATTTGAGCATAGGACGTCTGGATCCTTCGGAATTTGGCGAGACCCCGCTTCTCCATGCCCGCTGCCACAGCCACAGCCACATCGATGGCATTCCCGAGGGCCGAGACGCGAAGATCCTGCCGGATGTTCGGCAGAGGTTAGGTACGGTTTGGTGAGCGGGTGACAACTTACTATACTTACTATCCTGCACGGGGGGCTTGGCAGCGACCTCTCGGCCATCAGCTGCAGTGCTGGCCTCCAGTCCCTTCCTCGACTGTTCTGGGTGTCTTAATTCATTGAAACTCAACTTCTGTTCCTTCTAGGATGAGTGGCAAAAAATGTGTGCCAATTCGCCCTGCTTCAGCATGGTCTCCGCTGATCTCTCATAGAACCTGATACCCTTCTTGGCCGTGACCTTCATCTCCATGCCTAGATCACTGTCGGGAATATGCGTGAAGAATTTGTTTGCGATCTTCTTGTTTGTCGAATTTTGTTGGTCCATTTCCTTGGTTTTCCTGCGAAAAAACTCTCTGGCCGATGCATTTTAACTAGGCTTGTTCCCTAGGAAAAACTATTGCCTGAGTATTCTCATGGGATTCGTACAATTTCGTTGCCTTTGTATTCTAGGTGTCCCGAAGAAATCCCAAGGAAAAACTCAATTGCCTCCGAGGATTCCCCCCCCCCCCCCCAAGTGCGTTGCAAACACAATGCTCGCAGGCCGGGTTTGGATTGTTCTTTACTTTGCATTTCTGATTCCCCAACCCCAGGCCCTCTCTATTGGTTTTCCTAGCAAAAAAGAAGAGAAACAGATGTGCTTTTTTGTGAAAGCGTTGACAGATTTGCAAAAGCATTGCTCGCAAGACCGGTTTTGAAAGGATTCCGATGCTATTTACATGGACGCTATCTTCTTGGCATGAAGGTTAAAGAGCAGGCGGGTGAAAGGAGCGGCGCAGCTCCCCCCTCCACCCAGTTGCAAACACACTGCTCGGCGGGATGCGGGATGTGGAATGGTACTAATGATATTTCCCTAAACCCTAAACCCTAAACCCTGAACCCTAATGGTATTGTTGATTTCATTCTTTCTTTCCATCCTCTTCTTTCTCGATCCCAGCTCCGGGCTCACTCTCTTCGAGAACGAGATGTTTTGCCATTAAACAACAGAGAGAGACAATAGAGGTTTCCTTCCGATAATACATAGAAACAGAGGTCTTCCTCCGAAAATAAATCAAGATAGAAAAGTAGTTTTCCTAACCCCCCCAAACAAAATATCCAAAAAGTTCGTCACACAATGCGCATCCTCCAGGAAAACTTGCAACATACCTGGCCACAACAGTCAGGATATAAGCACTTCCACACACAAAACAGACCTTCGAACATGTCTTAGCCTTTACCCATAACAAGGCCCTTGTTCTGGGTTCCCCTGACAGTGTGTACGATCCAGTGTTGACACCGAAACAAAGCAAGGAGGCCCCCGGCAGGTGCCGGCTCCATTGCTGCGCTGGCAGAGCCGGCGGAGCCGGCGGACCGTGCACCCTTGCCACCCTTGCCGTGCGGCCAGCGGCGCAGGGCCATGCCATGAAAGAAGTCCTGGAAGTGGAAGGGGCTGAAATGATTCGCTGATGAGTGCTGGGGTTCAAGGAACTGCTGAAGCTTCGGGTGAGAAATCTGGGGGTCTGGAGTTTGGAGGCTTTTGCTTGTCGACGCTTGATTAGCTGAAACGAACTGTAAAGAGAACAACCATCGAAAAGCAGCTCCAAATAGTCCAGAAAACATGATAATCTGCTAGAACCAAAAGCATGTTTAGCTGTGTGAGGGGCCCGCTCTGTGAAGAAGTAGATGTATTTGGCATCAATGCCAATGACGTCCTGTCTCCAGCAACTTACAACAAGGAAGCATGAAGTTCGCAAAGAACATGCTAGCCAATGTTCGCACACAAAACCTCAATTAAAGAGCGAAAAAACTCCTTCGGGCAGCGGGCCTTAGGGTAAGGAGATGGTGAGCCAGGATCGTCTTCGAAAACCATGTCCCCAGCAGGGAGGGCAAGGCTCACGGGACCCCCAGCCACAGTCGTTTGACGAATGCCATCCGCGCACTGGGCGAAGATGGTGTCACCGGCCACGAACAAACCGCTCGGGAAAGCAAACGACATGGCAGATCCTTCTCTTTGGCAGCCCGTTTCGCATCCCTCATTTCAGCCCTTCCAAAAACATACTTCAAAAACGTTATGTCTTCGTGCGAGGATCTTTCATCCTTCAGGATCTCCCTTTCTGTGGCACTCCCGACGTCAAAGCTGCGCATGCCATGGCCCTTGCACACCAGCACTGAACCTGGCAGAGCGCAAAGCCCCGTGATCCTCGGTTGTTTTTGCAGCTCTCTGACATTATTTTGGCTTAATTTGTCGGAAAGGACAGCGAAGGATCACATCCACACTCCCAAGAGCATCCAGGCAGCACTGATCCGGAGTCACGGGGCCTGAGGAGGCATGTGGGCTCCTTCACGAAGTCGCAGACGGGCTCAATGCAATCGACGGCGGTAGCAGTGCCTTCGCATATGCTTTTTTCAATTGCGCTCAAGGTGCTTTTGCGGAATTCTTGGGGGCATTACTTGAGAGAAACTTCTGAACAACACATCCAGGGTGCCCGAAAACTCACGGACCAAAGTAGTGCTTCCTCAGTCAGTCAGAGAGAGTTGACAAAACTTCCCTTGAAGGTGGCAGGTTTGGGTCTTTAGGTGCATAAGCTTCCGATTACATCACATGTTTATCGGTCGCTTGGATCTGAAAACGTTCCCAAAAATACTTGGCTTCCGGGAAAGGTCTCGTCCTTCAGACCTTTTTGTGCTCGGTGTACCGCCCCAGCAGCATTCACAAAGTACACATTCTCTCCGTTGCTGGCGCAAAGGCACCATCCAGGATGCTTGATCACCCGCACTGCTTTTGCAACTGTGTCGATCACAAGCATCTTGTCCTGTGTGCCGGTGAAAACGGTCCAAGGAGTTCAGTCTTTCATTGTTTCCGATTTCCCATCTACATGCCTTAGTTACTTAAGTATCTGACATTTTTTAAGCGCAATCAAGAAAATCTTGAGCCTTTGCATTGCACCGAAGTGTCCTTGCCAAGGATAAGGACATGGCTGCCCACAGCCAGAGCTGGGCACTTGCGCCCAGCTCCCGGCGTGAAGAAAGCTTCCAGGGAGTCCGCCTCTTCTGCCGGTTCAGGGGAAGGGGTCTATTTACGGCCCCGGAAGCAATTCGGGATTTTATTTGAGTTTCCTCGTGTGGGGGGAGGGACAGGGTTGAAGTGGGGGGGGGGGAGAGTGAGGAAGGGTGAGTGGGGAGAGAGAGCGAAAGAGAGAGTGAGATAGAATATACATGTGGAATATACACAGATGCTACCTACCCCCCAATGTACCTACCATTTGTTGGCTGAGTTAGTATCACACATGTCACGCACAAGCTTGTACGGGAGTTTTCGGCTGTAAAAGATGCAAGCGAATACATTAAATAGAGAAAATAATTCGATTAACCACGGTAACTAACGGGCTTTCTTCATTTCTCACGGACGACCCGTAGTTTGCGCTTACAGCCGGAATTGAACAACTGTAGATGAGTTGCGTCGAAATAGTAGTAGCAATTACTTTGACGATTCTTTCGGAGTAATGGCTTACACAAGAACAGCTTGGTTAAGAGTTTCTGTCCACATTGATCAACCTAATCAAACTAGCAAGGTTTGACGCAATACTGGAGCGTAAATACTTGTTAGCTCAATTTAGTGTTTTTTTTTTGCGTGACTAGTTGATAGTCCTAAGGCTTCTAAATCTTAACTACATCAAATGCTACGTAGCAAATCATGGCAACACCTGTTGCTTCGAATGCAATAGGGCCGGGAACAGGCTTAATGGTGCAATAGGGCCAGGAACATTCTTAATTGTAGTATTCCGTTGCTATGTACAATAGATTATCGTTCTCTGAACAAAAAAGCAGTTATTAATGCAACGAATAATTAGAAATCAACGTGTTCCCGGCCGTATTACATTCACAACAATAATTAGTCGAATCGTACTAATTAACCCTGAACTATGCCCATAAGAAAGGCTATATTTCTGAGAACCGGCGAAAAAGCCCCTTCCCCAAACCAAAGATGCACTTCCTCAAATTAACGGGGAGGTGTAGCTCAAGTTTACGCTGACAGGTTCAAGAGTCGTTGTCTAAAAATGCAACCCAGATGCCTCTTCCACAGGGAGCTCGCTCTCTTTACCAGCGGCCGGGAGCACTTTAAGAGTTTTTCCTTCGATGTTCCAAGGCTCAATTCTTGAAGGGGTGGTGGGGGTTGTCAGTCATTGTAGCACTCGAAGCCTTTTTCGAAGGAACCCCGTGTGTGTGTGTGTGTGACATCCTAGTACATGGGTGATTGGAGTCACGTCCAACGTATTGAACCTTGAGTTTCATTGAAGAGCAGGGGGCACCTGGGCCATGGATAGGGCAGGTGCCAACGAAGACACCTATCCATTGGCTGTGATATGGATTCCGGACGCGGAATCCACGTACCTGCATGTTTTCCGAAAGTCGGGAGCTTTTCGATTTCTTGAAATCAGTGTGCAAAGTTGGGCCCTCAGACATCACATGACTGCAGCAGACATTGCATGGTTGAAGCTGACCGAGTGGCAACATACGCCATCTTTCCCGAAATGTACCCTGAATGATCTCCCTCTTTCCTCTCTTGCAATTGATCGTCCAAGCCGGTTCAGTCCACCGAGCAAAAGTGTGTGTGTGTGTGTGTGTGTGTTTTGTGTGTGTGTGTGTGTGTTTTGTGTGTGTGTGTGTTTTGTGTGTGTGTGTGTGTGTTTTGTGTGTGTGTGTGTGTGTGTGGGCGTGGGCGTGGGCGTGGGCTTGTGCGTGCGTTTGTGCATGCGTGCGTTTGTGCGCGCATGCGTTTGTGCATGTTTGTGAATGTGCATGATATGCGTGACATGCGTGCATGTCCCGATCCCATGATACTTGCGATGTTTCGAAGCAGAGCTCCGATCCCACAGTATTTGCGGTATCCATTTGTTGTGGACAGGTCCGTGTCCACGGACCCGCTAGAAGAGCCCAGGGGCCCAAACCTCGGCCACAGCAAGGTTGACAGAGCGCGTTGACCCCGTAAATCAACAGCCAGCCCGGGCCAGCCCCCCCTAAAGGAGCGGCCGAAACCGCCACAGCCTGGTTTTGTGAGGGTGTTGATCCCACGTGTAAAAACAACAGGCCCCCTGAAAGGAGCCGATGTCGTCCGTGCGTGTCCCCACCTTGTGTCCGTTCGTGTACCAAGCCGGTGCCACGGGCGGGCGCAGTACAGCCAAGAAAAAACAATGTGGAGAAAAACGCCCAGAAAAAACAACGAAAAAAGAACCCCCATCCTTGTCTCTCTATTGCTTCACCCCGGCGCACCTCATTTCTTCATCCCATGTCCACGTGTACCCAACTGGAAAGCTCCCTTTCCCTGTCTAACCGGTTGAAGCCACAGCTCCGACTAAGATGTAGATGTCTCCGGCAGCACTCACTGCAGCAGCCAGTGGATCTTGCAAGTCATCTCTCTCCTGGCGCTTGCAAACTGTGCACTGATGAGGGTTCCAGCTACTAATGCTAATAACCCAAGATCACCCGAAGGAAGGTATCCAGCATCGCAGCGTAAACCTTGCCAAGCTTCTGCCGTTTCCACCTGCGTGCCTGCTCTGGGAGTCCACATCCACACACACAAGCTTCAGGGCACACCCTGCTCAAGCCCTACTCCTGAGCACGAGCCCCTTGGGGGACAGAGATGGCTGCAGAACCGAGGAGCTTAGGAGCCTTGCATTCTTCATGTCTGATTCCTGCATCCGCTAGTGAGGTCCAGGGTGCTCTGGCCTTTTATGTGGGAGTTCCTGCGCAATCCAGTCTTCCTGGGCGCTGGACGAGGTTGTGCTTCATCCTCACCTTTCAGACTGCGCTGCAGCATGCAGCTCGCTTTGCGTCTGGGTCAGAAGCCACATGACGGGCTACGTACTGCAAATGTGCCATTAGCAATGCCCAAAAGGGGACTGATGCGCCAAAGACGTGCAATCCCTAGGTTTTGAGGGTGTTGATGCTCCCCTTTCTTTTCAGCCTTCCTTTAGGGATGCTAATTTTAGAGGTCCCAACGGTTCTTTATTTATCTTCAAAAGCGTCTCAAGAAAGTGCACCCCCCCCCCCCCCCCCCCCCCCCCCCCCCACCCCGCCCCCCATTCTCCGGACGCCTTTCTCGCCAAAGTACTTGCTGCTCCGATAGCCAGCCTAGGGCCAAAAGCGCAACAAGAAAAGCTCTGAGCTTGATGGGCTTGATGAATGCCAGCACTCCCAAGGTTGGAAGGAGCTACGACAACTTTTGTGAGGCTGTGAGCAAGGAATCCTTGGGCCCACATTTAGCGTTCGGTGAGATAGAGCTCCTACTATAAGCAGCTTGAAAACTCATGAAACTCAGCACGCTGCGCGAATTTCGGGGTCGATTGCCTCGGATTGAATGAAGCCGGTCAGGGCGAGCCATTGACACCCAAATGTCGGGATTGGAGACGGCCAAATGCCGAAACGATAGGGAGGTGAGGAGGCAGCGGAGGCTCCAGCTTTCCGTTTGGGTGGTCTTGAGCTTGACTAAGCAGGGCACGGGCGGCAGCAGCAGCTGCAGTAAGCTCCATCAAGTCAAGAAAGCCTCGTACCTCAAGCCCAAAGCCTGAGCCTTCTTTTCTACTTCAGGCTTCGCGGCTTCTTGGCATTTAGTCCCAAACCCTGAAAAAAAACGTCTCAACAATTCTTCAATCTCCCAAGAGGGGTCAACAAAGGGTTGCTGAAACATTCTCCGGGGGCATGGCATCTCCGATATCTCGTCGCTTGCCTCCCTGGTATTTGCACGGGCCTTGACCGTTGCAAGACCAGGCTTCTCAAGTTCTCTTCTGTCGGTTCTTCTCTCCTGTTCTCCAGTTCTTGGCACTCTTTTCTCTCTCCTTTTTGGCAGCTCCACGGCCAGCGCGGTGCAGCTCTGCGCTCTCTGACCCTTTGCGAGTTCTTCTCGTGGCCAGAGGCCCTTGAAATGGGGCCCGAAGCGCGACAACAATCTCTTTTAGCCGCTCAACTTTTCAAGCGCTCGTACTCTCTTTCTGCCGGAAGCTACTCCCCCTCGGCAGGTGAAACGTCATGGCCAGGACAGTTCTTTGAGAATGCTCCCCTCACACCCTTTCCCTTCAAGTCCCGAACCATTGAAAGCTGCAAAACCAAGTCTGCAACCATTGACCCTGCAGCTCAAACGCAGAAGCAAAAGCATGCCCAGCCGAACCGGCTTATCTTGCCGCTAACGTCACAGCATCTTGCCTTCGGGCAGAATACAGGCTTCTGTCATTGTGCTAGCGCTATGCGTTGTTTTTTTGGCCGTCCATGGCGACGAGAATAGAATGCTCCAAGAGACACTGGGCATAGATCTAGTACCACACCCAACGATGGCGTATCCTTTCCCTCCTGAACTCGCAGTACTGAAGCTTACACCGACGAGCAAAACTTAAAACGTTATCCCTGACATCCGCCTTGCAGTGTTCACCCTGGAACAAGTCAAGAGCCAGCCAACCCAGCCGTCCGAAAGCCGAAAGCCCAAGATATCTGGTTGACAATTTAGTTCGCGGCATTTGCAACATCGAGAAGACCCGTGGCAACCGTCGCATACCTGCGTCGTCCCGCAAACCTTTCTTCTTTCGTGCTGCTGCGGCGACCTGTCCGTCGACGAGAGTATTAATTGAAGGATTCTTCTCTGGATTTGACCGGCTGTCGTTCAAAGCCATGCAAAGTCCTAGTCTGTGGTTTCCATGTAGGCATTTGACGGCAGGCCTTCCTCAAGCAAGTCCTAAAGCCCGAGGCCAAAAAACCTACAATCGGTATCACCCTAGCATATGTAGTAAACACATCAATTTCCACCAATCCTATTCTAGGTTATTGTTTCTTGAAATCTTTGTGACTAATCAAGACAAAATCCACCTCTATCCCATATGGACATGCAGCGCTACAAAACTATTCGCGCGACGAGGTTTTTTCTTCTCTTCAACAAACTGTCTAAAGTGCTGTTCCGCATCTTCTTTCGACATGCTGGCATCTTTCTCTCGGGCATCTTTAAGCACAGTTGCCCTACTCCCAAATCCTGAGCTGTCACTATATATGTATCATTGCTGGTATTTCCGGATCATTACTGACATGTCCAGTGTGACTTTATACAGGGTGGAGGTTACCGAGGCTAACCTTTGCTTAGTAAGAAACACTATCTGATTCATGGAAAGTTCTTGAAAAATTAGCGAGGCGTTAATTTTGGTATCCGTTGTGATAAACAACCGCCCCAGAACGGTAAAGTGGGTCCGAGGCATGCCATCATCAGGCATCCGGCGACTTATGGAGGTAGGGTATATGCCATCAACGGAATGAAGAAGGAATACAAATTTCCGTGATATGTACATCCCGAGGCCGATTCAAAAATTAGAGATGTGTAAATGGCTCCCTTTAGCACCCTGAAGGCGAGTTAAAATTGAAATAATGAAAAAGAACAGTCGAGAGGGAGCCTTTGAAACAGTTTGAACCGTTTGGGAAAATCCTGGGGCCAAGGAATGTGGAACTTGTCTATATTTTTTTAAATAGTTCGAGGAAGCTTCTCAAAAAAAGGCCCCAAGGACGATTGAACAATAAAACATGCATTTTGAAATGGGGCATTGTTAACCGTTTACATGCGAGAAACCACCCGTCAAATAAAGCATAAAGGTTCTACGTACATGTTTCTGTATGTTTCCAGTAACCGTGTGAAGACACCTCGCTCGCAGGGTTTGGCCGCCTACCCCTCGACTCTCGTGCCACTCGCTGATGAGGAAGGAGTTTGAACACGAAGATGCAAGGACTACCGCTGGTCGTCTGCCATAGCAACTGACAGGGGACTTCAGATTTTTGTGCCGACCTCCCTTTCATGGACACTTCGCCAATGGGCCATACCGCAACCTTGAGCAAAGCATCTGAAAGTGGATCCCTGACATGCCATCATCATGTCCTGCCCGAACCCTTTTTAGCCTTTCCGAGATTGACCGAGAGTGCAACACATTTCAGCCTTCTCTCGGTTGGCCCAATCCTTGCAGGTCGCCCGATCGAGGCAGGGGTTGCCTCGCATGGATCATGGGGGTGGAGGTTCAGAGTCTCTCCAACGACAGTGACGAATCTCACAAGGTGCAACACCAACGACATTAGCAAGAAGCCAAAAATCTGAACTTCGCGCAATCGTCCAGGAATGCAGAAGGTTGCGGTTCCACCAGTAAAGGATTTTGTCCCGGTTGAGTGACGTTGAGTGTGGTTTCGATGGTTTCGAGGTTGAGCAAATATGGCAAGCCAGATTTCGCTGCGTAGGTTTGGCATGCAGAGGTAGGTTCTGCAATACTCCTCAGGCGACTAGTTTAGCTGGCAGCTGCACAGCGACTTCACAACATCGCAGCGTCCTCTCCAGCCTTCAAGACACGAGCAGGACTCGTTCTTGAACATTCCTCAGCTCGATTAGCCGGCCCAAGATCCCAAATCCCAGCCTGCCATCAAGCAAACCACAACTTCTGAGGCAACACCTGATCCTAAACCCGCTATAAAACAATTCAAAACTCAAATCCCGGAACAACGAAATTGCACTAAACCTCCCTGCTAGCATGATAGCTTTCATGCCGCCACCCACCCGATCATGGTACTGACCCTCGAGCCCTGGCGACAATAAGATACTTGCAGTCTTCCCATCGGAGACGCTCTGGTATTCCCAGTGCAAAACCCTATAAACTGCATTGGTGGAAAACAACTTTGGAGCTAGCTTGTCGATCTTGGGATGATTTGGATGTACGGTGTTCGAATCTGAAGGTGCAGAAACCAATTTGATTGAATTGAGGTGTTGCGAATGCGGGCGGATCGTTGTTTCAGTGTTCACCTTCGGGTGTCCAGGGGCTGAAAAAGCAACTTTTCGCAACTCTTGTACGCGCAACTCTGCATCTGCCGGACTCTTCGTCAGGTGATCCGGGCGGCTTTTTTGCCGCGTGCCTAGTGTACTTTGGGCTACTCAGGGAAGGCCTTTTCATTGGCTCTTGCTGGAGGTTCTATTCTGAATTGTCCTGTGTTTCGATTTGTCCATCATCACGCAATCTCTCAGCCCAGCAGGCCGAAGCCGGAACCTTGCTCCAACTTCTTCGCCTCGCGGATGGAAGTCCTGGGCTGGGCTTTGGGTGCCACATGGCCACAGTTATGTACTCAAGTTGTACTGAGCTCAAAACACCGCTTGAGTGGTTAATGAAGTACCCCAAGGGTCAAAATGAGATCAGAGTTGGTCTCAAGGACCATCCCGGCCATGACCAGCTCGTCCAAGATGTAGTTGACCCGGTCAAAATGATATATGAGGTCCAGCTCACAAACGTTCTCAAAGCTGGAGTCGAGCACTGTAACGAAAACCTGAATGAGGTCCAACATGCCCAGCTCACTCTCAGCACTGTCGGCGACAAAGACGAAGTACAGTGTCGCAAAGTGTCTGTAGATGATCTTATGGTCTGGCCCAAATAAAGTCTCATCCTCCACGAAACTGCAGCAGTTGTCGTCTACTCGCGTGCTGACCAGACGGAAGATGCTCTGTACAATGTGCTTCTGCCTGTCCAGGGGGACCTCATAGTAGAAACGCAGCAGCCGGGACTTGCCCTGATTATTGACAATCAAGATACATTTGATCATCGCCGCCTGGAGCCGAAAGCGCTACGGAGCCGCAGCAGATGCATTACAAGACAAATCAATCATGCAACGTCACGGTTGCAACCACACGCATGTGCTGCATGATCTTGATTTCAAGTTTCCATCGATGGCGGCGACATCCTTTTCTCGCATCACCTGGCAAGCGCATGCAGATGCTTTTCGGATTCCACCTGTCTTGGCGCCAAGGCATCGGAATGGATGGGTCCGGCCTCTGCATCGTAAACAGCAGCTGCACCTGCTGCCCTGGGACAAACAAAAATGGTTGCAAGCATACATTGAACTTCGAGCTCCAAACACGCCCTTTCAGCCCAAACCCTACCAGAAGAAACCCAGCCTGCAATAAACCGCTCCCTCTCAAGGCGGCGCTAAGCCATCCATCCCGTCCATCCCAAATCTTGCCAGCAATGGGTCCCTGGCACGTATTTTTTCTGGGATTGGCCGTCGAACCTCGGTGGCGGCAGTTGTCATGAAATCAAAGCTGCGCCCTCTGCAATTGTAGACTCTGGACATGCATGGCCGGATGTTTCGACATGTTTCGACTCTCCCAATGACCCGGCTCATCACGGAACATCATCTTTGGCACCCAAACTCTCGCTTTTCAGCATGACCCGCATGGCTTGCACTGGCTAGCTGTTAGCAGCTGACTTGTCTTGCTCTTGCTTCCTCCTGTAGGGCCAGTGGAGTGACTGACACCTAGCTTACTGAGCACGATGCCAGGCGAGCTTCGGCCAAAGTTTCTTCACCTGGCATGTCCAGACATGGTCCTGAGCCCTTGCTGCTTACCACGGAGGCAACTTCTTTCCTGAAGATTTCGTTTTCTTTCATTTGAACATGCTCTGACTCCCCAAGCTCCCAAGCTCGCAAGTTCCTGTTGCATTGCAGCCTGGACGATTCTTTGCCCTGCCCTACTCAACAAACAATCCAATCATGCATCTCCAAGACTTTTGCATGCCCGTTTTATCTGACATCTGGGCGAAAGACCCTCAAACAGAGCGCTCGTGGCTACGCGGCTACTCTCCCCAAAACAGCAACGAGCCTTCTTGGCATAGCCCGGCTCCGAGGCCAGGTCATTCTCACCTATGAGACTGCTGGAAAGAGCGTCTCCCAAAGGCTCGGGCCAAGCCTCAAAAAAACCCATTCGGGGCCCTACCGGCCTACCATTCCAGTTCATGCTTAAGTTCTGGCTCTGGGGCCACGGCCTTCGGACAAAGTGGATGGCGGGGGCAGGCAACAAATGCGACTGTACTGAAACGGGGCTCTAAAAAAATCGCCTCCGCAAGCAGTCGGCAAGGCAGGTTTGACGCTGTCACATTTTTGGAGGAAGCACAAAAGAAGCACTTAGACAGTCCCCGTCGACCCTCTACAGTTGCTACAGTCAGAGCTCACGCCACCGTCACTGCTCAAGCCAGAACTTGGCAAAAAGAAAGCTTAACTGCAACATGCGCTGAGCGAACAACCACCGAAGAAAGCGATGAGACGCACACGGGCATAGCATCAGTAATACAAATACGCCAGCAGCGTGAAAGAGGACGCTAACTACCTCTGTGGACACGCTTCACAAGAAGCACAAAGGCCTCCAGACGGAGATAATGTAGCTTGCCGCACCAGTACATTCAGGTTGGGTCACGTGTGAGCCATTGTGAGGGCAGTGGCTCATGATCGGTTTCTCTGCACTTCTTGAAGCTTGAGGGTTCATGACTTCGTTCAGACCCTACCTCTTAAACCTCAAACCTTACAAGCCTTACACCAGAAATCCCAGAGACACAACACCCAAACAACTAGCTTGAAGTTTCACTTAGTGCACGGCGCAAGTCGAGCTCCAAAAGCCCAGGGCACCTCTCAAACTTTAGCACAGAAGTCGACGAGGCAAGCCAAAGCTAGGATGGGCACGGGCGAATCGCTGGTCTTCAGGAAAGTTCCCCTGTAAGAGGTAATTTCTGGTCCACAGATCGACAGCTTGGGCCTAGCGGCCTCTTGCTTGTGAAGCGATCTAGAAAAATGTCAAGCAATATGCGGAATCAAAGCCCCAAAGCCCCATCCCAGAGTAGGGTTTACAATGTTTGCAATAGGACCCAGCGAATCCCCCATCACCCCGTTGGCGCACTTTGCTGCCAGCGTGTCCAGCTCCGATAGCTCTTCCAGCGCCTCCGATGCAACTTGGAGACAGTATAGTTTTGCCAAGGTCGTGGTCCAGGTAGCAAGATCCATGTTATTCTTCAGCGTCCTTGGGTCGGTTAGGTACGCTTACGGGCTCAAAGGGTTCCGCTTCAGGTGTGCACAGTGGCATTTGGATCCCGGCATTGCCATTGAGCTCCTGAGCTGCGCGTGCCCTCCCTGCCTGCTACAGTGACACCAACGCTCACAAATCTCACCATGCCTGTTAGCAGGTTACCAGAAACGAAAAAGCTGCAAACGGAAGGGCTTCAAGAAGTTGCTGGGTAATGCCCGAGCTTCCGAATCAACTACGTACTACTTCTCAGTATGGGTGCTGTGGACACTCCTTCAGGCTGAAACTGGACCCTTGAAGTCGAGGAGCCAGCATGCGAAGCTCAGGCATGTCCTGCAACAGGCATACGCAAGATTCCCTAGAGCCACTAAGCTTCAGAATCTGCAGGCTTTAGGAGCGTCATGGCGTGGGCACAGCATGGAGTTGCAGCAGCAACCTGAAGAGGCACCGCAGCCAGTATGGCCCCACTTCGTTCCACTTCCGAACTTGGGTCAGTGCCGCGACGAGAACAAAAGTATCCACTGCAACAGGCTCACCACAAAGCGCGTAGCTCCGAACGACTGCGCTCCTCTAGCTCATCGAAGCTGGCCACGCCACTGCCCTCGGCAACCAACTTGCGAAGCCTGCAAGCCACCAAGTGGGCACAGTACCCGGGGCTGGATGGGCCGGGGAACGGGCGGGTACCAGGTATCAGATATCATAAAGGGTCTGCTAGAGCGTGCAAAAAATTGCTTTCTAGGTAAGGGCGCAGCGCAGAATTGCCAGAATCCCCTAAGAGAGAACCCTCTGAAGGCCTTGGCAGCGCGGCAAGAGCAGTCCAAGCACCAGAAACCTCCTCCCGGGCACAAGATGGAAGGGTCGAGGAAGGCGTAGGGCCGTAGGTAGGGCCACGGAAAGACATTGCAAGAGGAGGGGAGTTGTCGGAAGGAGACTCATCGGCTTGTGCAAGCTTGACTCGTGTCAAGACATGTCAAGACTAGCGGAACATGTATCCTGATATGCAACTGGAGATAGCTCTGCTGTGCTCAGCCTTGTTCAGCATTGGTTTTCTGTATATGTAGGTGTTTGGAGTATAGAACTATGCCCAAAACAGCTGAAGAACCTCAAGACAATCTACCGCTTCAGACCAGTCACGGAAAGCTCTACGAAGCTGAGGTCGAGGACAAGAAGCCTTCCGTGCGATTACCGCGCGATGATATGGTTTGGCGCTTCGTGCTTGGCGTGTTTTGGGCTTTGGGGCTTTCCTTTTCCTGCAGTGGCCCTCAACAACACTTCCTTGCTTCGAGTTCCCACACTCGTGGCACACATGCTACATGAGCAAAGCTGAGGATTCCATGCGCTGCCTCCCGACACCCTAAGACCCTCAAACAATCACCAGCGACACCTCGGAAAAAGGTGCGCCAACCCATCCAGTGAGCTGATGGGGTTCAGGCTGATGTTCAAATACCGCAGCCACCTTGGCTTACTCGGTGCTTTAGAGAAAGACAAGAAGCATTGGATTGGCAGAAAGGTGCTGTTCCATTCTTGGCCTTGCTATGTTCTCACAGCTAGACACAAAAGAAAACTTGGCTAAGGGTTCTGGCTCGGGGCTGACTTGCCATGTCCTGGACCTGGCAACTTGTCCCTGGAAACTCGCCATCTGAACAGAAAATCTTTGCATGTCTGTCGAAAACCTTGCACGCGTGAAGCCTTCACCAGTGTCTCGAGCCACTCTCGAGCCTAGACTGTGCCAAGCTCTACCGCTTGGACTTCTTTCTCTCGGTTTTTTTGGACTTGTTTGCTTGCGTGTAGAACCGCGGCTTTAAGCGACGGGACCGGGAACTAGCACTCCACCACTGCCTTGTACAAGGCCTGCTTGTTCTCACTAGCCGTGCAGGTTATGTAGGGCTTAGGGTAGTGGTTTGGCGTGTAGGGTTTAGGACCCAGGCGCAGGGAGCGATAAACCTCTAAGCAAGAGCAAAACAACTACTTCTCTCGTTTAGAGCAAGACATTAGCTCAAAAACTAAAAAGAATGGCAAGTAATATCAAGAGGGATTAAAATCCAAGGAGAACAACGGTGACATCTTCAGACCCTCAAACAGCTCAACACTCGAAAAATAACGTTGTTTCCGACACACAACAATGAAACTGCAGAAAGTAATCGTTGTTGAACCTCGCCCCCTGTTGATGCAAATCTAGCTGAAGACTCGAGAAATAACAGTGTCAAGTTGAGGAAATCATGGCGTCAATAGCCAACCGCGCGCCTGCCTTCCCCTACCAACCCTCCCCTTGCTCCCACTCCTACTCCTGCTCCGACTACTGGCTGCCTCCCCCCCCCCCTCCCCTACAGTACAAACTACGACGTTTATAGCTTGTAGTGCAAGTACAACTTGCGTGGCAGGCACGCGGCTTGAGGCACCTTTCAAGCGAAGGAAGTTGAAACTCCGGATTGACTGCCAAAGAACTGTCATTGTTTACATTTTCGAGTTTGGGGTCAAGTCTTCTTTGCTTCATGGGTTTTAGGATGGTTTAGATTTGTTTGTGTTTTCTCTTGAGACGTGGGATTGCCTAGGATGTGTAAGGTCAGGAGTATGGCATTCTTGGCTGTGTCTTGGACCAATGGATGCGGATGGGCCTTCGGGTTGAGGGCTCAGGGCATGTGCGTTGAGAATGCTTAGGCTGTTAGAGCTGCACGAACCCGAAGACATGTCGGGAGTTGTGCCATGTTTTCTCGAGGTCTTGCAGGAGTTTTGAAAGCTTGGCCATAGGTCGCACGCTCACTGTTTCTGGATCTTTGGGGTTTGGGTTTCTTTTTCACAGCATGTTGAAATAAACTTTCTTGCAAGCTTTGCGAAATAGATTTGCAGCTTGCAGAGAAAAAGGCTGGGTCTGGTCATCGTTTCCAAGAACAACAAACGGACTTAACCCCCCTCCTCCTGCAAGTGACTGGTACGACGACAGCCACCACCACCACGACACACACCTCACCTCCTCCTCAAGAACCAAATCCAAGGCAAGCTCTGGCAGTAGCCCTCGAACCACGAAACACAAGCCAACTAAGTACAAAGTAGATTTTGACTCATTGTGTGACGAATTTCTGAGCATTCCGAGCAGCAGCGGCCCTCCTAACGCCTCGGCTGTCGCGATGTTGTTCCTTGCCAGGGGGCTCTCGCAGGGCTAGGGGGTACAGCAGTTTATGAACATGATAGTTTCTCCAGAAGCCTCAACACTATCGGTTAAGAATTTCCTTGGGAATATCCTTGACGAGTTGCATAATTGCGGCTAAGGTTGTCCCTTGCTTCTTGTTGTCATCCTCCAACCAAGACTTACGGCAACCTGCCGATAATGCCGTTAAGTGTGGTGGAATGCATCCTTCCCTTCACGGCACCCATGGATGACCTGCAGAACCAAATTGTCAGTCAAGATTCTCTGAGACATCAGCTGAAACGAGCTGCTTTCGCCTGGCCGGGATGCGGCAGTCTACCAAATCCTACCAGCCTACTTCACTGAAAGGCTGAAACCCCCAAGATTTGCCGAAGGACTGGCCGTCGCTCGGCCGCATGTCGCTGAGCTCGGAATCCTCTAGCGGCGAGAGACTTGGGGTACTTGGGGTACTTGGGGGGCCGGGAGAGGGTTTTCGGCGGCCTGCCATGAGTCCACGAAAGACACGTCCTTGGCGGCCAAATGGCTGGGCGCAGAAGGCTCCGAGGCAACCTGCTGGGAGAATTTGCGTCAACGCCACGAAATAACACCATCCAACTGCTTAATCAAAGGTGCCGGTTCCTGAAATCCTTTGTGAGAAAGACAAGTTCTTCGCCTGGCTCCCATCCGCCAAGAATGTCAGAATGATTCCCAGTGCTGAGCCAAGTTGGTCTAAGTCGGTTGACAATACCACTCACGGAAACAGCCCTAACGATGAACGTTTAACAATAAACTGCGAGCGTTGAGAATCCCAGCCTTGGATTTGCCCTTGATGCACAAAGCCTCCCTGTATCTTCTTGTAGTTTTGTTGCCATACTGGAAACAGGCAACTGGGAAAACATGACTCAGGGATTATTGAACGATTGTTGCTTCATTGTGTGTTGTTGTAATCGCCCAGCGTAGAGGGTTCGTGGCTAAGGGTTTAACAGGTTTCGAATGTCTTTTTGTGGTGCGAGGCTGAGCATGTTTTGGAGCGTTGGGGTTTAGAGGTTAAGCCCCACCCCCAAAGACAGCGAAGCGCCAATCTCGATTGTCAGGGAGCCCTGTAAGGCCTCCCTACCACGGCTTAGGGGGGGGGGGCTTAGGGTTTAGCAAAACCGGACTCGAGCTTCAGCACTTGCGACGATGAGCTTGATTCCGGTTTCAAGTCCATCTCCTTTGGGGTTGAAATTTGCTGTGGAGGGCTTGAAACCGGTTTCAACCCCAGACGAAATCAGTTGGGCCTAGGCCGGAATCAATCCTGATGTCAGGCAGTCGAAATCAACCCACAGTTTGGCTTCGAAACGGTTCTAAGCCAAACCTGATCCCTGCAGGCCTCTATCACTTCCCACTCCTCCTCCTTTATCCGTGCGAGGGCGAGCTCATCACTGATCTGCAGGGGAGCTAGGGGCAACTCCAAACTTTTAGGCTTCTAGCGGCATCTTCCAGCACTGCTAAGCTCAGCGCACCAAACCCCATGAGCTGCACCAAGGGAATGCAACACAGAACTTGCAGCGCCTCTGCCCAGGGATCCGGAATGGATGACAGATCCTTCATCGAACGGGGGACGGTCTTTTTTGGATGGTGCTGGTCTGTTTTGGGGCTTGGTTAGTTTGGCTCGTAGCTGCTGTCGTAGCTGAGCACAGCAAAGCTAGGTGCTGGAGTGCTCATTTCCACTCCTGCTCATTGCGAATTAATCCGAGCACCTGTTTCATTAATACCCCACATTTAAAGAAATTTTTTTGTCCGGAAGCCCGCCGGAAGACTACTTTTCAGTAGGGGGGTTTCGTATGGGGAAAACCCCCCACATTTAAAGAAATTGTTTCAGGGGGGTCCAAAAATCTGTCGGCAGGCTTCTTGTTTTGCTTTGCGGAGATGCGAAGCTACAGCACCTCAGGGATCTGCAGCCTATTTTTTTATTCGAATCAATGCAGGGCCATGGTCCAATTATTGCGGAACCCTGCCTTCCTTATTGCGGCTGGGGGGGGCCCAATTGAACAGGTGCTCGGATTATCCTGTTCTTCCAAAATTTGTTTGCTGCGCAGCCCCTTGTGTCCGAAAAATCTCGACCCATGGTGCCGGCGCCACACGACCGCAGATACAAATAACAGCCCGGCAGGGTCAAGCGCGTCTTTTGCTATGCGATCGCTTGCGGTCACGGGCCCGGGACTCACTCACTCACTTCCCACGGGCTGGGTTTACATGTAGCCCCAGCAGAATATTTAGCATTCACTTGACAGGGAACTAGTATTTAAGTTCTTGCTTTGTACGTTCTATTCATAAGCCGGTTAAGGTAAGGGACATTGTTGTTGACATCAGTTCGTGCTTGGGCACTAATTCCAATACGTGGGTGCCGCATATATGCTTCCTTGTATACACAGACATATTGCATGGCAGATGCGGCTTCTAACTTGTAGAAAAGACGGTTCATCGAATAAATACCTACCCCAACGCAAACATGAACATTGTCTGACAGCTTGACTGAAATAATTGGAGGCCAGTTATTGGAAAAGAATGAAGGACAGCTATTGGACAACTGGTGCGCCAAAATAATGGCTCATGACTTGAAGCAGCGGTCTCCTTTATCGAGCGAATAAACTCGAATGTACTGGGTTCTGTCATGATTAGTTAGGTATTTGCTCCCCCCAAGTTTGACATGCAAACCTTTGCGAATGGTGCTGAACATCGTTGGGGGTCAACTTCTTGAAAAATCAGTTCTGCTACATTTCGTACATGGTCGGGAATCTTAGAAGAGAATGCAGGATAGCTTTACCCTTTCATAGGAAGTTAGAGCTAGAAGTCATACTCAGTTAATCGACCTTCAACTATGTAAGTCGCAAAAATTGCGTTATGCAAAGTCGTATTGCTTCAGCTATAGGGAAAGCATTGCTAGACTTAAGTTAGACTTATTTGCTGCCGGCTATAGGCAACACAGAAAATGTCTTCTGAATCTGGTCGACACTTTTTCTTTGATCTAAATAGAATTCGTTGTTATCTGAAAACATATGAAACATCAAACTCCGGCCCGTTTAACAAGTTGTCTCGGGGAAATTATCGTTTGTTATTTTCCTATTTGTTATTTTGATAACAGTGTTTTTGGCTTTTCGCTTTTGGTTCTTAGGATGTTTGCTTACAGTTTATAGTTTTTGTTCTGCGCGCTTATGCTTTGGTTGTGACTGTATATATCTGATTTACTTTGTATAGAAATAAACAGAAAATGAAGCAACCATGCCAAAAAAGCAAGGCAGTTGACTTTTGTCGTGCACAGGTCGTGCATTTTTAACAACAAAGTTGAGACAACACGACATGGTAATTTTAGGGGTCTGGGGTTCTGGTTCCGTATCGTCTCTTCCGTAACTTCTACGTCGGCCCAGCCAGCCTGAAGTGATTAAACTGCTGGTCCTAACGTAGTGGGCAGGGAAGCTTTCTGGGAGTGGTGGGGCTCTGGAATCGCGGGGTGCTAGGAGCTCTGCCTCAAGGACAAGAAATACAAGGTGCCTTGGCAGGCTGCTGTGTTTTGGCTTCCGTCGATGCCCTTGGCTGCCAAGCACGAAGCTCAATGTTTCAGCGGTTGGGGGTTGAGTGGGTTGAATGGGCCAATTGAATGGGTTTGAGTAACTGAATGAGGTTCTGAGAAGCCTCCCGTCACATATGCCGATGCCAAGAGGCGACGGGGCCTCCTCTGTTGCCGGCGCTCCGGAATCCACGACCGTTTCAGCTGCGGGCTCCTGAGCCGGAAGTCTGAAAAGCCAAAAAGGAGCAAAGCCGGTCGGGAAGTTGGCCCTTTCCGCAACCTCCTCACATTCCTGAAGCCCATGTTGCAGAAGATTGGCCTGCTCCGGCTGCTCTGATGTCGGCTTCCTGTGATGCAAATGTGACAAAGGGTTTCTTTGGCGGTGCTGTCGGTTTTTGCTCCGGGGATCGGTTTGGATGCCACGGATTGTGTATAACAGTAGTAAAGCCTCTACGAATCCAAACATGCCATGCGCCCGGAATCCTGGTCTGCGCGCTGGCGCACGGAGGATACGTGCATTTAGACCGAAGCAAGTATAGGATGGCTCAAAGCGTATGTCGCATCTGTGAACTGAGGTTGACAGTGAACACGCAGCTCTATATAATGTACTGGACACATTTAGTTACTTTAGTTCACAGAGTGCAATTGCACTGATATCCTGCCAAAGTGGCATCTGGCGTTAAAGAGCCCTGCGGACGCGAAATGGTGCAAAGAATCGTGAGAACATCGCAGGCCTGTTCGCACTGAGGTCAGGTGCCTCGGCGCTTTCGGCGCTTTCGGCCTCGCAACTTTCCAAACTTCAAGCAAAGTAGGAATTGCCGGCTTGTCAGGGAGAACATGGAAACACGGGTCCTGGAGCAGGACTCAGGTCTCAAGAGCACAGTGCACCATGCAACTAGTAAGATAGCTGGCACGCGCGAGGGCAACTTCGTGAAGACCCTTTGCGAAGTCATTGCAGTCTCCACCACCTACACAACTGGAACGTACTTGTGTTCATTTCCGGACCCAATCGCGCAATCAATCCCTGCGGCCAGATGTCCGGCTCCCTTTGCTGATCCTCAAACTTGTAAAAGGAACCTGGACTAGCGTAGGGACTCCCAAGGGACCTTGCTGCGCATCTGGCGGGCCGCCGCAACTCCGGATCCAGCCGCGGGGGAGCTTGGGGCACCCTTGGGGCAACGCGGTGTTTGTGTCTCGAAGCTTTAATCTTGGTTCTGCTATTACAGCAACTTCCACTGGGCATGGCCTCTAGCTACAAGTGCGTATGTCCGGTGTTGCCATGAGGCAGCGGAAGAGTGCGTCCTTAACATCACCTTGCTGTGTGCCAAATTTCAAGACAATGGTATACATAAATCGAATCCTCAACCCGAAAACCCACTTATTGCGCAACCATGCCAATCTACTTTGTGCCACCCTGAGCCTTAACCTTCCAAACACGCAATTCTTTACGGGCCTTCATAGTTTTTCATGAGACAGGGAGCTTCTTCAGGCTTTGCCGGCTCCTCTTTCCTTTCTGGCTCGACCTTGCGAGCAGCGGATTTGGATTTTGGATTCAGATGGAGTCAAAGCTCTCATGTGCAGCGGTCCATCATTCGTCAGGCGAAGTTTTTTTTGATGATCCAAATCCTTTTTTGACCACAACGACTTTTTGTGAACCCCCCCACCTCCCTTGTTCTTCTTAACCCCCCCCCCCCTCCCCGCTCTTTGTTGACCCCATGTCGTATATAAAAAGAGGGGCCTGCGCAGCTCCAGGACTTGATGATCTACACCTTCAGAAGGACTTTCCGAAACAAGCCGACCTCGGGGTGCGCAACGGAACAAAACTGTCATAGTTGCATTCCCTTGGTCTCACCTATCACCCAGTGCCCTTGGTTCCACTAACGCTTCATGCGCATGCTGCCACGCACGCAGACGCGATTAGAAGCCATGGCGACTACCCGCCCGAAGGAGCGACTGCACTCGGAGCAGCTACATCACCCGACGTTACGACCGGTCCTAGATTGCAACAACCTATGCCGTGCAATGCTTCGCACCAGGCGATGTGTCCAGGTTGAGCATGTCGGCATAGCGGTGCATGGCCAAGGCCCAGGCCGTGAAGCCGCTTCTATATCGGGAGCGAATGACAGAGATGTCCCAAGGTTGTTGCACGGTGATAGCTTTGCGCCAGGGACACGATGGTGCCCAAGAGTTCTTCCTCGTCACGATGGATGGCACGTAGAATCGTTCGTCCAGGAGAACGTGCGCTGCCTCCGCGTCTAGAGCGTGGTCCATAACCGCCTAGTCGGCGCAACGAAAGCCTCGATTGAAGCCAGCACCCGCCCTAAACTGTGCGTTGGTAGCGACTAGTAGCTGCAGAGGGAGGTCCCTCGAACTTATCGGTAGCACTGAAGACCGACGGTGAAGAAGGAACAGTCGAAAGGTATTTCACCAGGAAGGGTACGTAGGTCGCGAGGGTGAAGTGGGCTGGAGATTTCCGAAAAACCTTGTGCCCCTAGTATCCCGGCCTGTGTAGGACCCGAAAGTCGATGCAACGTCTTGCAGGGACACCGTTCAAGCAGACACCACTCATTGAAGAAGTCAAAATGTCAGTGCAAACATACATAAGACATAAACGTCATGAGACGCAAGGAGCAAAGTGACCCCATCATACTAGAAAGGGCACTGACGGTGCGCTCAGAGCATGCCAGGACCAGGAACTAGAAACCAATCGGGTTTCTCTTTTTATAGTTTGGGATCTGGAGTGCCTGTCGTTAAGTTCAAAGAAGTTGACGAAACTCGTGCAAGGTACTTAATTAATAAAAAGGGGATGCTGTGCTGCACAAGGGGTATTTGACGTCCCATGAACTTTGCCGACTCGGCATTCCCCCCCCCCCCCCCCCCCCCCCCCGCACGAGAATGGAGCTGCAGGGCTGTCAGGGCTTCTCGTGCATTCAGGCTTCGGGGTTGACCAACCCTGGAGCGGGCCTCCGCTTGACAAGGCTGTTTCGTTTCGACGAAAAGGAAACCCAAATTCCTCTCGAACATTGGAAGACATTGGAGAACACGGATACTTCTGGATTCTCCCCTAGGTATAGCCAGAATCTGAAAACCAAGGTCCGGCCTTGGCACTCTCTTTGGGCTTGACGCCTTTCGCATCTTTGTCCTTCTTGGCTTTTGGCTTGGGCTTCGCCTGCACAGCTTGTGCTGCTGTCATGCTACCTCCACACTCCAACTCCAACTTCTTGCTTTACTCCCCTACTTGCAAAGCACGATGCCGATCAGCTCCACGTACATTTGTCTGTCCCTACGTCTGCCGGCAGGCAATCTCCAGGCCTTCATGGCGCCGGGGCTGGAGAAACCAATTCCCGGATGCCATGCACAGCTCGAGAATTGTAGGTTCGAATCGAAACCTCTAGTGAGTGTTATTGAGTTTTTTGAGTGTGACTACGTGGCTGCAGATTGTCGGTCCGAACTTGGACACGAACACTTGAGGCAGGCAAGGCAAGTGTCTCCGAAGGTACCAAAGCCTGTCCGAGGACGCCGGTCGGAACTGAGGTGGAGGCACAACTCTGTTAAAGCCTGTTGACACTCGTGAATGCTATCAAAAACGGGTGAAATTCATAGGGTTGTCGTAAGGGGTTGGCTTCTTCTGGAAATGCCATACAAGGATCTGCATGCAGGAACGCCAGAACGTAATTTTCCGGTCTATTCCCAGACTACACCTTATCTTGGGGCTCGGGCCAATCGGTCGGCCTGATCTCAGCCTCGTGCACAAAGGCTTCATGCACAAAAAATCGAACCAACGCAAACATGTTACTTCCACAAGCACGATAGTGAACTCCAACGAGATGCGCACTCAGAAGCTCTGCAACTTACAAAAAAGCGAGCGCCACGTTGCCAAAAAAAGCAAACCAACCCCCGCAACAGAGGCGTCCTCTTCCCCTTCCCTTCCCCTTTCCAGGCCCAAGCTGCTCAGACAGCTTCATGCTCACAAGCGCCGACGGCTTGTTTGAGGCCGACAGGTGTTCGTCAAGGTCCTTTCGTGTTTCGGATTTCGGGGATGTCTGAACCCCACCCCTCACCCCTGCCCAGAATTGAAAAGCAAATGCAAAAGAAACACTTCAACAAACCACCAGCCATCATCCAAGAGCTCATCCAAATTTGCCGAAAAGGGGCCCTGCAATCCGAAAATCCGGGATGTCAACACTCAACAGGTCCTGAAAGTCCCGCACCAGATCACAGCCCAGTCGGGACCGGTCTTGGAACACCTCACGGAGTCTCAGATTCCTCCCACAGGTTCTCGTCAGCAGATTTGATGGTAAGCTTTGATGGTAGATAGAATTCTGGGGCCGCTGCGCTGGCTAGGCGGGCCGCAGCGGCTTCATCTAAGAAATGCCTGTGGGCTTCGAGACGCTCCGAGCTTGGTGTGGTCTTGAAGGGGCCTGCAGGGGATTCTTGCTTGGAATTGCTTGGGTTAGGGACCATTACCTGGTTGGTGTCGCTATGGGGCGGTCCGGGTTCAAAGGCTCACATGAGCCAGAAAAAATGCAGCTCATGCTCGGGTACATCTGTACAGATTGTACAAGCCTGTGCTAAGGATCTATGAAGAATCGCCATCTAGCCATTAAGAATACAGACGTTCTTGAAGCAGAACTTTCTTCGAACGACTCGAATCACACATGCATTCGGATCCAAAGGCCCAAGTAGGGCCCACCGCAATCACAATACTTTAAGAACCCTTCTGCTACTCCACAGATGCTCTGGTGCCGGTAGTAAGCCAGCGTAAGCAAAGGAAAGAAAACGTAGAAGCACATGTGAGCAAGTCGCTTCATGGCCATCTCCGCGACTCGCTGCTCGATGTCTATGGCACGCCCCGGTGGGCCCACCTGGCCACCACAAAAAAGCAGGACACGTGCAGTTGCATGACTTTAGGATACTTGAGGCGTTTAGGGCTTCATGCATGTAGGAAATGCAGGAGTTGGGATGCAGCCATGATCATGAAAACATTTGATGGTGCTGCAAACATTTACTCTCGTTTTGGGGGAAATAATATGAGGACATCAAAGTGACGTCAAGCCCTGCAAGAAGACCTGAGGCCCTGTCCGGCATCTGGCTGCTACCCGGCCGGCGGCTGGGAGTCTGACCAGCCAGGAGCACAGAGACCTGCCATGAGCGTTCAGAACGTAAGGACAAAGCCAGCATCTCAACAAAAGCAGGGATTTCGGTCGTTTTTCGGTGGGGTCTGAAGATATACTGCCCGGCTCGACCCCGGGCGAGTGTGCCAAGTGTGCCAAGGTCTCTAGCTTCACGGGTTCAGGGCGGCGGGGGACTTGAGGAGCTGTGAAATTTGCAGAGCCTCCTTGCCAGCAATGCGCTTGCCATCAAGGTCCTTGCTTGAGCCAAGCACCAGAGCAACAAAGCAAACTTAGGAAGCCGTAGCAGCCGTAGCAAAGCCCGGCCCGGCACTCCCCACACCCGATGGTACGACAGAGCCCCTTTTCCCCCTTGCCTTAGAGATCCCGAACTTGCCTGAGCACTAGAGAGCTCTTGCAAAACCCTTCGAACCACGTCGGTCCTTCTGGGCATCCTGCGCATCCCTGGGGTCCTTGGGGGGCTATCGACTTGTCATGACTTGTCTGCGTTCGGGGCTCAATTTCACGGGCACAGGGCACGTGAGAGCACCCAGAACGGGGTCTGTGGCTTCGGCGCCGGTTTTGGGTTTTGGGGCTTTGCCGCAGGGATATTGAACAGAAACGCTTGCGAGCTGGGGTTTCTGCGTTTGGTGTTAGAGGTCTTGTGCTGCCCTGACTTCACTGCCCAGCAGATGGGCCAAATGCAAAGCAAAAACCATCATGCTTTTTGTTCTTGAGCCAATGACTCAGCCTCACCTGTCTCACCTTTTGCCCTGAGGCAGCAGCTTCAGAACTTACGCAGAGCTCGCCACAGTGAGAGAAGAAGGCGCAGTAATGTGCGTCTCTGGCACAAGGAATCAGACCAGGAGGACGACAGGCGGTGGAAGGTAAATCTGGCAGCCCATCCGGGTCAAACGAGTGACGAACTGGTTCCTAAACGCTCGGGGATGCGACGTGGAATCGATGCTGCTAGCGGCTGGTGCCGTTCGCCCTCAGCGAGACCGGGCTGCACTGACCTGCGAGATGGAAGGATGCGAGGACCTGGGCCTCCCGGCCGCCGGCACTGGCACTGGACCGATTGACGATCTGCCCCGGCGGCTGTGCGTGGATGGGGCTCTCTGATAAAACAGGTGCTGCAGGCGTCGAGCGTTCGTATCTGGGCCATGGTGACTGGTGCGGTTGTTGGTATCGTCTTTGAAGCTGCTGGGCATTCCCCCTCTCAGGAGACTCAAACGGCTCTCCAAGGACGAGATGGAAAAAAATGGGCTTCGCAGACCTTTGAATGGATCCGCAAGGCTGGAGGGAGGTATGCCACGTTCATTCAGCAACTCGCTCCGAAGGGCCGGCCACTGCTGCCTGAGAGAATGTAGCCCGACCTGCTCGCCCACAGTGCGACTAGAAAGTTGTTGAACATCAAACCGGTGGAGCCACAGTCCTTGGCGAAACCCTGGGCAAGAGTAATGGTGAAGCATGCAGGGCAGCCTACAGCTTCTATGGTTTCGATGAAAGTGGTCTGTACATGAAAACCGTGTGCACCTCGATGGGTGGTGTACTTCGCTGCGCGGGCATCTCCATGCCAAGATGTTGGTCATGAAGTATGGTCCAGTATGGTGATGGGTCCGAGATCGCCTGTTTTTGAAAGAGAGCGCTGTTGGAACCAGTGCGGCAATGCGCTTCGCATCCTCAGCGCAGGCCACACTTGCTTCCATGACTTAAGATCTGGTACGTAATCATGCACGCTCAAAAGACCCCGTTCACCCTCCGGCTGTCAGGCGTCTTGAAGTAAAGCCATTGATAACCCAAAGTGTGAAGTCGTCGCTCTCCTCGCGCTGCCAAGCCAAGCTGCGCTAGGACCATTCCTAGCGGCTGTGATGTTGATTTGGGTTATCCGATCCAGCTCTGACATGAGATCCTGCGCAACCGGTATCCGGTATCTCCAGTCCATTCGATGGGAGGAGCTTTGCGGATTTCAACCTTTTGATGTATGCATTTGTCACACTTGACAGGTGTTGTCTCAAAGACTTCCTGTCACGGAAGCCTGAAACATCCTGGCACGCGCCAAATGGTACTCCTCGACGCCGTCACGTAGAGTTGCTGCTGGAGAGCCGTCTATGGCTGATGACCTATGTTACCAGAAGCAGATGGATAGCCGCACTCACGCCTTTTTGTTGTTGAGCCAATCATCCACATTTACGCTCCAAGGTCTTTCAACAAAAGCAGTGTCCAACCGTTTCCGTGCCAAACGGCATTGCGCTGATTGCACTGTGCATCACGGCTTCGCCTTGTTTCTTGTGCCAGTGGTCGAGCTTGTGGCTTGCACGTGTTCTGGACTTGGAGTGCTGACCTTTTTTTGGTTTTACTTGCAAGCTCCGGGCTCACAGCTGGGCACGCGGCTTCGTACTCCACATACGCGCACCTCTGTGTCCTGAGTGGCTCCGAAGCACACTGTTGGTTCATGTGTTTCGGCCACGCGAGAGAGAGAGAGAGAGAGAGAGAGAGAGAGAGAGAGACACTTCTGATTATTTTGGCGAAACGAGCAGCGAGAGCTACGCAACTTTGTGGCTTGCCCGGCCCTCAATCACTCCACTCTCCCAGCGTTGTTTCTAAACCAGTGTTGCCACACTTGTGGCATGGTAGAGAAATCCTTCTAACGCCTCTCTCCTCGAACCAGACTGTATCCATCAGAATCAACATCCCCCGCCGTCATTTCGCAGGGTGAAGGTTACCTGCCACCTCTCCCTTGGCAGCGCACTCGGAAACGTCGATGCGCAGGATCTGGCCGAAGTCGCCGAAGGGCGCCTGCACGAAGAACGATTTGAACTCATTACCTGTGCCTACGACTACGAAGCTGCCGTCCGCATCAAAGATGCATCTCACACTTCGATGCTCAAACTGCGAAAACCCTGAAGACCCCAGCCCTGCCCAAACCCTTAAAGACTCACGCTGAAGCCCTGTGCAAACCTGCAAGGTGGTCTTGCGGAGCCATTCCTTGGGGATGGGCCCGTCTTTGGGCTTCACCTGGAGCCTGGGACCAACTTCGGAGGCTTTGTTAAGCGTCGCTCGCGGATCTACGGGGGGATTTCACAGAAGAAACAGACTCAATTGGCAGCTTTAGGCGGCTTTGGGGGTGCTTCGCTTCATAGTCCAAATGCCAAATGTTCCAGTTCCGGACCTGTTGAGGCTCTTTGAGGCTCGAGAGTTCCTACTTCACCTTCAGGCTTGGAAAGCCTGTCCGTGAGCAGTGCATGTCAGCTGCCCCAAATCGCCAAAGTCCCGTCTGGGCCGCTGGGCGTGACCCCAACCTTGTAGGGGATCGAACCTCCGATGCCGCCCTGCACTATGGCTGCGGGCTTTTGGGTGTTTGGGTTAGTTTGGTTTTGGCAAGTCGGGCTTCTAAATCCTAGGCTGAAGGCGACGAGGGCTTTCAGGGTAGGGAGGGATTTGCTGGCAAGCAATCCGAATGTGCCATTCTCTTGATGAAACAATACATTTTGGCTGGAACAGAACTCAACCATGATCCACAACCGTGGTGCGACTCCACCACGCCACTACAACAAAGAATAGCTCAATAGCGATCTTCCTGCAAGTTGCGCTTCATGTCTGCAAAAGCTGCTTCAGGGCGCCTTACGACCAGAAACCCCCAAAGCTCTCCTTTCTACACCCTGGTCTTTGAGAAGTTGCAGCACGGACAATTGGAGATGGTTAGCAAATGCTAGTGTGCATTTTTTTGGTGGGTCTTGCGAGCGGCGAACAACAGAACCCGTGCCTCGCGCAAGGCCCGTGCTGAGGGCCCGTTCATTGCAGCGGACGGCAGTTGCTGAGCTGTGGGGCAGCGTGGGGCAATTGCCAACAGCTAGTAGGGTATGCAGTCGAGTCCACCTGGGCTAGGTAGGGTTTTTGGGGTGTAAGCCTGTGGCTTTGGAGGTTGCGCTGTGTGAGCTTCTCAGCGGAGGTGGGCACCATGTCCTTGCTTGCTTCCTTGAAACGTGCACTGCAACACACAGCCCTGAGAAGGCCACTGGAAACCTCAACGCTGCGGCTTACATCCACAGGCTGCAATGTGCATGTTTTCAAGGGCAAGACCTCATCCTTCAGGTTCGGTCTTCGATCACCAGAAAAAAGCTCCGAGACTCCACAGTCATCGGTGAGGCCGATCTCAAGGTATTGAAATGGTATGGAGTTGTATCGAGTCGCAGGACAACCCTGACTTGCGAATATGCACCTTTTTTTGCACGCTCACCGCGGAAAGTCGAGATGGATACCGCCTCAAAGCTTGGAGCTGAGCTTTTCAAGCGTCGGGGGGCTTCCCAGCCATTGCTTCATAGGCAAACCAAGGTTCATCATATCTCAGTACGGCGCCACTGCAAAACAAAACGCAAAACGCGCGAAACAGAACGCAACAAAATACAAAGTCTCAGACGACATGAATGCTTGACGCATCTGTAGTTGACGATATGTAAAGTTCAGGGCAGAACAGCCACTGTGCATTGTGCATATGATCTGGGTGGGACGGAGGCTAGTGTAGCAGGCTGTACTTGCGGGCGATGTACTTCAACACCCCAGATAACCCAGGAAGCTGCACCGTAGACGCTCACCCCTTGCAGTGGAAAGCCCGATCCCAAGTCTTCTTTCAATCTACCACCCCCCCATACCCTGATGCGTTGTTTCAAAAGCATTCTGAACGGCGTAGCTGCCCTGGACTGAGATCTGAGATCTAGGGCGCCCGCGCTGTCGGAGCAGTTCCAGGAAAGTGGCCTCGGTACAAGTTAGTAGGCTTGGACATTTTTTTTTTCATTTCGAGGCTCAGGGCTCGGTTTCCTGTCCGGCTTTGTGTTGGCCTTCCTTGAAGGAAGAAACCCGAGAACACGTCTATCACGTATCACAAACAGAAAGCAGGGAAGCACCGCAACGATCGCACACACGTTTCAATGGGATACCTGGATACTACTGCCGTCCTAAGATGGACACCTCGTCGTACCTCGAACCTCCCCGAAGGTACAGCATAGGACTTAAGTCCTGATCTCTGTGAAGGCTCTCTTTGTACGTACAGACCAGCAGGTGGAGGCCGGAAAGCGAAGGCCTGCACTGTTTCCCCAAGTTGGCATAGCAAGCTCGCAGCCCTAAGCCTTCACAGACTCTGAAGCTTCAAGGCAAACCTCTCTCCCACACAGAAGTCTCATCTCTCAGTACTCAACCCTCGAAACCAAGAACATGAGATTGAGCTGAGGTTGGCGGCGTAGTGCCTCTCCCACCTTGACAAGCTCACGAATTCAATGAAGTTTGGGAGGGCATGGGGATTCAGCAGGGAATCGGGGTGCTAACGAGCGCCACAGTTGGGAGTACAGGCCATCAAGAGTGACTTCGATGTGTCAAGCGGTTCAGCATTGACGGGCCTCGCAAGGGGGACCGGCTGGTGATATTAAAGGTCCACTGGGGCGTCTTCGTGCAGATGCTTTGAAAAGGCGCAACGGCTTTAAGCACTGCAAAAGGCTTGGGGACCAAGTCGCAAGTCGAAGGCTTCGCGGTTCCACTCGTAAGTTCTCGTCGGTGCTGTCACATTCTTTTTTCCTGGAGGAAAGTCTAAGAGTCTGACCGGTGGTGCGAAGAGTCACTTTGCCGTGAGTTCTGTGTAAAAACCCTCAGAATGCTTCACTATCATCGACAAACATGACAAATACTCCCTGGGTATCTTCGCTGTCCTGTCTAGTCAGTCGTCTGTTCGTTAGCCCTGCTAGCACACTCATCATTAGAGACTCTTGTGCCCCCCCCCCCCCCCCCCCCCCCCCCCCCCCCGAAATATGTGTGTATATATATATATGTATATATTCTCATCTTTTCTGAATCATTTGAATCTCCTTCTGGCAGCACGCTCCGCCACCATATGCCTGCGAAAGGCCAGTTGAATGTCTTGGTTTCTTGGAGCTCGAAAGTTGCTTGAAACCCACTGTGGCACTATGGTAGACAAGCAAAACGAGAGAAAGGTGTCGGGTTTCCTTGGGGACTCCCCCCGGCCCCCAAAGACAGTGAGTTCATTGTTCTGCGGTGAATGTCTCTGCAAATGCCAACGGCTCAACCAACTTAAACTCTAATGCTTTATAGTCGAGAATCGAGGATAGCGCGCGCATCTCTCTTCTCTGAACACATCAAGACTGATAATGTTCTGACCTGGAACCCTGCCGAGCACTACAACCTAAGTACAGCTGAAACTTCAAACCTCTAAATCCGCAAGATGGCTGCTGATGTTCCAGCTGCGTTCCGCTCTTCCCCCCTCTCCCCTGTTGCAATGGTTCTATTGTCATTGTGCCAGCCATCCTTTCTCGGGCACTGTCCCAGAGGAGAGGGAGGGAGAAAGAGAAAGCGAGATAGAGAGAGAGAGAGAGAGAGTACAATGCTCCTCCTTGAACATCCGAAGTGCTACGCTCATGATGGACCTTGTCTTTCAGGAACAAGACAAGCGCAAGAAGCTTGGAGTGCAGCAAATCGGCGTGTCAAACTCGGCTTTGGCGAAGGCAAAAGGTGCAAAAATAGGCCGCGTTAGGCCCCTGCTACATTTTTGTGATCGGTCATTCGTCCATCGGTGTTCCATTTTCGGTACGCGCAAGCTGTGTGGAATTGAACAAGAACCGCCACCCGCTGGAATTTCTCGTAAGACTCGTAACGCACATGGCTCGAGCCAACCACACAGCCTTAGCAATCAGCAATCGGGAGCCTTTCAGATGGATCAAGTGCGCCGTCTTGGGAAGTGCGCCGTCCTCGGTCGACTCGGCATCGTTCCTTGCCACATCTGGGGTCCCTAGAGAAGCTTAGGGCTTAGGGCGGCAAGATTACGTGCCTTTGCAACGTGCCCAAAGTGCTTCAAGAAGCTAGGCCCAGCTAAGCTTCTCAACATGCTCATCTGACTTGTAAGGCTCTGGATCGCAAGGGGTCTGTCCCTGCTTGTTTGGAGATTTACATCCTAAACTACGGCCGTTAATCCTTGCAGACTTTGCGCTCCTCATCAAGCTAGGAACCCTGTAGGGGTTTGCAAGTAGCCTTGTTCTCCCTTTGAATACATCAAGTACAACAACAACAACAACAACCATATATGGGCCGCAACGTGCATCCTACACAGAAGCCACTATGACTAACCTGTCGGCCAGAATGAGGGTTGTTCACGGCTGAAGGCTTCGGGCTTGCACAATGGCAAACGAGGGTCACATATTGCGTTGGCAAGCCTTAGCTGGTCAGGCAACGCGACTTGGACAATGCAGATTTGAGTTGGGGCGCGGCATTTTGTGGGCGTTGTCTATTTAATATTTGCTTCTACTGGGATGTTTTTTGGTTGGAGTGCGGAGGCAGGAGAAGGATATGTGGCATGGACCTTGACGTATCATTTGGCGTGTCCTCCTCTTATGCATCTAAAGCTACGTAACCTTTTTGGGAATACTTTATCACACAGCAATCGGAGACGCAGCGCGACACGAGTTCTCAGGCCTCGAAGCGCCAAAACCCAGAACTCCAAAACCTAAACAGACATGGCCTGAAGCCCTGGGTCCCAGACGCCCAAGGCCCTCTGACCTTTCCCTCTCCCTCACTCTCTTCCTCCTGCGCACTTAGCCCCCGGAAGGCCCGCCCCCAGAAAACGTGTTCTGGCTCTCCTCTCTCTCTCTCTCCTGTATTCCTGTGCACGTAACCCCTGTCTGTTTCTTCCTGCGCTCTCTCTCTCTCTCTCAGCCTCCCTCTCCTCTTCCCTTCCTCGCCTTCTGCTAGACGGAGAGAGAAGGAAAGAAAGAGAGAGCGAGAGAGAGAGAGAGAGCCCAACAAACGCTCACCCCCCCCACCCTTTGCGTTGAACCATTCAATTCACACCCCTCAAGCTACGCTAGCTTTCGTGCTTCTCCGGTCAAAAAATGTTGAGTGTGTTTAATCTTCTTTTAAGTTGTGCATTGCATTATTTGTAATATGGCTTTTAAATTTTAGAAATTGCCTAATCTGTTAAATCATTTGTCAATTTCCGCGAGGTAAGATTGATGCCCCGGCGGATTTAGATTTTGCAAAATCCACAAAGTAACCTTTAAGTTTTTAAATCGGGGCCTGGTTTGCAAAGCTTAAGATCTTTAGCAATAGGGCCATTTAACATCTTCTAATGGCCCCTGATGAATAAGTCCTTCAAGGTGCAATTCAGGCTCCGATTTGAAAATCTATAGGTTTTGAGGCTGAAAAAGCCGACGAACAACGGAAACCCCTAAGAAGCCCTAAACCCTAAACCCAGCTGGCCCGTAGCTTGTGCGGCGGGAAGAAGCCTTCCTTTGCAAACATCAAACGAGCGTGCTCGATGCACAGAAATGTGGGGCTCTGGCTTCTAAGGCCAGTCGTTGACACAGCCTTTGCAATGCACAACTCCAGGGTCAGAAGTACCAATGTGAACCGAGTAGCCAAACATGGTAACGGGAACTGGAGGATCGCCTTTTCGCAGCGCCGCCAGCCTTGGCTGATGCCCACTTGGCTTCACCCAACCCAAACGCCAACCCTGAGCAGCTTGGCCCAACTTGGCCTTTCAGCTCGCTGTCCGGACTTCCGGAATTTGAGGCTGCCGGGTTTGGGACGTCAAAACGCCTTACGGGTAGGTCTACGCGGGGGAAGTGCGCTGCAAGAAGCGCTCCGGCTTTAAAAGCAAGAAACGGAAGACTAAGAGCCACTGTGTAAGGAATTGACTCAGTCACTGCTTGCCCAGTTGCTCAATGACGCGCACGGTGTTACAGCATTGACTCACATTCTGCCTCAGCTGCGGCCTGAACAACAGCAACTCCGACCCTTCTCATATCATCCAAAAACGCTTGGAAGTCGAATGCCTATAACTCTTCATATAATTGCCCACTGTAGTCACACCCAAAACCATGGCTAGCGGCATCACTTCAAGCTCGCTCCGCGTCAGCAGAAAAGCCAGGGCGGCTTGCGATGGCCCTGGGGCTATCAATCATTGGACATGGACGGGGCCACGCGAGTCTTCTTTGACACAGCGCTCGCAGTGAACGTCTACACATTTCTACAGAGTTTACAACACTTTAGAACACCATTTAGGGTTGACTTCGGTTGACTGCCCCCCCTGGCCTTTGAAGTCCTGTAGGAGGTCTCGCCAGCGGTCCCCGAGGTGGCCCTCCGCTTCCCGCTCGAAGTAGACGCTTTCGGTCAGGGACTCCTTGCGCTTGGGCTATCTTCGGTGGTTTGGGTTCCAATGTTGTAAGCATGAGAGGTGCGCAATCGTGCGCAATATGTCCAATATGTCACTATGTCAGAGTCTCGACGTCCGAGGCACCCAGGTGGCAAACCATTGGAGCGCCTCGACGGAGTTCCTAAGCTCAAGGATGAGCCAGCAGCTTCTTGCAACTTCAGCTCGCTTGTGCACATGTCTCCTTTTTCAGTTCGATGCTCTAGCATTGGGGTGAGCAGGCTGATCAGAGTGTCTGAGACCCCTCTCCCCACGCGACCGGAAGACCGAGCATGAAACATCAACATGTGAATTCGCACACACACACACACACTTTTGAACAGAGTGTGTCCCTCCTAACCCAGACCAACCTAACCGACGTTAGGAGAACGCTGATTCGTTTTTGTGTTGCGTGAGCGCTTGAGCTTATGGCTACAGGGTGTCAAGTTGTTTGTGTACTGCCCATAGCTGTAGTTTTGCGACCACATGGAACCCTTAGAAAAGCCCTGATTTACATCTTGATGAAGCCTGCACTTACCTGGCCTTACTCAAGCCAAAGCTCCGCATGATGAGTAGCCCACCCTGCAGTCGCACCAGGCCCCTCCTCGGTTCTCCGCTAAATACTGCTACATGCCGCTATCCGCATCCACACAAAGATGGCCACCAATCATCAGCAAAACGTGCACACTGGTGCAGTCGGCGTCACCCTCTCAGCCCCACAGCGCAGCGCCAACCCCGAATAATGACGATCGCGGCAAAGCATATCGCTACAATCAACAAGAATACTTCAAGAATTTAGTCCATTTCTCAGTTCATATGGTTGGCCTGAGGGGGTGTGGGGGGGTATTGGGACTGCGCGGTTTCTGCTGAACCTGTCTGCCTGCTCTGCCTCAGCTGACGAGAATCTAAAGCCAAGTGTCAAAACACCATCCGTCTCTACAACGAAATCCACAGGACGATTTGTTTCGAGAATGAAGTAAGCGGATGCCCCAAAAGCTGCAAAATGGAGACTGGCTGGGCGTGAATTGTGTGGTCAAGAGGGAAAGGGGGCTCGAAGCTTGGCATGGGCTTTGCTTGGGAAGCAAGGCCCTCGGTGATCTTACAGAGTTTGTGCTGGAACCTCGGTTACCTCAATTGGGACGTGATGAAGAAAACATCGCAATTTTGGCGGTGGGCGTTTTTTGGGTGCAGGGCTGGCTTTTGGTGCGACTTGGCTTGGCTCGGGTGCAGGGTTTACCCGTTTAAAATTTTCTTGTACTTTTCCTAAGTCCTACGTGCTTTGGCTTGTCTCAGGTTGGCTGGTTTGGCTTGGGTGCGGAGCGTCTACTTTTTCCTCGGTTGGGCTCTTGGTTTTGGTGGTTTGGCTTGGGTTTCGGGATCGGCTTGGCTTGGGTTTGGAGCAGACTCGTATGTGTTGGGAAGCAAAACACCCTGATCCAAGCCAAGCCGAGCCAAAGAAAAACAGGGCCCTGCAAAACACTGCTCCAAAACCGCTTTGCTAAAGCCCTTGCTACGCCCGGCAGCGGTGCATCAAACCGAAGGCTGTGCGACTCGTAGCCATCAACCGTGCTGGATATCCCGGCTCAAAGCGAATCAAACCCCGTACAGCTACGGCTCTTCTTCGTGACAGCCAACTCCTCCGGCGTGCCCCACGGAACATGCCGGGTACCGTCATAGTAGGAGAACGACACGTCGACCTCGAGCCTCTGATCAAGACTCAAGACAACGTCCCAGCGCAAATCTGGGAGAGCATCCTCTGCCCAGCGGCTCTCTTCTACTCAGCTGAGAAGTATCAGAACCGTACAAGAGTTTGGCGCAGCACGAGCCCCTACCAGTTCTTGTCAGTTCAGCTCTCGGACTTGAGAGGATCTCGTGCCATCTCAGTGCTTCCAGTGCGGTATGGCATGGTATGGTTGAGGTCGTCTTTGCCCTGGAAACCTTAACATACCTTAACCTCGTTCTTCTCACAGCCACTGCGACAGCAGCTCCAGGACGTGCATGAAAGGCCGGACCTGCGAGGCTGATCGTGGGAAACGTCAGGCTGAGAAGGCTTCCGACGATGTCCCGGAATCGGCCCGAAGCGCGTTTGCCAAAATTTCTGAAAATTTCCAAGACATCTCTTTGAAAGGCTAGTACTTGTAAAATACGCCGCAGTGTTCTCTTACCGTTCAAGGCCCAAAAGGGCCAGGCGGTCCACACAATCCAACATCTCAACTTAACGACATATCCCCATTTTTTCGGTTCTGAAGCCTGAAACCCAAGTGAAGAGCCGTGTGGCCACGAGCATGTCTGAGTCCATGCAGAGGATATAGGCTATCTCCTGTGCATGGTGTTGGTCACTGTGATGGAGGTTTGAATGCCCATGTCGGATTGCAGTTCCGTCCTTTGCTGACGAATCTCTCGTGCGACGCAAGCGACCCGCCGTGACACAAGCTTTGTTTAGGGTTTAGGATCGGGGTTTAAAGTTCTGATCCTTGATGTGGACGAGCTTGTGGCGCCACAGCCAGAGGTACTGGTACAGCCTCAGCACAAACGGGCATCGACAGGCACACGGCTCACGACTGCTTGCTTTTGTTGGACTTCTCTGCGCAAGGGCATTAGAAATCATTCGGTAGCACAAGCTCGCTCCCTCGCTCGTGCTCCCCTCCCTCTGCCCTGCCCTTACGGGTTGCAGAAGGCCTTGGCCGACGAGTGTGGCTAACGGCAACGTTTATGCTGTACAAGCGAGAGCAAGAAGAGAACTTAACATGACATCACTGAGATCCCATAATCCCATATCCAGCAGCTTCAAGGGCTGGTAGGTCAGTTTTCGGTAGTTCTCTGCTTCGAAGGGATCCGAATGGTCGCTCAGGTACTGGTCATGCTCCTGAGTCAGCTTTTCTTCTGGCTCCCAATTAATCTCAGAGCTTGGGCTCAGGCAATTCAGGTAAGGCGTGGTCGACTCTAGAAGTGCAAAAGAGAGATTTCTCCGTAGACAGAAGGGGACTGACCCTGATTGCGGATTCCTTTCTTGAAGCCCAGCTGCTTCAAAAGGGACGAACTCCACAAAGGGCATCGACTGTGTCACAACCTGAGCAAGACAAAAGCGACCCAGAGACACCAAAGACGAGTCCGAGCCTTGCTTTCCTGATTCAATGGCAACTTCGCAGCTTCTTCTGCGGCCATCGGCAAGATCTAGGACATGATCTTTGCTGCCTTCTGCCACTACCATACTCCTTGCCCTGAACAGGATGCAGCCCCGCACATTAAATCCCCCGAGCCGAGGAAACTTAAAGCTCCGATAGCCAACCCTGTCCAACCCCTGCAAGCAAATTAAGCCCAACAAATTTTTCGCGGTCACCTCCAGAAGTTTGGTGGTCACGCCCACCACGGAGACGAGGCCCATGACGAGGTCCGAGCCGGCCTGGGCCCAAACCCTCCAAACATCTCCAAACCTTTTTGAGGCTAGTGCCGCTTTTCAGAAGGGGCCAACACAAGCAGCTCCCCTAACCTTTTGCCCCTAGACGGCCCCAAGCTCTCTTACATGGAGGCGGGCCTTGCCGGAAGAATACGGCAAAGGAGCTCAGAATGTCCATGGAAAGTTTCCCTACGCACATGGTGTGGCTCTGAGGTGCGCCAGCAATTCAGGGCCCAAAGGCTCTGGATCTCATCCAAGCCGCGTTAGCGCCAAAGAGGTCGAAGGTTTCTGCAACACTCACGAAAAGAGGGCCGCAGTAGGTCAGGAAGTAGTGGTCCTCCCAGAACGTTTCCGAACTCCGAACACCTCAACATGAATCTTCTTCAAAACTCGGTTTGAGCAGCGCTCGTAGCCTGAAGCCCTAGCGAGTTACAGCTTGTTCACAGAGGCGCACTACGCCAAACACCAAAAGACTGCATGAAAGAACGGACATCTCTGTTCATTGTCGTGCCTCAAGATTCCGCTTTTCTATGAGAATTGTCGGCCAATAACCTCGACCAAGCTGGTTTCATGTGTGAGGTACAAAACGGTTCAAGGAGACCAGGTGCGCAATGCACGCAGTTCCTACGTAGTTCCCACGGAAGAACTCGGGGGCCGCATGGTGCCTCATCGTCATCCACTCGCTACGGAATGACGTGAGCTGCGCCCCTCCGCCGGACGCGCTTGGGCTCTGGAGGACTCTGCAAGTTGTAGGTTGCTCATGCTGAAAATGCGCTTGCGTAAACCTCTCCATGAACACGTTTGTACTCGTGACCGGCAGAACTGCGTCGCAACGCGGCATTTGCGAAAACCCTGCTGCACCAGAAGGCCAGCGCGACGTTGGGAGATCACCAGGCACGGAGTGTAGGATGCTTTGCCACGAGGCTGTCGAATCTCTGTTTTCGAAACAGTCCCTCATCGATGTGTGATGATGCAGCGCGCGAGCAAAATGCGCACGTCAGCCAGGGAAGGCGGACGTCGACAGAAGCAAAGGACGTGACGAACGAGAGACAGAACGAAAGAAGGATGACACTAACGAAGGCAAACTTGATCTCCAGGAAGGGTATAGAGTATAGAGCCAAACTGATTGATGCGAGGCGCCACGACATAACCCTCCAAGAACATGAAGAGCTCACGCCCCCAAAGCCTTCAACTGCCAGTCGAAGCCCACATGTGGCCTCCATGCACGAGGTAAGGATCACCACGCGGTGGTTCCGGTCAGCCCCAGCGGCGGCTGCCAATGACAGCGGTGGAGTTACCGGCGCTTGGTCCTGCAGCTGTTCTTGTTTTGATTTTCCACCCGCCTAGCCGCGGATCGCCCAGCAGGCATCCAAAATTCTTAGTCAGAGATAGCTTGCGGGCTAAATCGAAGCCAAATCCCAGAGACAGTCAAACACCAAGCATAGGAGATTCAAGCCCAAGCCCGGGAGGGGTTCCGGCACACCCTCGATTATCATCAACGCCACTGGGAGGACAAGGCGGGTCGAGAGAGAAGGATCCATTGCGACCAAAGGCAAGACAGATCAGGCTGATGTTTGGAGAGAGTTAAGCATTCGTGAACATGTCCTCCACAGTTCTTATTGCCAGGGTCCCTTTCCCCTGTCCATACATCTAGACTTTTATACATACATACATACGTACGTACGTACATACATACATACATGTACATATACAGTGTATGTATGAATGTATGTATCTATATATACATACATATATATATACACACATAATATGATCCCTCTCCCGTTGTCCACGTTTCTTCTGTTGATTTTTCAGGCCCCCTACACCTCAACCTGATGGTCCCAGCGCTCATGAAAATGAATCCTTTCTTTCTTTCTGTGCACCTAACCCCCCTCTGTCGGGCGGCCCGATTCATTTTCCTCTCTCTCTCTCTCCCTCCCCCTCCCTGTCTGAAAGCGAAACAGCATATACCAGCACATGAAACAAAGGGGGTCGCAGGAGGGAAGCCCGTGAAGCTCATGCTGCAGGCTCTCCTGTGCCTCCCGCGCACGCTGGCCGGCGGGAAGCATCTGCATAATCTCCTCGGAGCCCAGGTCCAGAAGAGGGCGAAGAAGGCTCAGTCTCTTTCTAGATGAGGTCTGGCGTGGTGAAGATGGGCGGCTTTCGGGCTTCAAGCTCACCGAGAGGTCCTACCCCTCGCACGACACTGGCACTCATGTTGGGTGGAGCTGCCGAGCTCATTTGTGCTCTGTCGGGCTTCGCCTCGCGCTGTGAAAGACAAGCGGCAGCCCACCTTCGATCAGACTTCCGGCGCAAGCGCTTGCGCAGGAGTCTGGGCCAGCGCCATCTGCCCTGAAGCAACAGGAGATCTTAAATTGGAATGTGTGACAGTTGTCAAAAAGGCACCGGCGGTGATGATAATCCCCTGAATGACGAAAGTTTTGGAACTCCCTACTCGGCACAACTCCGACCAGCCCTGGGGCACAACTCCAACCAGCCCTGAAGCAAGTTCTTCGCCCATGAAAACCTTGGCTCTCGCCAGCGACACCACATCCATGAGCCGTTGCGGGTGGGCCGGTAGCGTCGTCCTGAAGTCTGAAGTCTGGCAGTTTAAGGGTTGACCCACATCCACAACCCGTTGCAGGCAATAACCCGACTAAACGGGAGTGGAAGGACTTGAGTGTGGTGTTACGACGTCGCTGAGTTCTGGACAAGCTGCAAAGCAGACAGCAACAACCCTATGCCCCAATTCCAAATCCTGGTCAAACTGTTGCAGTCTCCCGCAGCCATACAGCCCACAAGCGTTGAAGGGAGAACTTTGTTTCGCTTCCTGAGAACAAAGAGCATCTCCAAGCTTCAAGGCTACGTCCGGCAGTCCACCCTCTAGAACTGGCTAGGCTCATGGACATCTCCTCCGACTCCATTTCAACCTCACTCTTGAAGCTCACTTCTCAGCTTCTCAGAGCTTTTTGGGCGGTTCAGGCCTGAGAGGTCAAAATGGTAGGGGCGGGCTCAACTTGGCTCAATGCTCAGGCACGGCTCTCGCTTACTATCCCTCCCCTAGCACAGCCAGCACCCAAGGAACCCAAAACACACATCAGAAAGATCGTAGAGGAAAACAGGCACGCCTCCCCGCAGCGGCTGCAGGAGGCCACGACAACCGTGCCGTTGCCGGCCACGCCCAAGGAGGCCCAGAATCGTTCTCGACTGGGCAGACGCAAAGGGTGGAGCCGAGCTGGGCAGGTGGATGCATGCGCGTCACATGCATGTAACCGCATGTAAACTCATGGGCACCATGTTGGTCGCAGGGGCGAGACATCCTTGTTGCTAGGACATGCTCGGACGTGTGCACGAGAGCACACGGCACATTTGGCGCGTCTCTAATGGCTTTCAGCTGTCTCCGAACAGATGCAGGCTTGCAGAGTCCTCGGATTATCTCTGCTGGGGCACAGCTCGGCCGAGTCATCCTTCCTTCTGGCCTGGGCCTGGGCCTCGGAACGGATTCAGACATAGGATGCGCTATGATGTACTGGCCTCTTGTGTCACAACTCACGGCTCACGGCTGCTGACTAAGTGCCTCACATGCAGCTAAGGTGTTTTGATCAACTTGAGCTGTGCTTGACATGCTGGCCTCCGCATCGGCTCCCGCAAGGTTGAGGTCCGCAGAGAATCCGCGCTTCACGCCAGGGGTGAAGGGGAACTGCTCCTCCTGACGAAAGGTTATGCTGTGAGGGTTTGCTGAGGAGCTGAGGGGACGCCCAGGTTCCGGGACACGACCGTGCTGGAGAACGTGACAGCGCCGCTCGGTGGGATTGGTTGACTTGATGCATGCGTAACCCTACATGGCTAATTGGATTGAAAAGGAAGATTCGTCCGGTGCAGGCCGAAGGCTAGAACACGCTACAAGCATAACCCTCTGTGGCTCTTTTCGAAAAATCCGGGCGCCAGAAGCAGCCCAGAAGCACCGAGAGGCAAACTGCCTAGATCCCTCTTCAGTGACCATAAAACGCAACCTGGTACTGACCTCTGGCCTCGAGCAGCTGATGGAGAGGCAGCTTGTAAAGTGAGTTCTTCAGGTCCGCAGTGAGCCAGAGGTACTCTTGCCTTGGTTCTTGTCTGAAATTCTTCTGAAAGTCTGCACCTCTTCGTGGATTTAGGGGCAAAGGATGCCATGGCCGTCAAGATTGCTCTGAAAAGTCCCAGGCAAACCGAAACTTCAGATCTCCAAGAAGCCCTCAAGCTCCTTGAGCACCCTTAAGCTGTCATATGACATGCATCCTACAGATTGTGCCCCGTCACACCAGGCTCCGGTCCAAGAAAGGATAGCGTGCTTCAATGCCGTGTGCGCCGGCTGTGCACTCCTCCTTGGCCAGGTAGTCCTCTGTTCCAGGCAGGTGGGCGTTGAGTCTGAAGTATTTTGGGGAAGGATGCGCGGCCACTGCCCTTACAGGCATCAACACTCATCCACAAAATTGAAAGGTCCTGCTGCGTCCCTCGGAAGAAGTTGAGCCAAGGAAAGACATCCCACAAGTTGGCGGGGAACACCCCCTTCAACGTGCTGTGAAACTCCAGCGCCCTGCCGGCATTTCCTCTGTTCCAGGTCACAACAGTTCATCGAGCCGAAAACTTAAACAGACTGCCTACAGAAAGCCCATTGCAAATTCTGTCAGTGTTTCCATAGTCCGAGATGGACTCGTCCGCACCGCTGCCTGACAAGAAAAGCCGCTGGCCCGCAGTCCTGGCCTGGCTCTGGGGTTCGCCCAGCGACTGTTTCAAACCGAAGACTTTTTTGGCCCAAACATCAAGCTGTGCATAGTTTGGGGGTCGCCCGTCTTGGGGTTCGGAATTCAGCAGGCGTAGCGGTTCAAAGGCATCGGATAGTCCCCACTTAATATTCCCAAGATCATTCTCACCCCGAAGCTGGTTTTGGTCTCAAAAAAAACCTGAAGACCCCTGAAATTAAGGCCCCGTTGTCTGATGTACGGACCACTCAAGCCCTGTGCCCAAGTCCTAAACCTTCAGCAAAAGAGGCCTGGCGGTAGATCCAGGACAGCCCGGCGGCCGCCTTGTCATCCACGTTGGCGTAGCCAGGGCGCAACTTGTACCTGCAAGCTTGATGGCTGGTTCTGGATTTTCGCTTCCGTACAGCGGGGCGAACTCAGGGATATTCGCCGGAAACGAGCAACCTAGCGGCGTTCAAGCAGCTAAAGCCATCGAGGTGTTCCACAGCCTGTAACGTCATCCCAAACGCTTTTCGGGTGCCAAGCAGCTGCACTCGTTCGGCCGCCTCTCTGAGGAAAGTCTTCTCTTGTTCGAAGCTCTCGGTGGAGAGCCGAGTGAGCTTCCAAGTGGCGTTCATCCCACGCTTCCTTTCGGCGATTCGGTGGCCCTTGGGACCCTACTAGGGGTGCAGCTAGGGCGGTGTAGGGCATGTTTGCGCTCCATTTCCGTATTAGAACCTTAATGTCCGAAAACTTTGCAATGAGCTCCCGAGTCCTCAGGTGGAAGAATCGTTCGACCAGAACCGTGACATCTTCTCGAGCCTGTACGGTATACATGGCCGTCTGAATTTCCAGCTTGCCAAGCGATAGGGCGATGCCGCCGCTGTCGTAGCCATCGCTCAGACACATAGCGGGAGTCTCCCTCCCCACGACCATCTGCTTCATACCTTTATCTGTCTATGCAACGACAAGATCTCTCCCTTACTAGCACAGCCAAAAAAGTTCGTAGGAGTTTCAACATTTGTACGCAAGTAAAAGCCCAGGCTCCGGCCCTTCTTTGCACTGCCCTTTGGAAGGCAGCTTTCCAGTCTTTTGTGTCTGTCTTGTGCTGTCGCAAGTCGAACTCAAACACAGCCAGCTTCTTCACTAAACGAGGTGCTTGTGGCGGAAATGCTTCATCGGCTTCAGCTGGTGGCAGCGCTTCGGCCACCTCGTCGCCCTCTGGCAACTGAAAGACGGCGATGCTGTTGGGCTCAATTTGCCGGATGTCCTCGTCTTCAAAGCCAAGCCGCAGGAGCGCCGAAGCGTAAGACGACACAGCGAATTTGCCGGAACGCTTGGCATACCACAGCGGCTTGGTTCCAAAGGTGTCCTTGGCCGAGGTTAGGAATCTTGCATTGGCCTTGGATCTTGACAGCTCTAGATTCTAGAGGTTTCAAGGATTGAAGTGTCCACGCGTTTCGCCCCCTCATGACTGCTTGTCTCTGAGGTTTCGGGATGCTTATCTGGTCGAGGCTCCCGTGCTAGGATCACTTCCCTCTTAACAAAGTCGAGGACAGCAATGGCGTACTCACCATCCAAATGGCGCGGGAATCTTTGCCCGAAACCTGGGTGGCTGGCTCCACAGCCGCGCTCTCTGTTTCAAAACCGAATTAGGAGAAGATCGAAGAAAAGCGTGTGGAAGTTTCGGATGAACCTCAACTTAGCGGGGTGACAGGTCCCCCCAAACTCTTCCTGAAAGGATCTCTTAAAAGGCCGGCCGCGCACGTACTCGCTGAGTATGGCATCGCCGTCCTGGGTCATGCTGGTTTCAACGAATTCTCCAAGTATACTAATGGAGGTCATGCTTGCGACACCCTTCCAGCCAATCCGAGCATCTGAGCGGAAAGAGCCGCCAGCTCCCTGTAGGTCTTGCCAGTTGTAGATCTCTCCTTAATCGGAAGAGGTCTTGTGGTACATGGTAAGCAATGACAAGTGCATTGCCGAGGCTCTACTGCAGAGGAAGACCGAAGACATAACAATTGCAACGGAAGCCTTCCCACAACTAGAACCATGGTTATGACGTTATGACATTTGTGAGGATCGTAACACAATTTGGCTTCTCAAGTACACGCTGCTCAAAACAGGTATGAGCTGGATACGCAGTGGCGTTGCTGGAAAGCGGCGCTGTAAGAAGCCATAACGATCAGTGAATTTTCCAAGTAGACCCTGCTACAAACAACCGGCCGAGAACATGTGCTTCAACACTCCTTCATCTAGTGGCCTACAGGAAAAGGCATGTGCCGAGACCAAAACCCGGTGACCGAGACCAGCTTCGAAAAGGGAATCCCCTGCAGAATCTTATTTGGAGTGCGCAAAACTGAAGCACCATGTGTAGCAAGCTGCCATTAAAGAGAGCCACCAGGCCATCTTCTGGGCGCTGGAAAGGTTGGAGGACCCTCTCGCCAGTCATGTGGAGCAAGTTGTGTACAAAGTCATATCCTCATGCAAGTCAAGCAGCCCAAGCACATCTGCAGCCTCCTGGTCCTAATCAACGATTCACAGCAACAATCGCTCAGAAGTTCTTTTGCTCAGCCAAATATGCCGCCCCGATGGAGTGCTGAGTCCTTCTTAAGATGCTCTCAGGGTGGCTAGCGACCCCCTAAGCGTTGAACAGGAACCCTGAAACCTTTTTCAAGCCAATACCCAATTTCTTCCTCACGAAGCCGTAGTCCGGCCCGGAGCCGTAAGTGTTCGATGGCAGCATGGGGTGGGGCGCAGAATTACAGAATTTGGTACGAGTCGCCGTAGCCCTTCCACCGGTTCGTAGCGTCAGGCCCACGGAACTGCAGGAAGTAGTTGGCATAAGTGAGGTTATTTATAAGAAAGTTGGCCAGCAAGAAGCTGCACATCTCCTGTGCCCAAGCCTCGGCAGCAACGTCGGTTCTTTCAGAGGCATGTCTTAGGTAGAGATCAGGCAAACTCGTCCCATAAACGCCCGGCACCCATGAATTTTTCGAGGACATCATAGGACATAATTTCCAGGCATATCGCGATCAATAAGTGTCGCGCAGGTCCCTCGATCCTGCATTGTCCTTCGGAAGCATTTGCCAAGGTCCGTCAGTAAAGAAGTTGCCAAGTTGCCCTGCGGGTTGGCGACGGTGGCCACCACAAACGGTGTCAAGCTCACCTTGCTCGAAAGGGAGACTCTCGTGTGAACTCCAGTGGCCCGTTTAGGACCTGTTTTAGGCCCTAGCGCAGGACCTCTATGTACAGTGTGGGATATGGCTTTCATACAAACATACACATGCATACAAATATGTGTTGGTGAAAACAAGGAAATGACTACGTAATGACTCAAAAGGACCTGTATGCTGAAATTCACGAAGCTTAACTAGAGCTCAGGTGAAACCCCAGGGTTGTCTGCCCTCTCGCACACAGTTTTCGCTTCTTTTGGTTTCTGCTGCGCTTTTTGGCTGTGGAGGCCTTGTGCGTTCTTCGTTGTGGAGGCGGGGTGCGTTCTTTCCTGTGGAGGCTGGGCTCGGTGTTTTGATGAGGAGGCAAGAGGTTTTTGCAGTGGAGGCCGGGTGCTTTCCTTTTTGCCGCGGAGGTGATGGAGGAAGGGCGTCTTCTTTTGCTGCAGAGTCCGGGCGCTGGAGCACGGCCAGCCGCTTTATGATTTCAAAAAGAAAAGCTTTCCCCCCCCCCCCCCCGGCAAACAAAAACGTCACAAGCTTCAACCCCCAACACCCCTTCAACCCTGCGTCACCTCTATTCCATGCCCGGGCCTGCGTCCGTGAGGACTGGGCACACGTCGATGTCTAGGAGGTCTCACGCGCAGGCTCGGCATGGCTCTCTGCTCTCCGCTTTCTCATATTCCCGGAAAGGGGGGGGGTGTAGCTGTGTAGGGTTTAGGGTGCGTTTTTCATGCAGCTGTGTCCGGGCTTCGCGTTGGGCTGCGCGTGGTGCTTGTACGGTGTCTGTTTTCAGATTCCTGGCCCACAACTCCGAGCAGAACATAAGCTGAACTGTTCAGGAACACCTTTGGGTTTCTTTCGAATTAGGTTCTAGCTTAGGTTGGGTCGGTTGGGGTACCTTTGGGCCCTTGGAGTTCAGAACCCAAGCTACTTGGCACAGGGAGGACATGTTGCACTGTTGCACCTGTCGAGTCTCCACTACGATAAGGCTCCCAACTATCCCCAACCCCGTAAGCCTCAAAGTGCATTCGCTCAGCCACGTATACTGTAGGGTGGTGGCGGAGGAACTCAGCTACTGCAGACTCCCCTTTCTGGCACGCTCCACACACTTGGCCAGCTCAGCTCGGTAGCTGCTTCGGTGCGGATCCTTCCCATTGACCCAGTTCTCCAGAGGTGAGTCGATGTTGGACGGGAAGATCACGCAGTTGGTGTTCATGTATGCCGGAACCATCGAGAAGGAACTTTGAGACATTATGAAGATGTCTGCCCTTGACATGTGGACCCATGCCTTTAGCATGTCGTCGTTGTCGTCGATTTTCTCGTCCAAATGCACAGTCATGCCACGCTGCCGGTACCCATCGAAGTCCTCCGATTTCCAGAAATGGTAGTCGAAAGCAGGTATGTTCTTGGGGGAACTCCAGACATGAAAATCCAGATCTTCCGGCGGCAGCAGCTTCTCTATTTCCTTTGCAAGCCCGTAGTAGTACGAATCGGGAGTGGCACGGGTGTCACTCCTTTCCAAGTCTGCTCGCCGCAGGTGCATCACGACAGAGATCTTGCCGTCGGCAAAGGCCACCGGCTGCAAATCCAGGTGTTTACGCATCTGATCTCTCAGCCAGCCGGGGAAATAGTCACTGGTGGGCACGCTGCGGTCGTAGCCCCTGAGCTTCTCGGACGTTGTTCAATCAACAAACCATCTGATGCACACACGCCGACACAGAGAGACACACAGACAGACACTCGCACTGATGCTAAGTCGAGGAGACAGCCCAGACTGAATGCACTCAGTACTTATAGATTGGTGATGTTGACCGATTCCACAACACAACTCAACTCAGCGTGACACGACAAGGCGAAAGGCTTTGGCACAGCATCTAGCATCTGTTCCCTGCTTGCTTGTCGCATCCCTCAGGCACTGAAACCCCAAATCCGGGAAGCGTAGAATGTGCTTGTGTCGGTCGAAACTGACTCCTCCGCATTCACAGGCCGTATTCAAACAATCTCCGCCACCAGTTTCTTCGCCATATCGGACTTTGAGTGGCACCACAACTTGCACGAGATGAGTCTAGGGCACGTTCCTTATCGTTCCTCGCTCCATCTGCCTTCGTGCTAAAGCAGCAAGCTGAGTTTCCGGTTCCGATGCTGTGCACTTCATGGTTCGACAGCGCCTACTCTCATCCTGCCGAGGTGGCAGACAGACAGACAGACGTAGAGAGATTGTCCGGAAGCGAGAGGGGTTTCACATAAGCTTCAACCCAACCCCATACCCCAAACCACAGCTTCACTCTCCGGAGCACACCGCGTGGGCTGAGGCCGTGGCCACTCATTCACAGCGTGGCAGTACAACAGCTCTCCAGGCTGGAAGCTGGAAAGCTTCCCTTCCAGCTCACGTGCACTTTGGACTTCCGTGAATTTCGGCTTGCTGCTGATGTTGTGGATGAAGAAGTTCTTGGAAGCATCTGGCCCAAAAACTGCATCCACCACCACGCGGAAGTTGATGTGCTGATCTGTGAGAGGCTGCAGCTGGCCAACGAGACCTCCGAAGTTTAACTTGTTCTTCCATGAGATAGCAATGGCTTCCATGAGGGACTTCATCCTGTGCCCTGCGCCATCTGTGTGTTCAAGGATGTAGAGCTTGGGCGCTGATGGGTCACGCATGTTGCAAACCTGGCACACGCTTCAAACTGCAATCGTGTCGTGCACGCCAAACCCTGCCCCACACCTATGACTATCCACCCCGCCCTATCCATCTCTACCCGGACTCTCCCCACTGCCAAAAAGCACCATGCAGATTGTGTTTCTACTGCCCGTAGCAGCTGTAGCAGCTGCAGCAGCTGCAGCGCCATGCGACAAAAGGGTACAAGGCGTAACGGAAACAAACCCTCAACGGCCTGCAGCTTGCACGTCGGTGGGCTTGCTGCTTGCTGGGAACTCAAACTCGTCTCAGCTGCTTTGGCGGGCTTCCTCGCCGTCTTGACACGCTCCACACACTTGGCCAGCTCAGCTCGGTAGCTGCTTCGCTGCGGATCCTTCCCATTGACCCAGTTCTCCAGAGGTGAGTCGATGTTGGACGGGAAGATCACGCAGTTGGTGTTCATGTATGCCGGAACCATCGAGAAGGAACTTTGAGACATTATGAAGATGTCTGCCCTTGACATGTGGACCCATGCCTTTAGCATGTCGTCGTTGTCGTCGATTTTCTCGTCCAAATGCACAGTCATGCCACGCTGCCGGTACCCATCGAAGTCCTCCGATTTCCAGAAATGGTAGTCGAAAGCAGGTATGTTCTTGGGGGAACTCCAGACATGAAAATCCAGATCTTCCGGCGGCAGCAGCTTCTCTATTTCCTTTGCAAGCCCGTAGTAGTACGAATCGGGAGTGGCACGGGTGTCACTCCTTTCCAAGTCTGCTCGCCGCAGGTGCATCACGACAGAGATCTTGCCGTCGGCAAAGGCCACCGGCTGCAAATCCAGGTGTTTACGCATCTGATCTCTCAGCCAGCCGGGGAAAAAGTCACTGGTGGGCACGCTGCGGTCGTAGCCCCTGAGCTTCTCTGACGCTGTTCAATCAACAAACCATCTGATGCACACACGCCGACACAGAGACCGAGGAGACAACCCGGAATGCACTAAGCACTTGCAGATAGTCGTAATGTCGGGATTCTTGAGTACATTGTGCTGCAAGCAGGACGAGGTGGACAAGGATCCAGGACTTCAGGATTGCACGTCTGCACTTCCCTCGACGTACTCCGTAGCTTCGTCAGAAGGGCTAAACGTACATCCCGCAACTGGCGCACAACCACACAAAACAAACGACAAAGCAAACATAGAAGCAAGACCTCCTAGCGCAACTTCTCTTTCCATGGATGTATCCTACTCTTATCCTGCCGAGGTAGCAGACAGAAACACACGCGCACACACAAACAAACAAACACACGCACAGAGTCCGGAAGCGAGAGGGGTTTCACACAAGCTTCAACCCAACCCCACACCCCAAACCACAGCTTCACTCTCCGGAGCACACCATGTGGTCTGAGGCCGTGGCCACTCATTCACAGCGTGGCAGTACAACAGCTCTCCAGGCTGGAAGCTGGAAAGCTTCCCTTCCAGCTCACGTGCACTTTGGACTTCCGTGAATTTCGGCTTGCTGCTGATGTTGTGGATGAAGAAGTTCTTGGAAGCATCTGGCCCAAAAACTGCATCCACCACCACGCGGAAGTTGATGTGCTGATCTGTGAGAGGCTGCAGTTGGCCAACGAGACCTCCGAAGTTTAACTTGTTCTTCCATGAGATAGCAATGGCTTCCATGAGAGACTTCATCCTGTGCCCTGCGCCATCTGTGTGTTCAAGGATGTAGAGCTTGGGCGCTGATGGGTCACGCATATTGCAAACCTGGCGCACGCTTCAAACTGCAGTCATGTCGTACATGCCAAACCCTGCCCCACACCTATGACTATCCACCCCACCCCTATCCATCTCTACCCGGACTCTCCCCACTGCCAGAAAGCACAATGGAGATTGTGTTTCTACTGCCCATAGCAGCTGTAGCAGCTGCAGCAGCTGCAGCGCCATGCGTCAAAGGGCACAAGGCGTAACGGAAACAAACCCTCAAGTGCCTGCAGCTTGCACGTCGGTGGGCTTGCTGCTTGCTGGGAACTCAAACTCGTCTCAGCTGCTTTGGCGGGCTTCCTCGCCGTCTTGACACGCTCCACACACTTGGCCAGCTCAGCTCGGTAGCTGCTTCGCTGCGGATCCTTCCCATTGACCCAGTTCTCCAGAGGTGAGTCGATGTTGGACGGGAAGATCACGCAGTTGGTGTTCATGTATGCCGGAACCATCGAGAAGGAACTTTGAGACATGATGAAGATGTCTGCCCTTGACATGTGGACCCATGCCTTTAGCATGTCGTCGTTGTCGTCGATTTTCTCGTCCAAATGCACAGTCATGCCACGCTGCCGGTACCCATCGAAGTCCTCCGATTTCCAGAAATGGTAGTCGAAAGCAGGTATGTTCTTGGGGGAACTCCAGACATGAAAATCCAGATCTTCCGGCGGCAGCAGCTTCTCTATTTCCTTTGCAAGCCCGTAGTAGTACGAATCGGGAGTGGCACGGGTGTCACTCCTTTCCAAGTCTGCTCGCCGCAGGTGCATCACGACAGAGATCTTGCCGTCGGCAAAGGCCAACGGCTGCAAATCCAGGTGTTTACGCATCTGATCTCTCAGCCAGCCGGGGAAATAGTCACTGGTGGGCACGCTGCGGTCGTAGCCCCTGGGCCAGACGAAACGACATAACGACTGAGCTTCAAGAGTGGATTACACGTGCCAAGACAGGCAAAACCGCATCCAGCTACGTAGAATACTTCAAACTGAGAGCAGGTCCACTCATTCACGGCATGGCAAAAGACAGCCGCAGATGGTGGCACCTGATTCGCCTTTGCCTCCAGAGCTCGGACGTCGTTGAACTTGCCCTGCAGACGTGGTTTGTTGCTGATGTTGTAAATGTAAAGCTGCTGCGTTGCCCCTGGCCCGAAGACGGCATCCACCACCACGCGGATGTTGATGTGCTGGTCTGTAAGGGGCCACAGCTGGCCAACGAGACCGCCGAAGTTAAACTTGTTCCTCCACGAAATGGCAATGGCTTCCAGGACAGACTTCATCCGGTGCCCTGCCCCATCTGTGTGCTCAAGGATGAAGAGGCGTGGAGATGTGCCCTCGTGCAACCTGCAGATGGGAAGTAGGCATGTGAGCTCGTCTGGCATGCCGGCAGATGTTGTGGAAGCCGTGCTGGCTCCTGACAAGCGAGTGAGCCATCTTAGATGATCTCCGCCTTAGTTTACTCCTCTTGTCTTCATGCCTCTTGTGCCCTTCGAAAAGGCACGCTTGGACTATCAACACCACGCCTAGTAAGACCTGACAGTTACAGTCGAAGGTCCTATTGCTTGGATCGTGGCACAGCCATCTTGGATGCATTTCTCCCAGAGACCCTTCTTGCGAAACAATGAAACCTTCGCACGCTTGCACGTCCCGTTTGAACCAAGCCGATGAAACCCATCCCCCAACGCCTCCGAGCTCGGACACGCAAACACAAGAAGTGCAGCGCAGAATTGGTGATGTCTAAATTGTTGAAACAGGCAACCAGAAGACTTCTTAGAAGAGAGCCTCATTGCTACAATGACTCCTCATCGCCACAGCACATCCCCAAAAACGAACTGCAAGCCCGGAAGACAAATTGACAAAGCTGCAAAGATCCGGCCTATGATCGGCATCTCGTGCTGGGCCATGGGGTTCTCAAAGGGCTCCGGGGTCTCACAGTGTTGGGGGAATCAGTGCTTCTGCTGGAGGGCTTTGGTCCAAGGTCGAAGCTTCGAATGGCTACGTGGCTCGCCGACCGTTTACGATGTCCATGCCTTGTAAATCCCAGACGTCTCCATGTCAAGACCTTCAATCGAGGCCCCCCTTACCAGAATCTCAATTGAGGCCTCCGGCTTGTCCCTGGAAGAGCTGAATTGCCTGCGGGGTCGGAAGGGGCCTAAGGATCTTCAGGCAGAGCTTAAGTTGGGGATGGCATGGGCGCCGGTGCCCAAACATCTGCCTGAGAAAAGCCTCGGAAATCATTTGGGTCTCGCCAGGGCAAGATCTTGGCTCGTTTCTGCCGGTTTCTCACTGTCTTGAAAGAGGCAACTGGCTATGGTTGATATTGTTGAGGGTAAAATCAGGAGGGAACGACCCCTGAAACTCCTTCGCATGGAAGATCAAAAAACCTACCCCAGGCGCCCATATGATGTCCTGAGGGCAACACCACAGTAACTTCAAGACTTCAAGTGACTTCAAGATGCCGCGTTTTCTTCATCGCACTCTTTGCCTCGCCTCTCGGTGAGTGCCTCGGAAGCTGCAGCCGTAAATGCCGTAGACGCTGTAGACCTCGAATCGTCCTCTGCAATTAGCACAGGTTGTGGACTTTTTCTACGCCTGCACCTTGCATGGACCTTTGTGAAGCCTTGTTGTTCATATAGTAGCCACAGCCATGCTATTGCAGTATCTGATCTTTACTGACGAAGCGTGCCCTTATCAACATATGACAAGCAAAAGCTAGTGCAACACAACATCAAAACACATCAAAACGCTTCGGGAAGTTTGCCCAACATCCTTAGGCGACAATTCAAAGCAAAGTACAGGCCACGTTGTTTACTATTTCTTGCTCTTCACCTCCAAAACACCTTGACAAACGGAAAATAAATAGCTTTCTCTTCTCATTCTTATGGGAACAAGGTCCCCTACTCTTCTCCTTTCAACTACATAGTAAGGACAGCACGGATGCATGCTTTTTTGTCAAACTGCCATCAAACTCCTCTTACCTTCCCTTCTTTAGGAAAACTGCTGACATTCTGTTGCCCGGGTAAAGAAAGCTCGCGACGAATTAGGAGTCTTCCCTCGTCTGCTAATTTCCTTAAGCTGAATGATATCTGACCATCTCTTTTGAACAGAAATTCAGCCTGTTTGCTCGTGTGATGTTCGGGGCACTTGCAGCTCTTAATTTAATGTGAATCCTCCGTATTTTCCCCAATGAAACAAGAACGTCGATGGTCTTCAAGAGAACTGGTCACCTCATAGCCCTTCCCCCAGTCGGATTCTTCATCTCAATGGGCAAAAGATAGGAGAGTTCCTCTTGATCTCCATAAGAACCAAGATGGGAGGGCTCTGGGCTCTTAGCAAGTACTGTGGGGAGGCGACTGTTTTAAGAACCAACAGATTCTTAGTCAGAGCAAAAGGAACCTTCGCATTGCATTACGCTCTAAACAGATGCATAGCTCCTGTCTCTCTCTCTCTCGCTTTCTTTCTTTCTTTCTTTCTTTCTCTCTCTCTCTCTCTCTCTCTCTCTCTCTCTCTCTTTCTCTAGGAACAATTCAATTCGTATGCAGCCACCGCGACCAGGGTCAATGATAGGGGCTAGGGGACTCCAGGATGGCTAAAGGTGAGGGAGAAGGGCTTTTTTAGGGGGTTTAAGGGGGACTTAAGAGGTCCTCAAAGAAGGCCTTCAATGGAGGGGGGGGGTTCAGGGCTGTTAAGAAACCAGGGGACCTCTTAAGGCGCACCTTAAAGTATCCTTAAAGTGACCTTTAAGCGGGCTCTAAAGGGGCACCTTAAAGGAGGGTTTTACAGGGGTCCTTGGCACGCACTTTATGCTATATACTCTGATGGGATGGGGAAAAGGATCCCACATCTGGCTGAAAAAACGCACCCATTCGATGGCCTTTTTTGGCCTTCGAATTGGGGCTTGCCAGTGATTTAAGAGGCGCTTTGGGTTTTTGGGTGCTTTGGGTGCACATGAAGAAGCTGCACTAGCAGCTATACGTCGCGGATAGAGCGAACGGCCGCTCATGAACTGCTTTGGGTGACGACGGGCCCCCGAGAGCTCAACTAATTGCAAAGCCAAGATTTGGTGAAATAAAGGCACAAGGTCACAAGATTCCTGGGAGGGGTGCCTGCACCACCGCCTCTTCCAGCCAGCCGCCGCCCCAAAGCAGCGAGACGAGCCTTTCTGTGCAGCATTCCGCCCCGTGGTCCCTGCCATAATCTACTAACTTTACAACCCCAACCCACAGCATCCCACAGCCCCGAGCCCCAAGGCAAACAAAGAGCCTTCAAACACGGCACAAATGTGGTAATCTCTGGCAAGCTGCACGAGGCCCACTGCAGCGCCCAGACCTCAAATTTCAAGGATTCGGATTTGTTCTTGTTTGGCTGTGGCTTCAGCTGAAGGACGCTGAAGGGCAGGAACGCCATGCACATCAAGAATCAAGGGAGGCATGCGCGATAAATGCTTTGCGTCACCAGGCCTGCACACAAAAAAGTTGGCACGTGCAACAGCCTACAGATTCGCATAGTTACCACAAGCATGCCCCTCTCAGAAGCACGCGCATGAAAGTTCGAGAGCTTTCAAGGGATCATTCGGAGTGCTGCCCTAAGAACTGTCATCGCTGAGTTTGCGAGGCCGATTCGCCCCCCCAAATCGCCCCAGACTTTGCACCCTAAGCCCGTCACAGAATCCAACCCTCACTACTCTGAGGAACTGGCCCCCAAATGCCCAGCTGCGCCCATGCAGCATGGCCATGGCCCATAGCCGCACAAGTGGGCACTTGACGTTCGGGGGCTTGACTCCCAGATCTGAACTTGGGGTTGGGGCCCGGTTGGGGCAGTGCGGGACGGAGGAACTAAAACTAACGACGTCAACTTAAAGTTCTGTAGAAATTCTGTCGAACTTAAACTTAAATGAGCTTTTAAAGGCACTTTTCAGGGCTTTTCAGGCTGCTTGGGGTAACCGGCATCTCGCTCGCGCCTCGGGACCTTGAGCAGCCAATGTGCCTTGGAAGAGCGCTGCGGCGCCGCGCTGTCAAGCCGACATGAAATTCTGAAAAGCGACTCTCGTAAAAAAAAAGAGAGTAAAGCCAACGCTTGTAGATGCTTCAACTCCTGTGTAGTCTCCTAAGACTCTCGTCAAAGCACGCTCTAAATCCACAATGAAATTGACATTTCGTGATGGTTGGAACGGCGACGGAGCTTCCACTTCAACGCGCCATGCTCAGAGATACATCGAATCAAGGAAGCCCTCAGCTTGGAGAGAGGGGATTTAGGGGTCGAGCGAGTGGCGCAAGAACATGAGAACCATGCAACGAGCGATTTTCGCACTTTTCAGGTTACAGCGGGCTGTGGGGCAGTGCTGTCATCGCCGTCGCTCTGCGGCGTTTCGTCACCATCCCCTGGGAGGACCAGCGCCAGCGCCTGCCAGAGGATGCGCGGAAAACACCTGATTATGCTGTCAATATTCAATAAATTTTAATGTTCTATGACATTCTGTAGGTTCCATCGCTGTGTCAAACCAGGGCCCCCTGAACATAGTCGCACGAAGGACTCTAGACTCATCTACGGCCACGGCCTCGAGTGGTTGATCTCCACGCCACCATAGAGGTCCTTAACGCACACCAAACAAAGATTCCATGGAGAGCCAAAAGAAGGTCAATGGATCCAACTCGCTATGCCCGTCAAAGGTAATGCTGAGGACCGCAGCCAGTATGAACTTGTCCCGGCGCTCCATCAGTAGCTTCTTCAGCCTCATATTCTTCCAGGTGCTGGCCGCATTATGTCGTGCTGTAAAGTTGGGGGATTCTGACACTGAACTCATGCCTCAGCAAGAACGCAGCCCCCCAAGGCCCAGCTCGAAACACGGAATCGGCAAGTGAACAAGGAACAACGGCAAGTATGCACCTCTCACGGACGAAGCAACACGAAGGCCGATTGCAATGAGTACATTGTGAGTACATGCTACATGGCGTAGTACACGGCCCGACTTCGAAAAGGGAGCCCCTGAAGGTTCTCAGCATTCCTAAGAGCCTCAGGCGCCTGAGCAGTTTTGCAAGGCTGTGCGTGAGACGTTCTTTCAACGCTTTCTTCATATCTTTTTCAAAACGGCTCGCGTCATGTGGCATGCTCATTTTTGTCCTCAGAAACCGGGATTTGCGTCCTGCAACGAGAAGCTGTTGCCTTCACGTGACCAATCTCAGCACGTATTGTCCTGTCCTTTAGGCAGTATCCGGAGAAACAAACCATATTGAAGCAAGATCCCACACGGCTTATTCCTTCACATCTGGTCGGAGGACACAGGGTTCAGCACGTTGTCCAGTGAAAACCAAGCCTCCCTGACTCTGCCACATGCTGCGACCTAAGTCGCTACTTGTGAGAGCGTTGCTCTCTGCAAAGCGCATGCAGGTGCTGGGAGGTTTTGAGATCCACACTTGTTGCCCATGTGATTCGAAAAAACAAGGGGCGCCTTGCGGCAAACATACCTTTGGCTTCCATGCGTGTGAATGTACACGTTGCCCCATCTGACGTCGAGTCGAGCTCTGGAGAACGCGAGACGGCAATGATGAAACCAATGGACCAGACATACGTTTTGCCTGCCTGAGCTTGTGCACGTCTGGAAGCAAAGGCAATGTCATCCAAAATCCTCATGAAATTCCCGCCTTTCCCTAGACCATGCTCCAAGGATTCAGCCCCTTGGCACTTTTCCAACTGACTACAAAGCAACATCTTGCAGAATCTTGCAAAGCGTCTAGGTGCCAGGCTTGAGATTTCGACCTTGCACGACAGAATGTGGAATGGAATCGGACAGTGTCTCCACGGGCTTAAGGTAGATAACGTTGGGCGAAACATGACTAAACTCAGGGTATCTCAGGGTTTCGGGTGCTTCGCAGTCACAGAAACTTCACATGTAAGAGAACTGCTGCCCATTCGGAGCCTTCATGTAGGCTGTTGAGAGAAAACCCCACACTTCTTCTCATGGCAGAATGCCATGGTGGTGACGACAGGCCTGGTGGTAGGGCCACCAGCATCCCCAGCCGACGCAAAGGCGTGCGACCGTGCTGGCGCAAGTGCGCCTGCTCCCATGATGAGCGGCTTAGCCTACCAACCCAACACCAACCCAAGTGCTTAAGCATTCTGCTCCAAAAATCAAACCAAAACCCAATCACCAGATTTATCCGAAATTCATGATGAAGTTCATGACTTGGGGCTTGTAGTCAAGCACTAAAGTAGCAACGCATGGACAGCACCGACCCGACAAGCAATCCTTTTCCATCTGCATCGCGTCGGAGAGTTCAAGTAAACGCGCTGCACCACGCAGCCATGCTGACCCAGGCGATCGAGAAACGGTAAATCACTTCTCCATGCAGGTTGACAAAACGAGGTTCAGAAGTTGTGCCCCCCTACCCACAAAAGCTTCAAAACCCCTTCAGAACACCTTACTGGGGGTAGCCCCACTTTGGGTATGGCATGCTCTCATCTCCCAAGCCCATGTGATCTTGCATCCGCTCCTTAGTCATTCAAGGCGGGCAAGGCAGCTCCAGGACAACCGGGCGCTTTGGACTCGGCTGGATTTGGGAATCGTTCGAACCGTTGTTGTATAGAATTTGGGGGCTGAATTTGAAGGCGGTCAAGGCACCACCGAATCGTCCGTGCGGAGCTTGCGGAAGACAGTTGCCTTCTCCTGAACAAGGGTAGCGGAAGGATCCGAAAAAGGCTGAGATGCTGCGACACGCCATGATGTGAAATTGAGCCAGTGGCCATCCACTTGGGCACAAAGCTGGGGAAGGACCTGAGTCCCACGTCATGCTCATGGTACGAGTGTCCCAGAACTAACCCGAGGCAAAGCCCGGTCCCCCGAACTCGCGCAAGGCGAAGAATGCAAAGCTCCACTCAAGACTTGATCTGCACCACAACCCACATTTCTAACCCCCCAAGCCGGGAAGCGAATACGGATCCGGCTCGTTCAGCTCTGGGTACATGCGGGCCCGGCGGAACTGCTGATCCCACCTCAGTTTTGCCATCATGTTTCGCGGCTACTCTACTGGTGCTCTTACCCGACTCTTCCGATAGAAGGGCTTGGAAAGGTCGAAGTTTACCTTGTCTCTGACTCCGACGTTTGATGGGTGGATGCCAGCTGCCCAGCAGCCTTTTGACGTTGTTTTTTGCCACCGATGTTTCGTCCACAGGCTTCGCGCGCGTGTTGGCAACTTCTGCATAGTTCAGGAAGAGCTGCGAAGAAGCTATGGCAAGAAGCCAATGCTTTCCCCCGTATTCAAACTACTCCCAAGACTCAGAGGGTCATTCCAGTCCTGAAGCCTTTGCAAACCTTCAAAACACCATCATGTCCGAATCCAAAGGCTCATCGAACTTGGACTCCAGGAAGTAGAGCTGCGGAATGGCTTTCCGCCTCCGGGAGAGCAACTTCAGGTGTTCAAAGACCTGAAATCCAATTCTGAGGGCTTGGAGTTCGGAGAGCTGGAAGAATCGCAGGAGGAGGGACGCATTGCACTTTGATCTTTTCTTCAGTCGTGTTGGGAGACATATGCCTCTGCACTCAAATTTTAAATTTCGGGATGTCAAAGTGTGACATTTTCGGGCCAAGCTTTGGGGGGCGCAGTGTGCCTCTTCCAACGCTTGGCAAGGGCTGTCTTCAGCTTGCCCTTGTGCCGGGAGAGCCACACAAAGGCTTGGCGCTGCTCTAGCTTGTCCTCGGCTGACAGCTCACAATTTGTGTACTGGGTTCAAGCTGCCCACGTCACGCCCTTCATCCTCCAACTGCCAGGCTGGCCGATGGTACGAAGACAATGCTGTGTGGGCTCGAGCCTCCACAAGTCGGAATGGAGACCCCTGCTCCGGGACGACGTCAAAACAACAGTGGCGCAAGTAACGTCTCGGCTTTGTCTAGAGGGAACAGAGGGCTCCGGAAGTTTTGGCCCTTGCTCGGTTTAAGAAAGGTTGTAGCATCCCTCGCAAGAACCACAAAGAATCCCAATGCTGGAATTCAACTGACAGCTCTACCTCTGACATGGCCCAAGGCTCCCCTGACGCTCCGACATGGATGTAGGCGGCACGGCAGCCCCGGCTCATGATAACATCCTGAGAGCTTTCAGAGGATTCGGGGTGCGAAAACCCATATGGACTCAAAAAAACAGGGGGCGCGAGATTGGACGTTCCGATTGGCAAAAAAAGTATAGATTTTTTGAAAAAACAGGTCAATTGGATAGCCCCCCCGAGGCCCAAGAACAGACTTGCTGCTTGGGCATGAGCGTTACACTCAAAACTCCAAGACAAACAGGGTTCAAAGTTCAGGGCGAAGTATTGAGCGCGATCCTACTTCTGAGGGGCACAAAACAACAAAACCCTACTGCTTGTGAGAGAGTAGAAGGCCGAGCCAGAAAGCAAGCGGGAGCTGTCGTCATGCACCGTGAATGAAAGGTCACACAAGGCGCTAGAAAAAACTATAGCCACAGAAGTGACAACGCAGGTCATATACCAAAGAGCCAAGAGGCTCATGCAATACCTTGAACCCCCGAATTTGGTTTTAACCAAAGTCCATGCTGGATGTCGAGGCACGTGAACTTGAAGGCGGTATTGCATATCCTCATCGCCCAGTCGTTCTAACGACACTTCGCACGCGTTGAAGATCTCTTCCACGGTTCCTCGGCAAGTGAACTTGACAAGAAACCCAAAGCCTTGAGCTTGCAAAGTTGGACCCGGCCTTCATTGCGCATCCAGTCTCCATCTAGATTCAGCATGGCTTGTTCAAACATGGCTGTAAGTTTCTTCCTCCTCCCTCCTGTGCAGTTAACCCTGGTCCACGAAGTCCAATATGGGTCTGGCAGCTTCTCAGGTAGGAGGCCACCCGGGCTTGGTTGCGAGTCTCGATGTGCTTCACACCCTTAGGATCTCGCCTCGGCGCAGATTCATGATATGCCTGATCGGCGATTATTGTGTTGAGCGGGTTCGGTTCTTGAGGAAATGCCCGCAGAATTGCCGACAGATTTCTAGTGGGTGGGGGGGCGGCAGGGGGCGCAAGTCCCCTGTTCGCATCACCCCCACCTGCTCTAGCTAAGGGGCAGTCTCTCAAACCGTTTTGGTTTCTGGTCCACCCTTCTCTCGACCAAAGCCCCTCTGGTATGCATTGAGCCCAGGCCGAGGAGCGCGTGCCAGGCGAAGCCATATCTGGCCACCTTGTGCCTGGGAAAGTACTAAGTACTTCAGCCGGCGCTGTAAAAGACTCCATGCATGGGCAAAATTCGCTGACGAGGTGCCCAGCAGATGGCAGTTCCAGGCTTGTGCCCTCAGCCACACAAAGCTGTTGCTCTAAGCTGAAGCTTGGCGGAGTTGGGGTGCCAGCTATTTTTTCGCAAGGTTGCAGACTTGGGTGGCTCCCATGCACTTAGCTTTTTTCAGAAGTCACCAACACTCGGTGCATCAACCGTTGGATCTCTCGTCAAGGTTAAAGGCCACGGGATGTAGACTTTCTAGGCCTTGCAAGTTGATTTGTGTCTCTGCGACTCACATCCGATAACTAGGCCGTCCTAGCATTTGTTACTAGGAACTGACGGTTTCAGCCTGTCAAGTTCAACAGGGTCTCACAAAAGCCCAGAAGTTTCTGGCCGGGTGTTAGCCATGCTTCAGTGAAGGCCACGGGCAGCGCCCGCCGGCCCCACAGCGCCAGAGATGCGAGTGCCAGGAGAGCGAGAGCCCAGGGATCTGAGATTGGGCTGGTAGAACCCGGGATGTGCTCTCTCTCTCTCTCACACACACACACACTGACTGAACAGCGTGAGGCCCGGACTTCGCAGGCAAGGGCGCATGGTCGCTCAACTGGGCAGCAAGATCCAAATGGGCATAACCATCAGGATCAGCCATGTCTTGTGGGGAACTTTCTGAGGTTGAGACGCGCTGAAACCGCCGCTCAGAACATCACGCGGGCTGGGGCTGGTCTTGTGCTGTGGCAACTAGGGTGGGCTTGAGTGTCCATGGTCCCTGATAACGAGGGTGCATGTCCACGCAACATGCCTTCGTTGACACTTCTCCAGCATTGACCCCTAGCATGATGCAAAAAGGGTGATCTAACATGGCTCTGTGATCTGGGCCCTGGCTCTGCGGCAAAGGAGAACTTGCTTAAATGGTGTTCGATTCTGTTGGATCAGCGTGCAAGAAAAGTTCCCAGAATTTCATCTCAGCGTAGCGGCGATCGGCCGCAACGGGGCCGAGGACTGATGAGAACTGGCCGCTTCAACGTGTACGCACTTTCTCTCTAAGTGGTTGTGTTCTTTTTTTAAAGGGTGTGTTCAAGTCAAGTTTGCCTCCACGGCCTCATAGAACTCGTCCAAGTCACTGGGCCTCTTGTTGGGAAGACGCGGCGAATGTGGCTTTCAAACCCTCAGGGATGTCTCAGGTCTCTGCTTCGCCTCTCTGCAGTGCTCCCAGGGTGTGGCGCACGGAACTTTTCACAAGCCAAGTGCGTGAACAGGAACTTCTTTTGGTGCAAGTCGGCGGGAGTCTACACACCACCAGCTCCGTTGCAAGGGATCAACTCGGATAAACTTCAGCTTGTAAAACCTGGACCAGGTGAGCAACCTCCTCACCGTGCGGATTTGAAGAAGGGCACGATGAAATTTCTTGAAAGGCTGAATAAGAAGCGCTGCACGGGAGCTTGCCGGTCCAAGCTCTCAGCACCCTGCCTGACAATGCCGGTTTGGTCGTCCACCGTCGTGCTGCCTGGGGCCTGCCACATCAGCAAAGCACGTACAGTCACATACATAGCTCTCCGATTAACAGCGACGTTCACTTGACTGATGCTACCCCAAAAAACGCTGAAAAGACGAGAGATCGGTTCAATCGGGGCAATGCCAAATGCGATCACATGCGAGTATGCCTCTCACGGCAAGCACGGTATCTCACACATGCCGGCTAAACTTTGCCGGGGACCATTGAATCCCCTGTGCGAAGCCTCCGAAAACCTGGAACCTGATAAGCCTAGGTTGGACCTAAAGCCAAAGAAGCGTCAGATGGCAGCTAATAGTATTGCAGGTCTTTCCAAACAGTTGCAGCAATGGAGGGTAGATAATCCGCGGCCACAAATGCGACATCAAAGGGCACTGAGCCAGGTGATTGAAACTAGTGGCCGCCATTTCACGGCCGTAAGGGACAATGTTCTGCTGAGGTCGGCTATGGAGCTGTGCCTGGTGCAGACGCAGCAGCATCAAATTAGCAAGGAACCTCGTCGCATAGCTTCAGTCCTATACTTAAAAACTTCTTGCAGGTCCTCCTGACTCAACCCCCTGTCGCCATGGTTCCCGTCTTGTAAAACAGGAGAGCGCAACGGAGCGCACCGTGAGCGCACCCTTCAGGTGTTGGCCCAAATGGCCGTCACAACAGCTGCAAGAGCTAGGCGCGCCCAGCACGCTGTCCGACGCTGTCCGTCGCTGTCCCTCTTGGAAGCTTCAAGTCATGGGAGGCTTCAAACCTCAGGTACACAGGCTTTCTCTATATTCTAGACGAGCCGCTGGCGTCTTTAAGCAACGAATAGCCCGATGGTAGAGTCAGAAGCTGCAATTGTTCAAATGCAAAGCCTACGGTGGGCCGAAATTCTCGCCCAAAACTTCAAGTTCCACACCGGACATAGACAAGAGCCTCTCAAGGCACAAACTGAATCGCCTTTGAGACACAGCCCTTGTCTACAAGAGATCCTGAGTTCGGGCCTTCAAGGTGGTTAGGCTTCAGGGCTCGTGACACCTTGGAACCTGCACTGAGTGGAACCGCTGCAGCGCTTTTGCCAGGGCACCGCCTTCCGACCAAAGCAGCCCAGCCTGAACCGGAAAGCTGAAAAGCAAACGAGCCATCCCTATGCCGCTAACGACCGCAAACGCGAAAGGTGTGGAGCTGTGCGGAGTGCTTGGAGAGTTTTTGAACACAAGTTTTCAGGGCACCTTGACACACGTTTTCTCCGCACTTTTTGTTTCGGACAACGTGAGTTTGCACGCGGGGTGCTGAGCAAAGGGTCAGTAACTCAGTGGCTCGGCGGCGGGTTGAATGGGACCCTTGCAAGGACAGGCTTTCGAAAACTTCAGAAACTTAGAGAACCCGGGAACACCGAGCTTCTGAATGAAAAAGAGTCAGGTGCAAGTTACAAGTTGAAAACGCGAACATTGAAGCTAAAACATAAGCTGAGCCATTTGTGCGGAGTAGAGTTGGGTACCTCAATTATCCAAGCCCAAATCCGTGCTAAGCACTTCACAAAACCCCAAGCCTCCAAATCCCCGAAACCCGAGAGCATACCGCTTCTTGGCAAGCAAAGGTTTGCGCGTGATTCACCCCAATCCAGGCCGACACATGCCTACTGGGCTACTGACGTAGTAAAGAGGCGAATCTCCCAAACAAAAAACAAATCCAGGCCGGACGCAAGACCGGGTTTGCACGACGAATGCTTCAAGAGCTCTTTGGCAGCCGCACAGTCTGAACTAGGACTCCAGATAAACAGTTGTGTACAAATTCTCAAGCACTGAACCTGGCACAGGCCTGCATAGCGGCCTATGCACCCACGGGCGCTTTTTCCCGGAGGCTCTTCATGTGCGCCTTGTACTTGCCTGAGGGCTCTGAACGGTGCGTCAGGGTTTGGGCAGTGTGGATTTCCCATTCGGGCTCCTGCGCAACGCCAAACCTTCTCTTCATCTACAGCCATGAGCCAAAAACCCCTGACCCTCAGCTTCAACTTTACCGCATGGGCACACGAATTGTGCTGCCGGAACTGAAAGCCGAAAGGAAAGCCGCTGGAAGCAAGTTCGGGAGAGAGCCCCCTCTATTGAGATTTGCCCCTCCCAAAGCAAATTGGGGGCCAAGGCGCTACTGATCTCCTGGAGCTTCTGCCTCAGCCCAATAGGCAAACTCCCGTAAACTAAGAGATCCCTAACTCTGCGGGATCCTGTTGCGCTTGACTGCCCTCTTGCAATCAGGTCTCTTAACGGCCCTGAACTCCGACATGATTGCAACTTTCAAAACTGCTACGCCCCACGCCCCCTGCAACTTGGGCCTGTGGTACTGAGCTGGCACTTACAAGTGAAAAGCAGCGCAGGTAGCTCTCAGCAGGGGAGTCGAGGTGCGGTTAAGTATAGAGAGTGAGTGTGTGTGTGTGTGTGTGTGTGTGTGTGTGTGTGTGCGCGCGTGTGTGTGTGTGTGTGTGTGTGTGTGTGCGTGCGTGCGTGCGTGCGTGCGTGCGTGCGTGCGTGCGTGCGTGCGTGCGTGCGTGCGTGCGTGCGTGTGTGTGTGTGTGTGTGTGTGTGTGTGTGTGTGTGTGTGTGTGTGTGTGTGTGTGTGTGTGTGTTTGTTTGTGTGCGCGGTGCGGGCGGGTGGGGTGGGGTGGGGTGGGTGGGTGGGTGGGTGTGTGTTGCTCAGGGAAGAACTGCCTACAGGTCAAGCATGGTTAACCATTGGACCATATGCCCTGCTATCCTATGTGAAAAACCGTTAAACCATCTCGACCCTGAAGTCCGGAAGCTCCGCACCACCTCAGCGCCAAGTCACTGCCCTCTCACCTTCTCCTCGGCCCATTTGGCTGCCTCCGCACTGCTGCCGGCCTGGCAGACCCTAGCAGCCCTAGCACGGGGAAGTTTTTTCTCGGGTTTTTGGGGGGCATGCCCCTGTGTAGCTTTGGCAGTTTCGGCGCCAAACCCAAGAAACCTCAGAGGGATGCTGGTGATTTGAAACATTGCCCAAACCGCTCAAAGGACCTGCGGCGCTACACTCCAAGTCTCCATTCTGTTGACTCAAACGAAAGCAGCCATTCTGAAGATTCACTTCATGATGAAGTTCATGTCATGCCCCCCCCCCCCCCCAAAAAAAAAAAAAAGGACAGCGCTCACTCACGTGATCGGCTCAGCTCCTCTAAGGCTTCGCCCTCCGCCGTCATGGCGTCCGAGATGGCCGTGAGCCTGCCAGGTGCCGCATGATGGCCAATAAGGGGAAGTGCTGAAACTCCACAGCCTTCCCCCCTCTAAAACCTCGGAGACTGAAACGAGAGAATCCATGGCCCAACGATGCAACATATCAAAACCCAAATGCCTGAACACCCCCGCCCTCTCGCTCAAAACCTGACCAACAAGAATGAAAAGAAATGAAAAGCGCCCCCAGATCCGGCATGAGGCCCGGGCACGGGGTTCGACTCATCGAGCTGTGATGTGAAAGCGTCCACCATGCTCTCGTAGTATCTTAGGTCACCGAGCACAGCGAGCGATAACATCTCCCGCTCGCATGCGCAGTTTGAAAATTCAACTCAGCGACCCCCCCTATATTGATCAGGTTACAGGTTGCCCGGAATCATGCGGAGGAAACAAAAAGGAGGAGAAGGTTATCATGAACCAGAAGGCCTGGAGGTTTTAGGCCCTTAAGGGCTTGGCCAGATCCCAGCTTCAGATGCCCAAAACATTGTCTGGAGCCGGGCGTTACACAAATTCCTTTTTAAACAATTTGCCTTGCGAAACACGCCCCCCCAAGCAATTCAGTGAGGCCTTGGGATGCCCTCGTGCACTTTCGTGTTGTGTTTGGGTGATCCGGATTCATCCGCAGCCCCTTGCCTCCGAGGCGGAACCTCTCAACCACTTCTCAACCCCTCAACTCCCCAAAGGCGAAGCTCCTCACCCCAACCCATTTCTGACTGTAGAGGGCGACCAACAATCACGAAACTGCTTGTCGGGGGGGGGGGGGCAGGTATATTTAACCCCGAGAAGGTCTCAGCCCTTCTCCACCCCCTTTTCACATGTTTTCTTTCCGGTGAAGGCCCTCTTGTCCTTCTAAAGGGAAGATAAAAGCTGGGGCGCACGCCTTACCAGACCGTCGTTGCCCTCGGCCTCTGCTTCGGCGCGTGCTTTGGTCGCCTTGGAGACCTTCAGCGACGCATCGGTCGACTCGCAAAAAACTTGGCTACCTAGAAACCCTAGACACTTCGAGGCGGACCCTCACCCAGCCTCTATGGAAAGGAAGAGCGTGAGAAAGTTCCGGATTCCAAAGCCGCCTTGGCTGAGAGGGTTGCGGCGGTTGCGGCGACGGCGAACCCTCATTAAATAGCGACGGCGAAGTGGCACCATGTTGCCCCCGCCCACTCAAGCTTCAAGGACAATGTCAATCCACAAGCGCAACACCCTAAAAACCTGAAAAACCTGTGCGAAGAATCTCTGACTCTGCATGCTGGGTCACCACAGCCTGCTTTGATGGGTCGCGGCTCCCCACTGACCTCATGCAGGCTCGTTTCCAGGTAGAAGAATCAGGTAACCCTCTATGTCGGCTGCTGGATCTGAATTTGAAGACCATCTTACAGAGACAGGGTGGATTGTCTGTGCATTCCTGAACTTGGCAAGAGAGATATGGGCTGCAAACAAGGAGCCGGATCCTTGCGGTCCGAGCACACCCGCCTCACTTCGTCACATAGCTTCGAAAGGATTGGCGTCTCGGGGTGTTTCGTTTTCTCGCATAGGAGAGGTTTGGGCTGGAGTTTGAAGTGACTAAAGGGGTCTCGTCAGCTGCCTCTTTCTGCTGCCAAGTGGCTGGATAAACTCGAGGAAAGGTGCCTCTTCACCCGGGGCTCTCTGGAGAATGCTCGAGGTGAAGATCTGCATCAGCAGGTCTTCGCCCTGAACCTGTTCACCCCGCATCCATATTAACAGTCTCTGCGGAATGGGAACTAGCCCTCGCCGCAGCCGCCCTCAATGCATCAGCAAATCCTCTCTCGCGCGG